CTTTCTCTATTTATAATCTCATGAGAGAACCTCCTTTCCTACGATGACTCTAAACGTTAACCTTGCTTTCTCCAACCTCAACGTAGGAAGAAACGCCCACGGTTTTTAACAGTCGTGGATAGTGGTTAACAATCATTTTTATTTTAGTTAAATGGTTTAAGTTTAACAATGATCCTTGTTAAATATCAAATAATGTTGGAGGTTAACAATCATTGTTAAACTGTTAAAGATACCATCGTGGTTACGTAGTCGCAACCCTCCTCGTTACTACCAAATCTAAAACAATCTTCCGCAGAACGAAGTACTACCGTGGTTGTAAGTACGTAAGAACTTCGTTAGATATACTACTAAATTGCGAATATTACCTGAAGATACCATATAATTACTTATAGCAGTGATGCGAAGTCAAAAAATCCAAACACTTCTTTTTAGTCGTCTACCCCTTGCGATTCTACCACATCAACAACGTTAAAAAAATGAATACCTAAAACTTGCGATATATCCCGAGTGAACACTACTTGGTAGCAAATCTAATCTTTGCGATGTATTTTTGGTGGACCGGGATTGCTGCATCACGTATGACGACTGTTACGTACACAACCGAGCTATCTCGACAGACCCGGAGGACGTCGTAAATTTAAGGGCGACTTCTATACCATCAGATACGATAGTACCTCTATACCATCAGACAGGTACTGCTCTCATATTTCTATACCATCCTCTTGGTGGTCCAGGACCTGACGCAGTAGAAGTTGTGCATGACAAGTCGGGTCGGCATGCCTGACTTTATTAGTTGTAGTTTTTGCCGGCGTCGTACCGATTTCTTGCTCAATGATTAAATGTGCCTCAAGGACTTCTACAGAGAAGAAGTCACAAGGATCTTCGGAATTCCAAACTCTAATCTGATAGTATAAGTTACTCGGTGGGTTCGCAGCGCCCAGGTGTTTAATTCTCGTTCGATTTTCGACGAGACCACACAAGCAACACGCGCCCCGGGTTTTCTCTTACAATATAGACACATCGCAAATTGCTAGACTCTGCTAAGGCCCTGCGCTTTCTTTCCCATGCTCTAGCCCCTCACGTTTGCTGTGGCTGTCGCCCCTTTTGTTCCACCTCGCTGCCCCCATGCCTCTGCTTGCTTTCGCCTTCCTTGCCTCCACTCCTCTGCCTCCATTCGAAAAAAAGATCAGCTACAAATGGGTCTACAACTCTAATCTGATAGTATAAGTTACTTAGGAGCTAGTGCTGGCCTTACTAGAGCTTCTATGTTGTGATAGGGCTTCTTAGGTGATCGAGTAGGGCTCGCAACATGAAGCGGACACATAAAAGGGCAGCTCTAATAAGTGGGAATAAAGTGGAGGCCTATAGCTTGCTTCGTCTGAACCAGTGGAAGGTGCGGCCGAGGCCTCACGGCTACGGTATGCTTAGTTAAGGCGCAGGATTCCACTACACTACAGTTTTCCTAACTGCTACGGGCTCTATTATGAAAGTTCCTAACTACGCAGGAAGTAGGGACTCTTTTACTATAATTTTGAATGTAGAACGTTCCTAGCGGCTAGCTACGCAGGGACTTGTTTACTACAATTTCCACAATACCTAGTACGCAGATGTTGTAGATCCCCATTCCTTGTACAGCATTTCATCCTACTTCGTGGCTACTATGATGGGTTGCGGGATCACATTAGGCAGTGATTGGTCAGGCGGTGATGTTGTGAAAAAGTCTGACTTGTTTCTGGCTGGTTTTTTCTAAATTAGTAAGTAACTTCAACGTGATACAACTAAGCACTGATTATAGTTCGTGACCGTACTAAGTTAGTGACATTTATTTTTGTAGAAGAACTAATTACGTAGGTGAAAATACGTAGGGGCAAGGTAGTGCGTAGGATTTGCTTCAGACTTGACCAGGGAGGGTTAGACATGAAGTGCATGACCATGGCCATGACGTAGGAGAAAATACCCAGGAGCAAGGTAGGGCGTATTTTTAGTGGGAGCCCTTTTGTCCCGCCTTTAGGCTATTAGTAGGTCCCGCCTTTAGGCTAGTAGCAGGTCCCGCCTTTAGGTTAGTAGTGGACACTGAATGGGACACCAAGAAAAGGGATACTAATTTCATGGGGCTACACCAAGAGCGGCATCAGCAGCTCTAACTTCCTGTGCCGGTGGTTAACGAGCCTCACCCTGCTTTTCGGCTATATGGAACCTGTAGTCGGCATAATTCCATTACGTCGGGTTGTACTTACTTTTTAAGTAGTGGTCACCAGCATACTTCCATGCACTATAGTTTAAGTAGAAGTCAGCATACTTCTATTAAGGGTGGTTGTACTATAATGTAAGTACTAGTCAGCGCACTTCCGTTAACGGTTCTTATACTTTTCAAGTACTTGCTTAGATACTATTAAGAGTAGAAACAGAGTTCTTTCTGTGTAATAGATTAGTAGTGTCCCTCCACGACTCTAAAGTGTTTCAAGTACTAGCTTGATCTTCATACTATATTTTGGGCAGCGTTTATCCATCTTTCTCGGCATCTTGGTCCCCTTTGCCCTGTATTCTCATGAAATACAAGGGGAAAGGGGTCGAGATGAAGGGGCCGAGATGGATAGAGGCAGACGCTAACTGTAGCAATATTTGAAAAGTGGAATATTCGTAGTTTAGAGCCACGAGAGGAACAAAACTATGTTAGGCAACATTAACTCTACTTGTTATGGCCGTGCTGTATCCTTCTCCAAATAATGAGAATAGTGAAGTCTTCCACTGAATTTAACTTCAGTGTTTCTTGACAAAAAGAGGAACACTAATACTACACTGATACCAATACTTACTATAGGTGCTGGTATGCTAGCCAGTGATAGACTTGATGGAATGGAAGCATTGGCGACACTTCTTCTAAGAAATACGCTGCCAGTTTGCATGATCAGATCAAGGACATCACGCCGAGAGTGGAGGCTGTGCAAGCTAGCAGCGAACACAGCGACAGTTTTCCGCTGCGCTACCTCGTAGATAACGACAAGGCTACGGAGTTCGGAACGAGCAGCGATGGGGGTACACAGATTATGGTTGGTACTGGATTTGGTATCTGGTGCTCAGTGCGCTTGGCTGAGGCGGGAACGCCCCTACACAAGCTAAACTGCAGGGGTTTGAATAGAATAGTCGACTTCAATCCATATTAGTACCTACCAAGATAATAAACAACGTAGTAGAGCTCCAAACCTGTTAGATAAGGAACAACAGTGGTCCATGTAAGGGGCCCAACAAGGGGTTCGTCGCGATCATCGTGGTGAAGAGAGGGGACTGAACAGTCAGAGGGGACGAGGACTGCTACTCTAGCTGGTGGCTTCTATGTCCACTTGGATTCTTCTTGGACTTCTCTTCGCCATCCAAGTGGACATAGAAGCGGGGGGGCGCGACCCTAAACAAGTGTAGATGCCAGCAAGTGTTGAGTACTAGTGTTCTCCACCAGTTAGCCATGGAGATGAATGAACACAGTGGCGAGATTCGCTCTGCGCCTCACATATTATTAGTAGGAGATCATATCGATTAGTAAAAAATCGATGATATTTGGTTCTCAAAAATTTGTGTTGAAAGTTCCTGGTAGATCCTCTAGACAGGATAGCAGAAAGTGACCTCTTGGATTCTTCTTGGATTCTATGTCCACTTGGATTCTTCTTGGACTTCTAATTTTGGTGACTACGGCCACCGCTGCCCGTGGGTACAGTTAGATTTAGGGAGAGAGATGGAGGTCGACACGGTGGAGCTCTCTGTGCAAGATTCATCCACTAGGATCGAAAGCCTCTTCAATGCGAAAAGCCATCCAAGCGACTTAACCCTGGGCACTCGGATCCTTGTCACCTCTGGATTTAAGGCTGCTGCTGCTCTAGAAGGACAGATGACATCTATCTTCTGTGCATGAAAGAGGCCAAATACGAAGTTCTAGATCGTCGGTGATACACCGCAACTATTACTAACCTGAAGCAAATCTTGGTCGAGGAGTTCCTTTTTTGGGGGCTTAATACAAAATAATGGTTTCCTCGAGTATGCAGTAGAGAATCCAGACCAGAAGTTAGCACGTATACCTCATGAAAGAATGGGCACACGACTCGCTACTACTAGGCTTCCTAAGTGATCTCAATTCTTAGCGCTGATGACTGAAAACCGATAAACAAAACAGCATGGAGACGAAGCGAGTGTTCTACTTGTTTTCGCTTTCATTATGTTGTTTCAGTTTGTTTGACCGTAAAGCACTTCAAGAACATTAACCGGTTACTTTCCTTCGAGTTTGAATTTGATCCCTTCAGGCAAGTATACTGTGTATAGCTTCAGTTTGTTTGACCTTCTAGCTAATTTTCTTCATTCTTGATATAGTTTGTTTGACATCAGTCGCAGGGACGCATGCATGCTTTTAAATACTAAGTAACTATAGTATCACTTTTCTTTCACTTCCCTACTTAGGTTTGCTCCACCGCAAATTCATTAGCCTCCTTGGACTCTTTCGAGATCGTCCTCTGGGGTCGAGTCCCGCCCGTGACTTGGTAGATCACACATGGGACACATGACATGACGTCGGAGCTCCTCTAATCCTGATGCACGTTCCAACGCAACGAGCTGCTACCAACACAACGTTGCTGGCACTACGGGTATTTGGTGCCACGCTAAGATGCCAGGTCTTGCCGACGGGGGCCCTCACTGCCCCGCAACTCAAAATAATGTTAAGGGTTGGAAGTTGGCCTATGATCTAAGAGGATGTAAACGACCTTTTGAAGGGGGAAAGAGCTAGATATGCGAGCTAGGGCGGTCAACTTACAACCGATAATGATGAAATGTGCAAGAACCTTCAGTGCCAAGGATCGGGCTGTTAAGGCTGCCGCTTGTATAGCATCCGCAACCGCGCCATCCTTGGCCACCTCCTTTTCAAGGGGATGCAAAGGGGCTCAAGGATGGGCTCAGGGATGCGACGCGGTAGCTCTAAGACTGCCTCGACGAGTTCACCGGAGATTCTGCCACTGGTTCGCAGACTACGACGGTGAATTGCAACAAAAAGGTGGGCCGCTACGTCATCATTGACGCACCGAGTGTCGGCGACAGAAAGCGGCACCTTTTTAAGGCTTCAAGAAATCGAATCCATCTTAGACAGCATCTTGGTCCTCCCGTGCTTTCTAAATGGAAATATACCAGGGCACCAAAATGCCAGATGGATACCTAAATGGCCAGATGGATCTTTCTCCTAGCTCAACATCTAACCTTTTCTTCACTGAGGTGAGAGTAAATGGACAGGAATTTCCTACTAACCGACCAGCTGAGCATTTTAAGGGTTTCCACATTGCGTTCCTCACTACCATCCTTGACGTGTTTCCCAGTAGGATGTAGACGGTGCGTATTGCTACATAGCTCAGAGGTAGACGCTGTTCATGAGTTGGGTCGTCTTCCCTAACTTTGGTAGTTGTAGTCTTTGCCGGTCGTCTTCCCGGTTTCTCGTCCAGTAGTTATTATAAGTGTTTCGGGCGTGTAGACAGTAGGACACCAAAGAAAAATAGCTACATAAGAGGCACCATGGCATGATATCTGGGGAATGCAATGTCGCAACCTCTAGTCATTACGATTTCTGCGTTCGGAAGTGTTTCGAATGGTCTGATTGTCACGCAGTGCTCTTGCAGAACGATTGTTGTGTCAACTACGGAAAACAAGAGCAGCTTCACGTGATGACGAATACAGCTGAATTTTTTAAGGCAATTATTTGATGATGTAGTTTCTAGAATAGGGCAGCAAGCCATTATCATCTGATGAAATTTCTAGAAAGTTTGAGTGTCTAGAACTACAAGAGACTCAACACTTTTTATACACTCCATTGAGTTTCTAGAACAAGAGACTCAACACTTTATATACACACTCCTCTAACTTTCGGTATACAGACCAGACGTCAAAGCTCTTCAGTGTCCACCAAGGGACGGAAAGTAAGAAGCTGTTAAGGGTAGTTTCCCCATAACAAATTGAGTTGTTACTACGTAGTATTTTTAGCTGCCTGGCCGTCGTGCTTCAGGATTCTCGCAGGGTATTTAAATGTTCGTATGGCGAGGAATATAGACCCAGGTCCCAAAAAAAAAAAATGACTGAGCGAGTGAATGAATGAATAATGGCGTGCTTGGCCAGCCACTCCAATTAGAGGAAAGTTTATGGAGGACGCCCTTTAGACGTTAGTCGGCACAACTTCTGTGCAACTTGTTCTTGCGAGACTTCGCTTTCGCTTTGTCGTTGCGTGGACGTGAACTGGCCCGAGGACATGAAGACTTCTAGGGACAACTAGGACATCCACAACAAACTTACATTTTGTATTCTAAAGCTGAGGCCAATTTTGATCCGAGAGGACAACTCGGGCCCTCGGGAGCCTTCTCGACGAGGGCGTCTGACAGTTGACACGCCATCAATCAAAGCGCAGATACATGGACACCAGGTGCTCCCACTGGCGACCGACAAGACGCTCACCCCTGCTTAAGGCGAATGTGAGATGATATCACTGTGAGATGTCACTATCTGGCCCCCCCCCCCGCTAACCCGATGAGCACTAATGACGTCAGGAGGACCTACAAATGTTGTGGGCTCTATTGAACGGGAATGATGGTGAACTGCAACATGCTAATACATACATACATACATACATCCGGCGACCGTGAGGCAATATCCTGAGTGGTCGCATTGCTTCTACCCCTTGATTGCATTCTACCGACACCTAAGTAGAGGGAAACCTGTATCTATAAGATAGGTTTCTCTTTTTTAGTTATTCTTATTAGTATATTCCTACAAAACCTAACTAGAAGCCAAGGGGAAAGAAAGCCACCAACTCTTGAAAGAGTCCCGCCCTTGAAAGCCAAGAGGAAAGCCACTACTCAGCAACAGATGATAGATAGTGATTAAAGCCACTTAAGTGGATGGCGATTCCCTAGTGATTAAAGCCACCCAATAGTGATTAAAGCCACCCAAGTGGATAGTGATTAAAGCCAACCAATAATGTCCCGCCGTTAGGCTAGTAGAAATAATTGGGACAACATGATGATGATGATGATGATGATGATTATCACTTTTAGTGGATGCCGATTTACACTTACTAGAGTAATCTCATCCTCACACGTACTACAGTTGTGGGCACTTCTTACTAGAGTATAGTCTCCTCCTCATACATTTACATACTACAGTTGTGGGCACTTCTTACTAGAGTATTATTCTCCTCCTCATACATTTACATACTACAGTTGTGGGCACTTCTTACTAGAGTATTATTCTCCTCCTCATACATTTACATACCACAGTTGTGGGCACTTCTTACTAGAGTATTATTCTCCTCCTCATACATTTACATACTACAGTTGTGGGCACTTCTTACTAGAGTATTATTCTCCTCCTCATACATTTACATACTACAGAAGTTGTAGGCTATCCCTTTCGATAGCCTCGCTTTAATGTACCCTAGACACTACCTACGAGTTTCGGGGTGTCTGTACGGGCTCCTTCTCAGGCAACGCAACCGGCGACGTGAACCAAATGCACTTTGATGTTAAGGCTTAGCACCCTAATGGAAATGGTCCATCTTCAGATAGTTTACCCTAATGAATGTTGGCTCAGCTTCAGCATCTTTGTGAAGCATCTTTGTGAAGCATCTTTATGAAGCATCTTTGTGAAGCATCTTTGTGAAGCATCTTTGTGAAGCATCTTAGACCTGATAGTACACCTTGGAGGAACTGCGCGAGAAACTGTGCTGCCATAAGGGGAAACTAGTAGCTGCCATAAGGGGAAAACCAAGTAGGCCCACGAAGAATGGTCTAGCGATGGATGAGGGTCCGCTCTAACGATGCATGTGCTAGACGCTGCGACGAAGTGGCAAGTTGCCGATACTTTCTTCTGAAAAATGACTGCTGCATCATTGCCCCAGCAAATGCCGCAGAGGCAGATGGCACGCCTCCGACGGACTCTGTCATATACAAGGTGGTGAAAAACCAATTGGTGAGCAGAACAAGAGTTACGATGCATTTAGTGTCCATGATTTAACAGTATCCTATACCTATTCACTTTTTAGTAGGCCATGCATGATTTTACTGTAGGACAGGAGTAGTTATTGTTCCATACACGTCGTGGCCCACAACGTGACGGCGCAAGCTCAGCATCGTGGTTTTATAACTCCACCTGTACATTTATTTTCCATGCTAATATAGTACTTTATACTACTTCTATCTTTATTTTTTTTGGTGTGTTTCTCCCGTACAGAAGCAAGAACATTTACCAGGAGGGAAACAAGGAAGCAAGTCTGTAGTTCTACCAAAATGTCGGAGGGAAAAAAAGTGTGTGAAAAAAAATCCAAGCACACTCTCTGACTCTGACACTACTCTAAAAGAGAGGGGTGCTTAACGTTTGCACAGCTGTCGCTGCGAGGGCCCTGTTCCGAAGGCCTATGGCAAGACAGCGCAGCTGTGTCAGCCCTCGACGTCGCAAAGGTGTACTCAGTGGACGTTCGACCCAGTGAAGCGAGCCTTGCCAGTTGCTTATGGCTGAAAAGCAATTCATCTTCAGGACCGCGAACCCTTGAGGGGGGCCTACCGAACTCGTCTTCAGGGGGCCTGCAGCTTTCTAAGGGATTTTTTTTTTTTTGTATCCCGAGGCTACTAAATGAGCGGCCTCAGCTTTATCCGGTTCGCAAACCGACGGCAGGTGGAGTCCGGTTACCTCCTTATAATACAGCGCACTAATTGCCTACGAACCTGCCGATTCTAAAAAGATGAACCCTAGGGGTAAAGGAGGCGGATTAAGAGTTTTATATAAACCTCCACCGGCTGCCAACCGTCCCACTCTTATACGCCTACCTTCAAGGCACGAGCGCAGGGGATGCCAACCCTGCTAACTCTTGACTAATGCGCAATCAACTGACAAGGGAACAACTAGAAGTAAATGCCTACTGGCGTAAGGCCCTAAGTACAACATGTTTTGCGTTGTTGGGAGTGCACTAGCCTAGTTTTTCTTATCTTCACTGCCTCGCGCTCCCTCCTTCGCGACGTGCACCATCCTCAGCCGGATCCCGCTTCCGCAATCGCCATAAAATACCCAAAAAGAAAAACAGAAACCGGAGGGATTACTCCTACCAAAGGGGCTGCCTTATGCCTGCTAGCCACTTCTCTGCTAAGAGCGGGCGGGAGATAAAAGGATCGGCGAGGGAGAGCGATGGGACGCTCTCCCCCTTTTAAATCAAGCTGCGCGTAAGATCTGAAATTTTTCTATTCTTGTTCCGTCCTCTTTCTTTTTGTCCGTAAACAAGTCCGCGCCTCTCGACTCACACATGACAGAAGGTGGGAACACTCTAGACCCCAATCAGTTTCCAAGAGGCGACTGGCGGGCCACCAAAATGCTTAAAAGTCACCCAGGTAGGTAGGTGGCATTTATGCATTTCGGTTTCACTCGACTCTCAACAGATTTTTTCGTATAGTGGGAGATCCCTTAATATCATCATGAGCTCCATGTTGTGGATGTAGATTCTCTCGGGGTAAAAAATCTCAACAGAAATTGTCACACTAGATCCCAATCGACGCTATGTGCGCCAGCTTGGGAAATGAAGGAAGCCCATGCACGTAAAAGACAATGCTGGGGGCGATGAGATCTTTCACGAGTCAATCCTACATTATCTCTGTAATCTAGATCTGTATAATTGAGGAGCTTTCAAGAAGAATATATTTATTTATAATACTCTCTATGATCATCTTCTGTAATTTAGCTCCTTTCAAGAAGATGGAGTCCGGATACATAGTAGATCTCTTCTTCTAAGTTGCGCATCTTTCTGCATGGCGGACGAAGCGTGTAACGCATTTCGAGTGCAGAAGGACTGTTGCCATACCTACAGAAAGTGTGAGGGTATCGCAGTTGCTGCGCAGCTCACGTACCGTCTCTCCCGTGGATTTTCGTGGAACATGCTCGTGGGCAAGGTGAACTACGAGAATGGCGTCCGGCACACGGGCGTGGTCAATTTCGAAAAACCTAAATATTTCTTAAGGCAAAATCCAGCAGATGAACAGCTCCTAGAGGATTAGCAACGTAATCCTCTTCCCTCATTAAACATATTTCTTTAGGCCAAGATGAGAAGCAAGAGGAATCCAGCACCCCAGGACCGGCCAAGATGAAAGCACCCTCAGAATTAGATATGAAGCCAGGACCAAGATGAAAGCTGGAGCACTAGAATAGATCATGATCCTCGGAGGCCTGTTTCTCGAAGGAACATTCCTAGCTCTGAAGATTGAGGCCTAGCTTCATGCTTTCAGGATCCTATGCCTTTATCTTCTCAAAGGAAAGAAGAAGAACTAGTATTCTTCTAGGATATTCTGACTCTTTTCTAAGGGAAATTTTTCAAAGGATATTATGACTCACTGTATTCTAGGATATGAAGGCGGGTGGAGATAGGAAGCGTAGTCCACCTCTAAACTTCTGGATCGGAGATACGGTCATGCCTGACTGCACTGCGGGAGTGTGGGATAACACTGCAGATCATTAAGAAGACGCGGCTCATTAATTTAATCATCTCCAGTGTCTTCATTTTCAAAATGAAGACACTAAAATGTATGAGTTACTGTTAGCAGCATTCATCATGGCCGTTCTGATCTTCATGCTTGTGTCTTCAGGTCCGCACTAATTCTTGTTAGAAATAAGATCATTAATTAATTCTTGATTTTATATTGTTTTCGACGTCCTACTCGGGCGATATAACCACGACCCACAAAGAGTCCTCCTTGGGGCTATACGCCGAAGCGGATCAGTCACCTTGTGTGGCGGCAAAGCGGAGGCGCCCTATCTTATCCCATACCATCCTATCCTATCCCATTCTGTCCTATCCTATCCAGGTCGGGTTTTCGTGAGTGTTAATAATAGGAGAATACTCTTAATAATTATGCGAAGCAAGGAGGCGCTTCAGTAGATCTCCCTGCCTGTTTTGTCCCGCCGTTAGGCTAGTAGTGCTGTAGTTCTTCCCCTTTTTTTTCTTCTCAAAGGATACTAGATTGACAACTAGGTGGATGCTATGAACGTCGACTTTGAGCCTGCATATTAGAATTGGCTAAGCAAGTGCTGGAGATCTATGAAGATATGTTCATTCCAAGTAGAACATACGAATGCTTCGGCCCTTCTAATCTAGAACCAACATATCTAACGTCAACTATTCTAATGCTGTTAACGTCGACTCTTCTAATCTAATCTACTAGAGCCAAGATACATATGATTGTTTTTTCGATCTTCTACCTTCTAATAGAAGAATGTCAACAACTATGCGGTTGGTGCCTTGAACACTATTATCTCCACGTGCGACGCAGACGCGACGTGTTTATGAGAGCGATCACTCGTTGGGTCTTATTAACAGGTATATATACAAGAGGTAAACCAAAACTCTATAGGCTTTTCCTATAGGAGCCCTATAGGAGGCTCTATAGGAAACGCCTATTAGGGCCTTCGTATAGGGACCCCCTATAGGACCCCGTATTTGAGACCGCGGACCTATAGGAAGCCCTATAGGCATCTCTATAGGCAGCCCTATAGGGAACCCTATAGGAAACCCTATAGGAAGCCCTATAGGCATCTCTATAGGCAGCCCTATAGGGAACCCTATAGGAAACCCTATAGGNACGAGAGTGACGGTTCTTCTGCTTCTGACAGGGTCAAACGTTCATACGCAATCGGTTGCTTTATTACATTTAATCTAAGACTTCTCATACATGAATCCAATTCGGGTATCGTGTAAAAGTTATGTTTTTTTTCATTTGCCTACTTGTTTGTTCCCTCGTCCACCATAAGGAAGCTTGTAGCTCAACTGTAAGGCAATTCAAATCATGATCTATGTGCTGGTTGTCTTCGACATCTAGATTCGTTACCGATGTTTTCCACTCTCATTTCTTTGTGAAGGACTCTTACTCTTCGCTCTGAGTGGTCAGACGTAAACATAAACGCCACGACACTTCTCTCGTTTTATAATTGGTTTATCAGGTGTAATTCAATATGGAAACGCTCTTGTTGTTTTATACTCAACATTTTACAGCCACAGGGCTAGATGAAGATAAGGTGGAATATTAGGGGTTTCCGAATTGCATTCCTCACTACCATCCCTGACTCTTTTCCTAGTAGAAAAGAGGCCAGGGATGTTCTGAAGAATGTAATTCCGTAACCTCTAAGAATAGTGCTTGCCCGTCGACGTCAACCGGATTTTGTTTGTTCGCTTTCTTGATGTGCAGCAGTAAATTTGAATTTCAAGCAGGGTTGTTGCGTTCTTTACACACAGTGATGTCAGCGTCATGATTACCGTTACGGTAGCATTTATAACAACTACCAATAAGAATAATTTTGATGGTCTGGTGGTCTGTGAACTCGTTCTCATATTTAAGTTTAACTGCACAGGGTTTCATTTCATACACAAGAGGCGAGTATCGAGTAGACGATAGTCAACAAGTTTCATTTCCTAAATAGACGAGCCCCCGAATGATCAAGTATTCATCGACTTTTAGTTCCCTCCGCCGGCAATAGAGCGAATTTGTCATGCTATTCTGTCTTTTAGTCTTTCAGCTGTCTTAATACTCACATACTAGCAAGAGCACACAAGCGCGGTAATATATCTTATTCGACATGCAAAAAGTCAAAAAGCTAGTGGAGGCAGTCCTTCTATCTAGTTATTCTCCAAAACACATCGCTGACGTCTCGATCGACTAGGATTGCTCTTTGCATTTCGGTAGCCATCCAACTTGTCTTGAAGTAAAATCAGTCTCGAAGGCTGTGGTAGTTGTGGCATTTGTTGTAGTGTTGTAGGTGTTTCAGGTTCACCGTTCCCGTTGTTTAGTACTACTAAATCTTGTCCACCCCCAGCACGTTCACGTTGTTGTCGTTCCGCATTCTCCCTTTCCCGCTCCCTTTGCAATGTCCTGACAACAAACGCTTCGACCGCCGCCCCTGGCCAATACCCGCCGCTCTCTTCCGGATAATTCAAAGCTCCTTTCAGTTGCGTCAGCATGAACGAAGATTGAGCGTAGGAAGGTTCCAGTTCGAGCTTGAAATTCTGATTTGACTCGCCCCACTGCACCAGGTGCTGGATCGTTAGATCAGTGAAGCCGTTGGACTGTCGCAAACGCAGGATTTCCAGTTTCGGTAATGTGTTCTTCAACACCTCAGTGCTTTCGTCGGTCAAGTGGTCGCAGGCGTTGAGACGGACTGTAGTGCGTGATGCAATGAGAATGGTGCTGTCCCCAGTGGCCTGAAAGGTGAAAGCGCACCCACTTGACAGAGGTGCACTTTCTGATATTTCATAAGTGTACAGGTGGTCAACGCATAAACCACTGAGCCAACTGCGCAGTTGGCTTAGTGGTTTCTTTGACAAAAAGTTAAATTCAGAAGGAACATGATGATCAGCTAAATAAGTAGGTACGTATTTCCAAGCTCTCCCGACAATGGTCTCCGATTGCTCGTATTGCATTCGTGTTGAAGTAAATCCAATCGACTTCGAACCGCTTCAAGGTCATTCTCCGGTCCCTCAACTCTTCTCCCAGGTTAGCGTAGCTATGGCCAAACACCATGCCCTTGTACATGTCCAAGAATGGTAACTCTGCTTCGGGAAGAAAGCGGAAGGACTCGAGCTTAGGACCCAGTTTCTTCAGCAGTAAGCAGAAGATCTGGTCTTTCACGTGCTTGATGCGCATCAAATTTCCACGAATCGTGAAGGACTTAATATTCGGCAAGAAGGTCTGGTCTGGGAAATTGGGGTCATGATAATCTTGTTGATCATCTTCATCTCGCTGTTGTGAAGAAGTGCTAGTATTGGGGTTATTGTTATTTCTCGTACCAGCACCTCCACCTCCAATGGTGCCACCACGTCCAATACCCCTTTCCTGCATAGGCCCTCCCAATCGAAAAGTCGCGCCACCCCCCCTCTGTGGTGGATCTCGTAAGCACCAAATGAGGTTTTCGGTCAAAAAGTCGATTTCCACTTCGACCAAACTCGGAAAAAACGTGTGCACACGACGTAGAATCGGACTAACGTAAGGCAATTTCACCTTTTCGTCGAAGTAGGTAGGATTCTGTCCTAATTCTCGAAATTCGCGGCGAAGCCCAGTTTCGCGAAAGCCCGGTGATAAAGCGATAGAGAGTTTCTGCAAGGTGACGTAGTAGATAGGTTGGGAGTTAGAGGTGGGGGGAAGGTGGGGAGGGAGATAATACATGGAGATTATATCTGTTTCTGTAGCTTCACTTTCGTTGTTGAAGTCATCTGACATCTGACTTCTATTCTAGGCTGTAACATGTATCGGTCTGGCTCATTGTTCATAATTTTCTTCGCCATTTTGTTCTTGTCGCCTTTCTTGTCTCGTGGCTCGGGAATAGCGAATTCGTCGGCAAAATAATTGTCTGCATTTGCCATCGATAGGCCGGCAAAAACTATGTCCTTGTTTGGGATGTTTCGTGGTTCGACTACTTTCTTCGCCGTAGAAGGACTGGAGTCTTTTTTAGTATCAATGAAACTGCTCGTGGCATCAGTCCCAAGTGGAAGCGGCTCGACGTCAGGTGAGGAGGGTGGCGAGGATGAAGCGGCATCGCGCCAAGTGAGGCGTTCGGTCTCTAAGGGAATCGGGGAAAAGGTGAAGGAGGTCGGTGAAGAAGCAGGGTTTGAGGAAGTACTGGCATCCTTCTTGGTGGATTGAGTTCCGCTCGCAGAAGCGATATTTTTCTGATCTTCATCCGGCTGCATTCGAGAAGATGACGAACCCCCAAGACCCCGTCCAACCGCAGTTGTAGTTGTTGTACTCTTCCCTCGTCCCACACGAGTACTATTAGAGCTGTCCGTAATTCATCTTTCAAGCGCATCCTTGAAAAGTATGGGGGTGGAGTATTCCCTTAGGATACTCCTCCATACGTAGTTCCAAGGATACGCCCAAAGATATATTAGGTACAGCCTTAATACTAGTGCCTCCCATTTCCGTCTTTCCTTCACCCTTCATAGCGCCACCTGTTGGACCCTCTTCATCAGCAGCACTTGCTGCGGGCGGATCCTTAAAGAGCCAATCGATGATGGGTTCCTGCGGTATTTCCAACGTGACAAAGTCCAATCCTGCATCCATCTCCACACTGGGCTTGAACAAAAGATGAAGTTCCTGCAGCGCAAACGCGGCGCCCAAAAAACTGTTCAAAAGCAGCAACGCCTGAAGATCTTTCAGCAAGGCAATCGTGAAGGGGACGTCCAGAGTAAGCTTTCGAAGTTTGGCGACGTCGCCGATGGCTTCCAAGAATTGGCTGATCAAGTCCGTGCCGCGTTTCGTTTGTGTTCCCAAATGCACCTCTCGAAGATTCGAGAACTGGATATGGAAAGGCAGCGGTTCCAACAAGCGCTCATTCCCCACTAGCGCTTCGAAATGCAGTCGCTCCAACGGTCTGCAGACGTGGGACAGCAATCGATGAAAGCCCGAAAGCTTCTGCTCGCAAGGTGCATGCGTGTGAATGTAGGTGAGTCCACCAGTCCACAAGCTAGAGCACATGGTGCCTAACCAAAAAGCCGTGCACACTGAGGGCAGGGTTTTCGCCACCGTTGATGCGGGAAGGAACGAAAACAAGTAGGCGAGAAGTTGTGTGTCCATAGCGTTGATCAATGCGTGCGTAGCGGAAATTTGGGCGTCCTCTCCTAGTGCGCGTTGACGGAGCAGATCTTTGTGATCCGGACGAAAAATCGCTAGAGGCCCATCCGAGTCGCCAAGTACCGGAGGGATGCAAGGACCGCAACCACAGGTTGCAGTCAGTATTTCCTGAGCTGATTGTGTTCGTGCTCCACCTGCTGCTCCAGAAGCCCTTCGGTATTTCTCAGCTGCACTAGTCCGGACATCAAGTAGTTGCTTGTTTGCTTGTGCTTGCGATTCTTGTGGTTCTTCTCCATTTTCAATTGATAACGATGAAGCGGAAGGTTCTTGAACGATGTTGTTCCCCATTATAGCACTAGCTTCGCCTTCTCCAGACATGATCAATGCTGGAGGACTAGAAAACATCCTCTGTTCCATCAAGCTCATTGGCGGCCTCGATCCCGGCATCGAGGCTGCAGACCAACTCTGTAACTGTAGGTGCAATGGCGGACTCACAAATTGCCGTAGGACTTGCGTTCGTGGGAGAGCGTTGGTCGGGTCGACGGTTGTTCCGGTTGAAGAAGACCCTGGTGACGGTGCTCCAGTTGTATCCATTGTACTAGTAGTTGTACTAACGAGAGCACTCGTCGTGTCCAACTCCAGCACGAAATTGAGAAAATTTTCAAGTTTCCGCTGTCTACCGTCGAGACTCCAACACAGACGACCTGGGAAGGAAACCGCAGAAAGATTGTACTTGAATCGCAAGACGTCGTAAAGCTCAGAAAATTCGCTATAGCGTTTGCGTACACGCCAACGTAGGTTATTGTCTTGTTCCATAGAAGTTGGAGCCGATGGTGCATCGAACGCATTAATATTAGCTGTTTGTTGGAAGCTACTAGCAACTCCCGGCCCACCCGCTTCCCGTCTACTTGAAGAAGAACTCCCGACTGCTGCGTCACCATCAATGCTTGTACCCACTCCTGCGTCCACATTCGGCACAACGCCCCCTACATTAGCTATTGCACGTCGCGAAGAGGACTCGCTGAGCCCAGCCGTTGCTGCCATGACACTACCAATGCCAGCGAAACAGCCACCTAATAGTCCCGAATGCTGTTCCAAGCGTCGGCGCGTAAGCAGATCGGAAGGGAGAGGCTTAGAAGTGGAGAAAGGAAGGGAACGAAGAGAGAGAGAGAGGAAGCAATGATCTGCGCCTGCATCTGCAATGATCTCACCATTGTTGTAGCTAGTATCTCTAGGTTTAGGGTTGCACTAGTACAATTGCTAATCATTGTATTTGCTAGTCCTAGTTTCTAGCCATAATACTACTACCCACACCTCCTCCAGTTGCGGCACCTGTTCCACTAGTGAAAGCATTGTCGCCAAACGCACCAGACCCTCCGCCAGGCAGAACGAACGTCACATGATAATACGTGACCCCAGAGGATGGATCTTCATCGCGAGACAAGATGAAAGCGCGCAACCCAGCATAAGGGCGAACGCTTGATGCGATGGATGTGTTGTCCATCATTTTTGATTTTGGGTGGAAACAAATCAACAGGGGAAAGAAAATTTAAATCACTAAGAGGTAATTGGGCAGTATCTATTCAGAAAAACAAACAACTTGTTGGCCTTCTCCTTGTTTACCAACAAACCAACACGACATGCAAAATAATTTAATCAGATGGATACATCATAGTCATCTGCACATCTATAATTCAATGAAGCCTTACTGTCAAAATCTAGGCGTTAGCGCAATATCACTTTTAACTTGGACTCTTTGAGGACTATCTAACCAAAGAAAAAGTTGCTAAGACAGGTTTTCCTATCAAAGCGAGGGGTTTCTGCGGGCTACGCACAGGGCCACAACGCTAAAGCGCAGAAAACTTCGGAGTGCGCCTTGTTGTAAAAGATGAAACATCAATCACAAAAATGAAGATATTACAACGTGATGAGGACGACCATCCGTTTTGACAGACGTTCCTGACTCGTTTGCTGCATTGATTCACTCGTTTGTTTTTGTTTCTCTCGTCAACACTTGATTGGATTTCACTGCAGTGAGTTCTGCATGCCAGAGATACTTTGATGAATTTGCATGACGACAGTCAGGACGCCAAAGTAAAAAGGAGGCATGATGATCTTACTTTCGCTCGTGGTTCGAACACGTAAAAAAACAATAAACTAGGACTGTTTCTCGTCGGGAGTTTTTCATTATGGAAACAAACGATGTGAGCGGTGTCAAAAAATCGTCGCAAAAGTCTTGCGGTGGAGAACAGGGATGCTGATGCTCCTTTTTTCCATCTCCATGCTATTGCTATGTCGAGTGTCCTCCGATGGGCATTTGGGTATCGTGTCGAGGAAGAGTGGGTGGACCAGTAGAACAGAAGATCTTAACATTCAGGAGGATTATTTACGTCTATGAATGTCGGTGAGTTGTACAAGTATCATGCGTGCCTGCCAATTCTTGCAGGTTTAACAAGTTGATTGATCACTCTCATCTCAAAGTGGGTCGGAAAATTTTTCAGTTTTCTTGGATTTGGATGGAACGACCTCTATGATGTGGATTTGTTCATGGTCTCCGTAGCGTATCACGGAGCCCTTTTGTGTGCGTCGAGCCATGTAGTCATAATCAAAATCTTTCAGTATGAGTTTCAGTACAACAGGCATACCAAGTATTCATCTTCTAATGCCATCAAGAGTCCTTATTTTCTATCCGGTTCTTCGGTAAAGAGAAACAGAAACGGCCGGAGAGAATTTGATCCACTTTTTATCTATAAGCGAATGACCTTTCCTTTATCAAATTGAAATTTCTCCATACATAATCCACGTGGTTCACGTTCAGTACGTTACACAGCCTAAAAAATCACGAAGCATTCTTCATAATCATTGAGTCTTTATCATGGTAATCATTGATCCTTAATAGGGTGGGGATCCTTTTGTCGTTGGTTTTCAACTCCTCGTCAATCCAAAACTAATCTATAAATTCAAGACTAGTCTAAGTCTTTGTTTGTTACTAGCAGTCAGCTAGAACTTAACGCTTTTTCTTTCCATTGGAGCTCGACGTAGTTGCAGTCGGAGACGTCAATGGCTTCTTCAAAGTCGCTGGACTAGAGGTGGACACTTTCGACTTATTAGAGGTAGGTTTTTGGTGCTCGCTTTCCCCGCTTGTTATGCCTTTCCCCCTTAGGAGAGGCATAAATAGCGGTAAGAAAAGCAACTTTAACCAACCCTTAAACTTAGTAGAGCTGCCCTTCGCGGCAGCCTTCCTGCGGAAGCAGAGACCGCAGCATCCGCAGCAGAAGGCCAGTTTCACGAAGAAAACTAGCACGCTGAAGACGAGGCTCACGAGTTTCCACGTCAAGCCAATGATCAGGGAGACCAGCACTTTTCGAACCAAGAATTTCAGAGCGATTTTGTAGACCGCCGTCTTCATAATCACGTTCCACACAAGGAACTTCAGGAGGAATTGGTAGACCTGTAGTGATGTTGTGATCATGATCTTTCACAAAGAAGGTATTACTAGAAGGTTTTTTTGATTGAAGATCAGAGATGCTAAAGAGAAGAGTTCATCTTGCGTGTCTGCATGTTTGTTGTGGTAGTTCTTGCGCATCTGCACCATATATCAAATATAGTATTATCTACATAATTCAGCACTAGCATCTTCTTCAAATCGACGCAAATACTATAAATATGAAGAAAGTAGTACCAAAAAGTAAACAATCCCGATGGACAACAGCAGAAGCACAACCAGGTCTCCAACGCCATTGGAGAGCTTCACTTTTTCGCCGAAGAGTTCAAAAGTGAGTGGCTGCAAAACAAAGCCCTTCACGTCCTCGAGACTGTTCTTAGAGGCAACGAATTCAGTGACTGCTGGGACAACTCGGTCGACGGCGAAGATGTACCTGATTTGGGTTTGGAGAGGAGCATGAATTTAAAATTGGAATTGCCGTGGAGCATGTATTTACGTTATTCAGTTAAGAGTGACCGTGATGTTGATGAGATTCAGATCCATGATGAACACGACAAGTCAGTAGAGGCTTAGGGTTTCTTTTTCTTTAGTAGTCACCTCGGAATGCTTAATGTAAATCAAAAATTATATGTCCTTACAGGTCTCCTCCCGCACTCTTAGCCATTTCCAATCCAGTGTTGACATGCTTATCGACGTTGAGTGATGCGTAGGTCTTTGAAGCTGTGATCAAAACCGGATCCAGGTGCTTGGCAGCATGTGCCTTATACAAAACCTGACCATGGGCCATACCGACTTCCACCTGAGGCCGGATCACTTCGTGGTACCTGTAATGTTGGGTCTTTTTGTGATGCATATCATCGTGATTGAGGGGGTAGTCGATGTTTTGAGATGAAGATTTAATTGTAATGCAGCACACCAGAAGAACTTTTCTAATGGAGCAATATTAAATATCAAGAAAACTTCTACCAACAAGAAAGCAAGAAAGTGAAAGATAAATTGAAATGCTGAGAAGTATACGTGTCAACAGCCTTGACATAGCCTGCCCCGGATGCGTCCTTCAGGTTTGCAGCCACAGTTTTGCTAAGAGCAAAGGCGTCTTTCTTCAGCTTCGAAAACTGGTCGGCACCGAGACTTTGGACTTGTGTCACGTGCGAGTGCAACAAGTTGCGGTACAAGACGCCACTCAACTTGCCGAACAAAGCAAAATCGACGTAGTCCTCTACGAAGGGGATGCTGATTGCACCAGTTGATGCCTTGCTGGATTCAGCTTGAGCTGCTTGTTTCGCAGCGGCTGCTTTGGTAGAAGATGCTTCTTTGGACGCAGCTTGTGCTTCTGCTTGCGCAGATTTGAGCTTTCTCTTCAGCTCATTCTGCGCCTTCTCACTAGCATCAGCCTCTTCGTCAGCGGCCTTTTTGAGTGTGTCGTACTTCTTCTGCAAGCTATCGTACTTCGCTTGGAGCTCTTTGGGTGACGCTGTGGTGTAGAAGAGTTTCAAGTCTTTAATCGACGTACTAGAGGAATGAGTAGATACAAGCAAGTAAAAAGATTTGTCTTCAGGAGTCGTCAATCTCTTCAACGGTGAACCTGAAAATTCGTCATCTTATTGTCCACAAGTTCATCAAGTACCGCTTCCCGTCGCTTCCTTCGCTGCATCTTTCGCTGATGCTGCCAGCTTCTCCTCTGCTTCTTTCGCTTTTTTCTCTGCCGTCTTCAGCTTCTCCTCAGCGGTGCTTAGCTTCTTTTGTATCTTTTCTATTGCCTCTGTTTTTTCTTTCTCTGCAGTGGCCGTTTGTTGTTCAGCGAGAGTTTGGATCTGGCCTTCGGCATCGGTTTCTAGCTGGACGATTTTCTCGTTGAGGCCCTTTATTGTCACCTCTGCCTGACCAAGGTGCTCATTTGCTTGAGCTTGGAGTGCCTGCAAATTCTGCTCTGCCATACCCTTGGCTTGCTCGCACGTGTCGGCTTCCTGTAGGCGAGTGAAGACGAGCGTAGATAAAGTGGGCTGTGGGATCACATGTTTTTAGAATAGAATGGTTTTTTAGTTTTTCTGAGAGTCTAATTTGGTTTCAATTTCAATCTCAATGAATCGTTCATCATCTCATGAGTTCTTTTGAAGTACCTCTGCCGTTTTCTTGAGCTGTGCCTGTGCTGCTACTAGATCTGCGGCACAACTATCCTCCTTTGCCGCAACCGCAGCGACGAGACACCCCACGGCGGTAAGCCTTCTTGCTAGCAACATCTTCATTTTTTTGAGATGATTTGGTCGTTGATGCTTGCAGAAAGACCTAAGTACTATGGACGCGAAAAGGGTTCACTTTCACTTTCTCTATGGTAGGGGAGATCCTTGTGATGAAGCTTTCTTTCATCTGAGACACCTAGACCTACTTCTGTACAAAAACGCAATTTAATTATACTCGTCTATTCCTCACGCTCACGATTTACTTTTACTTAATCCGTTGCGTCGTCTAAGGAAAAGCATAAAAAACCAATACGGTGGTACTGAGATTCAACTCTGTACAAAGGAAAGCGTAGGAGGTCCAAAGGACATAGAACTTAAAAAAAGGATTCCGTGAAGCCTGTTGGATGGACGGTTTATGCTGATGCTTCAAAGAGGTGGAGATACGCAACCATTAATGATGAAAATTCAAGAATCTTCACTCTGATAGGATAGGATAGGAGTGGGCTCACCTGCGACAAGGTGAGCGTATTCTGAGGCCACAGACATTGATCTTAGATAGGTTATGGATCTTCAGGATTCGAGTTAAATTTGAGGGTCTTCTGTGGATCAATGCATGAATTTTCTTGGACAACAGATGGAAGCTGGATATCAACAGCAGACACGTGTGCAATGCAGGCGGGAGACGAAGAAGTCCTGTTCCTTTTCAATCGAAAATTTTCTACGTCTGTTGCTGTAACTGCTGTTCATCAGGAAATGAGAAGTTTTTCGCTTGCAATAGCAAGTCTTGTACCGTTAAGGGTCTCATTTGTTTGTCATACCGTGCTTCTTCGAATAATAGACTTCCCAATCGTGGTGATTGATTCTGCATTCTCGTTTAATACAAAATACTGGAATTCATTTTAATCTATCACTGTGGTTGACCTTGACCATAAGAATCGCAATTTTTCAGCAAGAGACAGCCCGAAGAAGAAAGTTTCATTTGCGACAATTGACTATAGCAAAACTCGATGAGTAAGGTATTCATTAGAAATATAGGACGACATAACATTGAAAACAAAGATCAATTTCAGAAATCGAGTGTACCGTTATGGGCTTCGCTTGTTCTTGAAGCATTAGCGGCTGCGGCATTAGCTGACATTTGTAGGCTTCACAGCCTCGTCATAGATAGGATCAAAATTTGTACTATATTTTCTGTTCATCGTGCTATTCAAACGTATTACACACAAGTCCATCTTAAGCTGTTCATTTGTTTACCAATAGATTCAAACTTTGTACCTTAACCTGTTCATTTTTTTTCGACCTGTAGATTGTTTAACCTCATTGCATTTTTTTGTTTACAAGACCTGAAGATAGCGATAATCAATAGACAAATATGAGAAAGAACGGGATGCATCTTGTAAGAAACTTGTTTTGGTTTATACTCATAGACTGCACAAACATTAGAATCATCGAGTTTGAGGATGAATCTAATCACAAAAGAAGAGGTAGACGCGCACTGGCTTATCCCTATTGACGATCATGACGTTTACATTTACTGTATTGTTTGATGAACATGGATGCGTGAGGAATATTTAGTGTAAAGCTATGGTAAACTTGGGGTAGAAGCTTCTTTAAATAATTTGTACATTGGTCGTAATATGATCAGATTATGACCACCGCCCATAAAAACAGGAGGTGGCTGAGAACATGAAACAAAACAACAAGAACAACGTTTTTCTTTTTCATCTAATTCACATCAAAAATCGGACCTTGTTCCCTGCACGACTAGTACACATACGTATGCTTCGGATTCTCGACACCGGTCAGAGCAAGATGATCGTTTTCGGCGAACGCTAAGCCCGCTTGTTGCAGTCTCAGCATATCTTGACCACGTGCGCTCTGCATCGCAATCTTAGCGCTAGTTTTTCACTACCCTTGGTCGAGTGAGTTTCCTTTTTCCACCTCAGTTCCCTGTGCAAATCAAAGGAGAGGCCTAGGGATGAGGTCGATGAACTAGGCTTCACAATCAAAGCATGCTCAATTATTTGAGGTAACGAGAGAACATCTCTAGTACACCTAGCCTACAACATCACAACTAATAGAAACTAGGTTTGATAAATGCCCCATAACCATAAGGGTAAGGAACATGGGAGTGCTCATGAGAATTCAATTAATGCACATGATTTGTGCGGAGATGTTCATCATTCTAAGATCATATTTTAGGCTTAACAATCATTTTCTCTGTCTGGATATCTTGCGTCACGGTCCTCTGACGACTACGAAAACGATACTCAAAAGACTCCTGTGAGAGATGTCGCGCTTGCGATGCTGCCATCACGCCCATGTCGATCAGACCGCCTCCGGTTCTTAGAGAAATGCTGTTAACCAGTCGATGTAGAGCATTTTTGATCGAGGTAGTGGGCGAGAAAATAAAGAAAACGGAAAAAAAACCCTGACCGAAGAAAACTCAATAATCGAGAGGACTAGAAAACTAGTAAGTACTACAAGACAATTTTTCAACCATCATGGCATATCATAAACTGTAAGCCAATTTTTCAACCATCATGGCAGATCATAATCTGTAAGCCTGCAGTGATCTTGCAGCGTTTCTCAGTACAGCATTCTTTTGTTGCCTCCTTGGTCCATGCCCCCTTGCGAAAATTGCCGCTGCCATTGGATCTTGATAGCCATCGTCCTCATCATCTTCCTCAGAAGCTCCAGCTGCCCATGCTGCTTCGGCAAGAACTGCTTGTTTTAGAGCTCAAAAGAAGTCATTAATTGTGGTGGAGCAGACCTAAGTAGAAAAAAGAAAGACCAGAGGAAGATAGACAAGAGAAAAGGGGAATTATCACCAAGTATGCCCCAATCTGCTAAAACTAATTAAGCGCCGGCGCTATCGTCGTCCTGTCAGCCCCATACATAGGCCTCACCTTCGCAGGCAGGACGGAGCCCTGTGCAACGCCTCCGGTGAGTGCTCAGCTCTCATTAATTTCAATTTCTTTAGATTCCCACGAAGGAAACCGAAAGAGAGGAAAGTGAAGAATGCTTGGAAATGAATAAGAATTATTTTGAGCCTACTTAAGTGTTGTTCCTCTAAGTTCGCACGACCTTCGGTATAGGATTCCTCCTCTTCCTCGTCGTTGTCTTCTGCAGGGTAGAAGAGAAAGGGTTGTTGAGGTAGAGCAGCTGGCGGAGGAGGTTGGATCATGCGGGCTGAAGAAGTTGTGCTTGTACTACTGCTACGTTGATATCCGGATGAATAAAAGTGATGTGGAGCAGCTGGAGGTTGAGCTTGCTGTGGTCTTCCACTTAGCCGTCCCGTCATCCCCTGAAGGTTCAGCGGTTGCATTCTTGGATAACTGATGTCTAGTGGCCGCTCATCGAACTCGATGTCGTTGACTGAGCAGTCCTCTGAGAACCGCACTTGTTTTGGAGGCGTTCCGAATATGACATCTTCTGCTTCGGCCAAAATCCGCAAATTCCGCTTTTCCACCTCTGGATCTTGCTGTATCCGCGAGATGAATCGCGCTCCTTCACCATGATGGTTCACCTTCACAGAAGACGTTTCCTTCTCTTGTATAATGATTCCATCCTGAAGCCTTTCATCTAATGGTTGGAATGGTAGTCCTCTTGTTATCGAAGATTCAGCTGGCTCAGGATAATACATCATCGGAGGACCTCCTGCGCCACCTAGAGCACCTGTACTAGCTCTACCACGACCTGCAGATGAAGGACCACCAGTTGGAGCACCAACATTTTGACTTGTCGTGGAAACTGTTCCCCTTCCGAAGGTGTAGTTGCCTCCTTGACCACCTTGACCTCCTGGAAGTGTCCCCGCACCAGAACCAGGAACCAGCGAATCCAGTGGACTGCTCTCTTCTGGCACTGCAGCTAGTCCTTCCATCTGACTACCATGCCTTATATAAGGATGAATCGAGTTGTAATCCCGCTTCAGATGGGCGTCGCCTCCCTTCTGCACATCATGCGGATCATCGACATAATTTGCTGGATCGATAAAGCTAGAGCGAGCGCCTGCTTCGAAGGAAGATAAACGATAGCCAGGTGGCATAGGTGGGCCGTTGGCCGTTCTTGGTTAGAAGTAGTCCAGTAAATTTGACATGTGAATCATCAATCTCAATTTTTTGATACTGCATCGTTGTCATATTTGATCCCTTTGTTTCAGTCTTGTAGATGACTCACTTGTTGAAGGAGCTTGAGGCTTCACAACATGAGTCTTAATGTCCACCCCGCACTCCACCAGCAGCAAACTCTGCATGTAAGGATTCTCGTAAACTCGTGCCCTCTCTCGTAGACCCACAATGATGACAGCTATGCTGGATCACTGGCGGTGGCTGGTGTGTATCATGCAAGGCTGCAGATACGCCGCGGATTAGATGAGGCATTCATTGCGATCGAGGACGGAAATCTTCGTCTCGAAAACTCGTTGAGCATGAGTCTACTGGAAGACATTGTTCCTCATTTCAGTCATGAAGGAGCAGAACGATCACCTTGATGATACATACTCCACAAAAGCATCATGAAGGAAATTACTCCAGCGAAGAAAGATCAGACAATCCCAAGCATAACAAACGCACTGTTTCTTGTCCGCGATGCATGGTGGGACCGTCGTCTGCTTCTCCCTCGCCTTTCCTAGAGGCTTCGGGTGCGGAAAGCTGTCAATGTGATGTCATGGGAGAAATACATCACACTTGCTTCATGTTGTAGCTGACACTTCGAATCAGAATCAAAGCTCACCTTCCACGTATCAATACAATAGAAGCGAGTTGTTCATCTTGTACCTTCATCCCCAGCACGTCTCGCGCGTAGCCATGCGGCATGGGGAGCATGGGGTAACCAGGTACCCTCTTCGCAATCCTTTTTCGACCGTCAGGATAGACGACGCGGTATGTCGGGACTGGTATTTTCTTAACAACCGGCACGTCGTGAAATTCCACTCGATTGTGCTCAGCGACGCGTGTGACTTCTTGGGTTTCGGTTGTGCGGATCTGAGGTGAGTGTAGGATCAAGGGGAATCTTCTAACAGGAGAGAAACCGACGTGTTTAGAGGTATTCAGGTGAGACGGTGAAAGAGAAAGATGTACTCGAAAAACTGAAATAAGCGAGTAACTTACTACTCAAGATAACGGAGATACTGAAACGAAAAAACTTAAAATAAGGGAAAGAAGAGGAATGTAGTCAAGACTCTCTTATTTCACAGTCACAAACTCGCTTATTCTGAGTATTCGAGTACATGATCATCCTCTCCCTCGTCATCCTCGTCCTCATTTCCCGCGCCTCCTTGGCCTCTACGCCCACCTTGACCGTTCTTTCCGCCCTTACCATCTACGCCTTTTCCACTTCCCTTTCCTCCCTTCCCTCCTCCAGCTTTCCCCGGAGCCGGTGGGTCTGATAGACCGCTAATTTCGCCTTTGTGATTCACCAGATACACTGGAACCAACTGCTCCACTCTCTTTTTGACGATGCGCTTCTCCTTCACTATTTCCTCCTTAACCTTGTCCACGATCACCTCTCTGTATTCGATCCGGTCTTCATAGCTCACCTTTTCGTTGTAGATTATGCGCGGAACCTCGATATAGCGGTCTTCATAGACGTATTTCGGCACAGAAACTTTCCTTTCTTCGAAGACCACTTGGATTAGAAGCAACGAATCAAAGATCATGATCGGTCGAGCTCTTCGTTTTTACGAAGAGAAGATGTACTAAATGGTTCCGGCAAAAGAAGTCTAAAATTGGATGTATGTATAGACGGTTGTGCCAATGACCCTTGATCTTATCTTGTTGAGCACGTTCAAGACTCTATAATTGGAGGAAAAACTATATCGGCATTCAACAAACTTTCACTCACATTTCGTAACTTCGGCACCACCACTTCTTTCACGACTTCCTTAACGGTCGGCACCTCCACTATTTTCTCCACTATTTGGATCTTGGGCTTTTCGATCACCCGCTCCTCTATCTTAGGCTGCCTCACAATCTTCGTCTTCTCCTTAACAACCACCTGTGGCACTTCAACAACGCGCTCGACTACGCGGTACGGTTTCACGCCGGTCTGATTTTGAGGTGGAATGTTGAAGTTGAAGATCAGCAGGAGTGAATATTTTTATCGTAGTTCTGATCAGCACGATAAGACTACAACTCCTCGTCGAGAGAAAATTATACTTAACTTTCTGTTAATGTAGCTACCCTCGTACTATCTGTACTCAGATAGAAGTTAGTAAGTACCACTTTCTTTTTATTCGTCTCAGTAACCATTTTCACTTTAGTTTCCTCCACATGTCTCGTCTCCATCTTCAGCGTCTCTTGAACCAGCCTCTCCTCTATCATCTTTGGTGCCGCTAGGTACCTGTGTCGTTCGCGCTCCTGGAGTCCCGTGTTATCGATCTCGAGGATTAGAACTAGAAGAAGACATGTTGATGTTCTTGAAGACCCTATTATAAATGAAATCGATGGATAGAAATGTTTGTACTTAAATTTTTTGTACTGAGTTAAATCTTCAATGGATAGAAATGTACTTCTATACTTAGTTGAAAAAATCTTCAAGATTCAAGTAGATAGCAGACGTCTTAAATGATGCGGTCCGATCGCATTTGCACCTTCCAGCAGGTCCGCGCGTTCTTCATGCCCTGCGTGTTCATCTTTTGTCAGCGCTCCTGCGCTCAGGCGCGTACTGCCAGCACTTCCACGACGACCGGAAGGGACGTTGTGAGCACGTAGAATGTGGTCATCACGCGCTAGATCGTACGCATGAGCGTTGATCATATCCTCCACAGCGGTGGGAGAGTTAGAGGGAAAACTAGAACAAGCACAGATGACGTCTGTATTCTGTGCTTCGGAAACAGCGTCTACGCTGCATGAGTCTATGACCAAGAGCTACTAGTTACAACATGAAATTCATTTTCATTGCTAAAAAAGAAGAACCGCTAAATAAAAACTGGAACAACAACTACTAGAAGATTGATTTGCTAAATAATAAAATCTAAATCATCAACATGCACCATAAGATGTGGCAAATCTCCAGTGCTTTCAGCGGAGTGTGGTGGCACTGCATCTGTGTGCTGATTGGAGCCAGGGGCAAAGCTTGGAACCGCATCATCGTCCAGATGTACCACGTCATCACCGTGAGCTTCGCCGTCGTCCTCCAGCAGTCCTAGACCACCTCTTGGATCGTAGTTTGGATGGGACGGACGATTAATATGCGCTTCACTACCAAGATGATCAAGCTTAGACGAGGTTGCAGCGTTTTTGCATTCTGCAGATCCCTTCTTGTTCTTCTTGACGTATTATTTTCATCCTCATCTTCATAGAAAAAATCAAGGATGATGGAAGTGCAGAATGCAATGTGGTGGTGGGAGCCCTTAACAAGCGGTGCGGTTTCTCCAGTCATGCGCTCAGTAAGGCGCTTTTCGATCGTCTTGCTACCCGCATAGTTATTATGCGTGGTATACCGGTTGTACACCTGTTTGTCGTCCACCGGTGACTCGTCAGTGTCCACTTTTTGTAGGTTATCCATCTTGTCAAGTGTTACCAATTGTTGCTTTATTCTCTTGAAGCAAGTACTTCAGCCAATCGTTGGTCTCGTCTAATCGTTGGTTTATCAGGGTTATCGAGCTTGAATTACAGTTCTTCTACACCATTTCTTTTTTTGAATTTCTATACTGATAATACTTAGACCATTTTTTGAGTCTCTCCAATTTTGTAGAGGGGTGCCTTTGTGGTTTCTGTCTGCGATTTTCCATTTCTACGATTGCGACGAGATATCTGCCTTCTGCAGTGTGACTAAAATGATATGGGGGAACTTTTTCGGGTAAGGGGACAGTTTTTTCTCTCGTGACCCACTCTCGGGGTTACCCGGGACACGGGGAAGTGAACAGCTGTAAAAGAACAACAAGGCAGCTTTATTTGCTTGGTTGCTGTGGAGAATCAATAGTGCCGAGACCAGTTTTTCCCATTTCGCGCATAGACGAAGGAAGTGGACAGCGAGGATACCTTCTTCAGAAATAGACCATCCAGGTGCTTGTCGGAAATCGCCCATTTCAGGAGACCACATTTGCTTGCCTGAAACAAGAGCCGGGCTTTCTCCGTAGTCGATTTCCATGTCATCAGGTTGGCCTTGTCCTTTCTTCTCCTCTTTCGGACCACCTTGATATCTTCTATTCGTTCACGTAACTACTTTTGTACATGAAAATGTGGGACGTTTTTAGTTCGCGACTTGTTCGATCTATGCGCCATGCTTAGTTTTTCTGTCCCGAGTTGAAATGTGTATTTTTATTTGCTTTTATCAGCCGGCAAGCTCCACTCAGAGAAGCGCTTACAATCGATTTCCATAAATGTATCGCATCAATACCACGCTCTTGTCCTTGATACCTCTAGTGCTCCATAACTACAGAACAGCGCCTTTACTTTACCGCGTCTTCATGAATTCGAGTGAGTACTTACAATGTTTCTATGTGCTTCCATTTTCGAAAGACTTCATCCCAGAAGAGCAAAGGTCTATATTTTCACGAGCGTGTACGGTGTACTCTTAAACGTCTTCTAAATCAGATCGATGCAGGCTTATCAATTAGATCTAATTCCCTTCTAAAACTCACATTTCTCGTTTTCCACTCATTCTTTCTAGCGGCTGCGGTGGTGGCGCCAATCGCTGCAGCTTTGTGCGCAACGTCGCGACCCCTACTTTAGAGGCATAGGAAATCCATCTCCGGAATCGTGTGGCTCTCTTTTTCTTCTTGTTTTCTTCTTCCAGATGACTTGGGAGATGAATTCCGTACACCCATAACTAGTCTGCAGATAGCACGCACATGCGGACTCGCGTCCAAGCGGATTTGGGCCTCTAGTGCCGTCTTAATCCGCAAAGCTAGACTGCGATGACTGTGGACTCGCGGCAGAATAGATGAAAGTCACCTGGAGTGGAGGCTGATTCACACTGAGTGTGAGTATACATCTTTCCTAATCATGACATGATGAATTAAGTACACACGAGGTCGAGGAGTGCTGGAAGAACAAGTATCAAGCGTCGTGGTATACTTGTTACTATACGTGCGTCCGTAGCTTCTGTCAAAGAGCCACCGGGCCACCACATACAATAGGGTAACTAATCTCCATCTACTCCACAAAAAGGTTGATCATATCATGTCACTTATCAGCATGCGCAAATCTTCTCTCGATTGTCGCGGCAGCATTGCCACTAGCGTTCTCGCAATCACCTCAGTGACCAGCCTCTTGAAGCCACCACGGCACCAGAAAAGACGCTCTGTGAGAAGGTCAGGGACTTGTTCTTCATCGCGGTCATCATAGGATATTAGCGGCTGGAAGTGGAACTTGACCGACCTAGCTCGCATATTTACGGCTTTCCTACTTGAAGAGGCCATAGATATGCGCATATATCGGTCAACTTACAGCGCTTAAGGATACTCTCGTTCTTGGTGTTTTGTCCGTCTTCTTCATATTATCTGCTGTTTTACAACTCCTTTTACTACTGGCTGTCGTGGCTCGTTCGTTCCCACTAAAAGTACAGCAATCTTCACTCCTACACGATGTACATGTACTAGACGAACAGAATTTAGTTGATGCCAATGCCGTGAGCGTTTTGATCTTTCGACGAAGGATCGGATGTCGGATGCGCGTGGCAAGTTTTCTCCTATGCTTTTCTGCAGGAGAAACGACAGAGATCATAGGCTTTTTCTGGTCAGGACAGGTTGGGGTGCTGCTTGTTTGAGTCTGTCCTGAGGAAGATGCTGAACCCGATGAAGCTGAACCTCCACTCTGTTGCAAAGACAAGCTACAACAGCCTGTAGGAGTCGTTATTTCTGAGGAACTTTTTTTATTACGGAAGGTGAAGACTCCTGAACCACGTGGTGTCGTTGTTGGAGAAAAGTGCTGTAAGAAGTCTTGTCCTAGTTGCTCGATTGCTGCGTTAAGATCGGAGTCTACTTCTGCGCCTTCCGACGGTTTTGTTGTACACGAGTCCCATCGTGCTGTGCTTTTCAAAACTGTTTGATGTTTTCCAGCAGGTCGAGGGGACACAAGCGGATTAGCAAAGAGAAGTGAAGCTAATTCATCTGATTCCGGTGATAACCCTTCTTTATCGACGTCGATGGCGTTGGCAGCATCTCCTGCTTGCTCTCTACTAGGAGTTGTCGTGGTATACCAATCATCACCAAAAGTCGTTTCGTCGAAGTCAGACCTACAATATGCACCCATCAAAGTCATCATATACCGGGAAATGTCATGAGCAAGAGCTTCCTTTTGTTCTTGAGCATCCTCCGGTGCATCATCTTCAGGGGTCTGAGATTGCAATTTGTCGATTTCTCTCTTCATTAGAGGTAGGTTTTTGGTGCTCGCTTACCCCGCTTGTTATGCCTTTCTCCCTTAGGAGAGGCATAAAAAGCGGTAAGAAAAGCACCTTTAACCTACCCTTAACTTCACATCACTGCTACTGCTAGCCGTATTGGGATGCTTCTCCATCTGCTCCTGCTCCACAACATGCCCTTCACAACTACCATCTTCGCGTCCCTCAACGTCCATAGGACAAGGCTCATCATGCTGTTGACTCTGATGTTTAGAAACCCCGCCACTAGTAAGTTGTACAGGTGGTTTGTCGTTGTCAATCATGAAGTCGGAGGAGTCGCCAAGTCTGATGCCTTCTGTTTTCTCGACCTCCATTTTCCTGGGAGAAGGGAAAAAGCTCAGCTTACGCCTCCGTAGTACTGATCCTGATTGCTGTTCCTTCCTTGTACTTGGTCCATCGTCTTCTGAGTCGTCTCCTGGTCCTACCTGTCTTTCTTCTACATGCGAACCGTGTTCCCGTTCACGCAATTTGTCCCTCACTAATCTGGTTAATTCTCGCGATGACGGAATCTCAGCGCCACTTCTTAGGTTGAGCTCAATGTGCGGTGTGCCAACGTAAGTGTGTGCGTCGTCTTCAGGAGTGGAGTCCTCATCGGGCACGTAGACAAGTCTTTGGAGGGCGAGTCGAGGAGATGCTGGGCTTTGGCGCGCGGAGGTAGTACTTGACAAAGCGGATTGCTGCACCTCGTGCACCGCCTGTATTCGCGATCGCTCTGCGCCTACAGTGACTGCGTGCTCTGCGGAAGTTGTACCCGAGTCACTGCCTCCTGCAGTACTACTACTGCTACTCGTGGAAGTGAATCTATAATGATGTTGCTGTTCTCCTCCACCATGAGCGCTGTTTGCCGTGGTAATGCTTCCTTCACCTGCTGATGCTGAAGATGCTGTTGCTGTTGATCCTACGATCTCCCCTCGTCCTGGTACAGTTTGATGCACCTGCTGGTCCTGAAATCGTGGCCTTACCCTTTCTCGTCTTACCCTTTCTTGCCGCAGTTGATCATTAAGCTCGTGCTCCTCCTGCAGGACGTGCAGAAAGGAGAGCTGATCACTCAACCGACTGCTCGCCTCATCTACTGCTTCCACCTCCTCTATCTCAACATCCCGACCCTCGTCGACACCATCCCGACCCTCGGCGTCTGGTTGTACGATCCGCACTTGCACAGGTCGCTGACCGATTGCACCCATTGACTGTAGGATTTGGTACTTAGAAGATTTAGATTATAAGAAGCAGATTTCTTGTACAACAAACTTCAAGATGTAGTTATTTTTTACCTCCGAGAAGCCTGTCCTTACGTATTAGAAAGAATTATCCCAGAGGACGACATCGTATTACCACGACATCGAAGACAAAGCGAAAACTTTCTCGTAAGATGCAGTTCATTATAGGTCACTTGGCGCACCCATTCGTCAGGATCTCTCGCTAGTCGTAGCAGTTCGCCAAGAAGATAAACCAATTCCGTCAATTCCTGTGGCAAACGCTGTGCCATTTCCTGATCTGGATCGTTGGGTTGGCATAGAGGACAAGTGGTCTGTACCACGTCGTGGCTCCCAGTTGTATCACTTGTCCTAGTCGTTGTACTAGCGGGTGCCTCAGGCGTTGTCCCAGTACCTTGAGCAGTGTTCCCGCTTCCCCTTCTCCACAGGTGATGAAGGGAGCTCTGCCGATAAATGTTCTGCCACAACATTGCGGTGGTGTAAGAACCATGAACGCGATTAAACGTACAGGCTCGATCGCGGCTGAGCTCTCGTACCATGTTCAGGATTGCTTCTTTGAGGTCTCTTGAAAACGCCTTGTCTTGATAGATGCCATCAATGACACGACTAGGCCTTCGGTCCTCATGGTGAAGCTCGTGCCTTGCTTGAGATAGGAAGTTAGAGCTAGAGGTAAAGGGGTAGGATCGATGGTCGTCTAATCTTCCTCTTAAGTTCGTTAGTTGTACGAAAGAATCTTCATGATCGTTCTTCACATCACAATTTTTACTAAATCTACTTTCGTCCTTAAATATTTCAGCTGCACGATATCGCTTGTGCTCCAAAAATTGCTGCGCTAGTCTCCGACTCGTGCATTCAAACCCCGTCGCAAGTTGCCGAACGAAACGGACCGCGTTCTTAGTCTTTGCTAAGCGAGTCTTAGAGGTGCAGTTTGATTCTTTTCTCACAGCAAACAGGTGCAAGGTTGTCGTATTTGTTTTCTAAACTAATGCTTCTAGTTACTCATGATCTCTAGGTACATAAGTAGAAGTATTATTTAGAAGTCCATCATATATATTATGAACAAACGAACGACAACTTTTGGACGCATAAGCTGCACCTCTTCCGGTCTCCGACTCCTTGTCCTGTTCCAATCATGATAACCATTGTCATCATCGTGGAACGCTACACAATCAGGACAGACACACCAAGCGTGCTGATCGGCTTCAAAGATCGAGTAGGAGTAACCTCCTCCGAAAGTGACCCCAAGTGGCGGAGGAACCGTTGATGTCAGGGAATGGGTCGTAGGTGTGGTGTGATTTGCATTTGTTTTAGAAGGTGCTGTAAGTACTACTTTTTACCTTACATGAGGCATGTACGAAAGACTGTGTATGTGATTAGTGATAGGGATGGGGTTCTGGTGCTCTAAGAGAGGGCCGCCAGGAGTGGGCAACTCGCATTGATTTCCTTCCGTCAATCAGTCAAATGCTCACAAAAGATCTGCGTTGACTCCACAGAGTGGGCCATGTTGAAGCAGAGTTTTAACAAAGAGAAAGAGCTACTAACTTCTCGTCTTCGTTATTTTAATATTGCAGTTTATAATTGCTCCTTCCCTAAAAGTAGAAGTGACGCCACTAGAACTCGAGTTCTCTCCATGATGTTGATGTCCATCAGCAGCTGAAGCAGAGTTTTTCCATCCGGCACATGCGTGCTCTATGACGACCTTCAACGCCGCGTCACGTAAGAGCCCGTCAGTGGCTGAAGTTGAAGACGAGGAGCCTCCTCCAGCCTTTCGTAGTACCAGACGCGCATCGACAAAAAACGTTCCAGCACTCTTGGTCACAACAAGCCAACGCAAGGTGGCAATGGCGACGAGAACGCGCTGACCAAATGTTCTGGGATAATTGAGCACCGTCATCATTGTGATCCTATAAACCTAGGCAACTACTTAGGAGCGCGAGCGTTTTTGTGTTCTTGTGGAGGGAGTAGTCATACAATTACGATTACTCTTGACATGATGACAGACAAGTACAAGTTCGATTTAAGATTAAGATTAAGAGATTTCTGGCTTACGACAGGCAGCGGCCAGGGCTCCAGAAGTCTGGGCTCAGAAAATGTGCGTACCAATTTATCCAGATATCGTGGTCTAAATCAAACCGATGATGTGCTTGTGCAGTATTCTTTCTCCAGAAATGGCAACTCCGATCCCTCCAACTTCCTTCCTCAAGCAGCCAAGATGAGGTGGTTCATGGTTCACCTTTTCTTTTTTACGTTCATTCATTCATTCAGAGGGCCTCCACGAGGATTGTTTTTTTTTTGTAGTCCGAGAACGCCGAAAGGGTGATCCCAGGATTGCCGGGAACCGGACTCGTGGAGTAAGTATTATTTAAGTTCCAGGTCTTCATAGAACGACTATTAATTTGGGAGAGGAGCGGATCCCAACCAGGAAGGAAGATGGAGGAAATTAAATCCACCAGCACCTTCACTACTTTTTTCAAAGCGGGAATCAATTTGCAGGCATCGTCGTGTGCCATATATCTACGTACAAGATGCTAGCGGTGCTTGTGAATGTAGAAGTAGTTCTAGTTGTAATAGAAAACAGAAGTTGGGATCTGTCACAAAAGCTGTAGATTGAATCTTCAGATGATTGAAATTGTGAATAAGTTGATTGTAGCACGAGTTGTTCTACTTTGACGGAGTGAAATTGAAAATACCTATGTATAGATACTTTTTGATTGATTTTTTATTTTTGCTAGGATGAAAAATTACTAGGAGATGAATACACAGGTGTATCGTGTATTTCCGGATGAAAATGAGAGATACAACTCTACTTCAAAAGCTGCTCCAATTCCATTTGAATTTCTTGTCTTGTTACAACTGTCGTTTTCCTTGCTGTTCCTCGGGTTCGTTCGATCGTGTCTCTTCTGGCAGCGAGGAGCAACTAAAACGACCCAGCTTGCCGACATCTTCTAATTATATTAATTTCCGACTATGGTGGAGATCCAGACCTAAGAGAGAGTAAGACAGAAACGTCAAAAAGATACACATGCATAGAAGTGGGGTGAACTACGTCTAATGCACTCTAAGCGACACCCACCAAGCAGGGATAGAGAACCAGTCCCAAACGCATTTTGGATATCAGAGTGACACCTCGTGGTAGTGAAGATAACTCGTTTTTAACTCGAGGTGGTAACTAAAACTAGTGCGACAAAATAGGACTGTAATTATCTGCTATTTCGTATATTGAAATTGAAATGTAGTGAGACAGAGAGATGAACATGATAGACTTACTTGACGTCTATCATCAATACCAAAAAAGCCAAAATGAAGTGACCGGTAAATACGACTAGCGTTCTTTCGCCGATAAGTGAAAGAAAAGCTCCGTCTTTTGATAGTCGCGGTGAAGGCAAATGTGGGACTCCACTACAAGGTAAATGAAGAGCGAGGTTGCAAGAACTACATCAACAGTACTCCTCAAAGGCAATGAAACGGATCATGGAAACCAGGATTATGGTAACCACAGACACCATCTTCACAGACAGCACCTCTATGACTTCTCCGACCGCTCCGCTTCTTCCGCAGCGTCTGATATTAGAGGTCCTTTGTACTACACGATCTATAATATCTGCTGAGTCTGACTCTGAGGCTGAATAGAGATGTCTGACTCTAAGGCTGAATAGAGATGTCTGACTTTGAGGCTGAATGGAGATGGAAAAAGCCCCCTGCTCTGCATAACAACGCAACGACAAGTCGGCGACCCTGGGTTCCATCATCACCGTCGTCCACGCTAAGAGGAGCAACAACTAGAAGACCTCTTTCCTCATCGTCGCTGGAAGCAAGTTAGACAAGGGCGTGGTGGATGAGGTTTTATTAACCTTCTTGCAACAACTACAACCGTTATTAGCTGCACTCTCCGTAGTTCATCTTCCAGCTGCATCCTTGAAAAGTATACCAGAGTATCGCACTGGGATGCTCCCCCATACGTTTCAAGGATGCAGTCGAAGATGCATTAGCTACAGCCTTAACGTTACATCATTCCCCGTGGAGGCCACAGACCTAGTAGCAGAACCTTCAATATTCAAATGTCATGTGATGTGTGTGGTCCCTGAAGATATGGTGGTCATTCGTAACCACCGTAAATATTCAAAGGTACAGAACGTGAACAACGCTAGCACACGCCATAATCTTGAGCTGCCCTGTCAGCGTCATGCTTCATCTGTTCGGCTATGTTAGAGCTACCGCAGTCGCATCCTTGAGGCTATCTCTTTTTCTGTGTCCTTTTCTACTCGAAAAAGAAACCGAGCTATGGATGATGTTGGGGATGCATTCTCGGTTGCCTTAATTACAGTGTCTTGGCTTGTCTCACTCGCGTCATCGCTGCCTGACTCATCTCCTGAAGCTACTGTCATAAAACGCTCCAACGCTTCTCCCTCAAACGTCAACATGGTCCGACCGCAGATTAGAAGAATTGTCTTGAATTGTGAAACCTTCTGAATGTTGAGAATGGAGAGGGACTTTCAATTTCATTTCGTTTAACAGAAAGAAGACCAACTTCAATAGATCAAGAAACGTACCTCCGACTAACTATGAGAGAGTAGTAGGAAATCTCAAAGCAGGAGCACAAGAACATCAACATCATGTTTTTCGAAGTTCTACTATTTCATATCACGCGTGGCAACAGCTGAGAGTTGTCCTACAACTTAAGCGAGAAGCGTGTTGACTATCACTGCTCTCCTCATCTGTTATCTCTTCTTCTCCAAACACATCGTATTCTTTACGTGTGAAGACAACTGAGGAGCCATATTGCTCGTGCTGACGCTCGCCTTGATCCCTGCTCTCCGACGTCGTTGCTTCAGTATGAACAGAAGAGCTTGGAAAAACATGGATCTTTTGTTCAACCGTTCAAACAGCGTAAAACTTATAAACTGGTATAATTACTATCTACATCTTCTTTACAATATATTACAAAGAACAATTAGACATATAAACTGGTAAAGGCAATAAAAGTACTACTAGCTTTACCTTTACTTCTACTAATATCTACAACTACATCTTCTTTCTCTCTCGTGGAAGCAGAGGGCTAGCATATGGCTGATGTACATGGTAGAGGGCCAGCGAAACGTGTATGATGTACATGTTGGACGGGATGAATCTTGTATCTCTAGGTCGTCATGATCATGCAAGTGGTAGTGAATACAGAAGAGCCACCGCGATTATGGAAATTGAGATTGTGACATGATATTAGCCCCGACTCTGAAGATGCCACGACTCTGAGATAGCTACTGCCACGAGGTTGAAGATGCAGGAGTAAATACAAAGAGTTGTATCTATAATTGTGGTGGAGCCGACCTAACTAGAAAAAAGAAAGACCAGAGGAAGATAGAAAAGCGAAAAGGGTAACTATCAGCATGTAACCTCCTATCTGCTGACACTATAATCTATAATTTTCGAAGTAGTTGTTCCAAGAGATGTATTCATAACCTCATTCCCCGGTCCTTCGAGGGGACGCGCGGGCCGTCGTTGCTTTCGTTGGATCCTGTTTTCGCTTCTCATATTAGAAACACGGGATCTACTCATATTTTTAGAAAGCTAAGGTATAAATCGCGTGACACTAAGATTATAAAATTGGTAGTGTAATAAACTGTCGAATAATTCTACTAATGTCTGCTAGAAGATGAATGATAGGAGAAAAAGAAAGTACCCAAGACGTGGCGGCCCAGAAGGACAAGGACTACTTTCAGGAGGAGCTAAATGAGCACTTTCATAACTGAGGTCGTCACTGTAGCATTGCTCCTTGGAAGCTACTCATCAAGAGAAACTTCTGTAGCATAATAATTGCTTTCAACTACATGTTGATTATAGTGGTACTCATGCCAAATCAAAATTTGCAAGTACTCAAGCAACATGGGAAGTACAGTTATTCTAAAAAAGTTAGTTGTCTCCCACGAGTCCCGTCATAGATAGGTATAATTATACCAGCTTTTTGGACGAGTCCCACCAGTGCCCAACTTGTTTTTCTGCTCCACATCCGGATCCGCATTTCCACCCAGCAGACGGTCCAGGGTTGGCCTCACTGCTGGTATTTAGAAGAATTTGGGAGTTCGACATCACTGACATTTACCTGTTGTAGAGGTATCTTTTGACCACGCTTGAGCGACATATAACTTAATTACTGCTCACTGAAACAAAAAGAAAATTTTTCTTTTAGGACACGTGAGAAGTGAAATGCTTTTAGCGGCTTCTGGTATCAGCAGTGCCAGTGTTAGTCAATAACACCCAGGCGGTGGTGAAACCAGGAGCACTGCTGCTGTTAAAAGTGAGAGTGTTGATCAATACGAGTGAAGATCCGAAAAGCCTAAGCCTAAGCCTTAGCTCAAATCGGCATCCTGCTTCGAAGCCGGAATCACTTCGTATTCGAGCGTCCCACTCGAAGTCGAACTCCTTCTCTTCGTTCGGGAATTAGACTCTGATCTTCTAAGAAAGGGATCCAGTTGTTCAGGCTCAGGGACATGAAGATATCTACCAAGAAAATTTTAGGTAGCCTGTCTAAAAAGTACTGAAAACTACACCAAAGTAGACACGATGTTTACCACGCTGCAGCTATGCAGCTTCTATGATATAGTAGACCCTAGACTTCTCAAATATCAGATAGAGGTCCCATCAAATGTTCCTTCAGATTCAGTGGACTAACACGAAAAGTCCATGGTCATCATCGTTGTTCAACTTCGGACTAAGACTAGCTCATATTTATTCACCTTCTACGGAGTAACTGCAACCCGACTTCTAGCTCTTCCTCGTTGTTCAACTACCGAATAGTTCCATATCAATCTGTAGGTCGTAATTTTTGAGTCCCTTTTATCCTTTGCCGTTTTATTCCGGTTATTTACCGAATCTGATTTGTGGCGACTCGTCTTTCTTCCTTTTGCAGCCTTGGAACTTGCGATTGAGAAGAACTTGTGATTGAGAAAAATAACATTCAAATTCATCGTGGATTAAGTACCTAGAAGTCGTGCATGCTTCTAGTAATGCATGATGCTCATTTAGGGTTCTTACAAGACTCCTACCTAGCTTCTAGAGCTAGAGCACCAAGTGGCTTTCTAATGGTTCTCCTGGGTAACTAAAACCTGTGGAGGTCTATGCTTCTAGGAAGTCCTGCTGTGTGGTCAAAGATCTTAATCGACTCATCATCGAAGCTGCCTCTCCGACTGCTGCCCGACCCGTCTCGCCGCGACTCATGAGCATCTGCCTCTTCGCCACTCCCCATTGACGTCTTTGACAAGTTAGAAAAGTACTCAGTAGGTATTCTTACTCTTCTTAGTTCTAGCTAAACTTCCTCGAGACTCGTGTTGCCTTGCACTAGTACTCTACTCATGATTCTATCTTCTCTCTTCCACCATTTTCTTCTACACCAACATCTTCTCTACCACAACCTGCTTCATCTTTACAACTACACTACATCTTAGATCCCACTAGAACTACAAGATAAATCGAAAAAAAAACATAGCATTATGCATCTATGTATGAGGGCGTTCAGTGAAGTAGTACCTTCTAAGAAGAGCTACGACACCGATAAATAGGCAAAGATTTTGTAAACAATTGCAGTTCTACTTGCCTGTTAAGAGAAAAAGCTTTGAAGCGGAGAGAACAGTTGTTCTTGAAATGAGGAATACTACACCTAGAGGTACATTACCTGTGCAGCACGTAGCCCATCAGTTACAATCATGAAAAAACGAGAGGGGGAGGGTAGGGTGGCGAGCCTAAAAAAAGATAGAAAAACAACAGAGAATAAATTAACAAGCCTGTAATGATCATCTTCAGTCGTGTTGTCAACGAACAGTCTTCAAGAGCACATTAGATTTAGGTTTTACTTAGAGCACATTAGATTTAGGTTTTACTTAGCGGGCCTTTCACCTCAGCCCCGCACTTCACTTGCAGCCGGACGATCGGTAGAAATTACGATTGAATTACAGTGAGTCAAGAATATGTGGAAGATCATCAACATACTGCATGATTTACCTACAGAGTACTAAGAACTAATAACAACAGAGATCAACAACTAAAAACCAAGAAGGATCGCAGACAGAGTAAAACAGACAAACAAAACTTGAAGGACGTGCTGAGGAAGAAACTAGATAGTTGCGAAAACAAGATGGCGTTGTAAGATCAGTTAGCGAGAACTGCTGAGTTGCGAAAACACGATGCGAAATCAGTTAGCTAAGTTAAGAACTCACTTACACTCCAGAGTCAACAGCGAGGGCATACCTTTTTTTGTCAAGAATATGTGGAAGATCATCAACATACTGCATGATCCAAAGCGACCATCCTAGGCCATCGGCGCGATTATACGATAGACTTCCTGCGGATTATACGATAGACTTCCTGAGGACGTAACTGCAGACTCAGTCGCTGCACCTTGTGCAGGGGCACCCAGACTGCCTGGATCAATCTCGGCAAACGACCCTGGACTTTTCGCGCCATCTTCTGGACTTGCCGACTGGCTATACTCGTACATCCCAAGTTTACATTAGAAAAGGTCAACGTCTTCAAGGGATTTAGAATTTGAATTACAAGAGTGAAGAGGACGTCCTTCTATACGGAGAACGTCCAATTCAACAACTGGCGGTCGTTCAACTTCAACAACTAAATTGAAAGCATTTGCTTATTCTACTGTTGCTGCTGCAAACGAAGCTGCGAACTATTGCTGGTAGAAGAAAAGCCGCATGAAGCAATATTGGCAATGCAGCGGCATCATGTATTAATATGGTGTTAAGTGCGTCGTGAGAAAAGTGTCCAGAAGTTACATCAGGCATGAATCTAGTACCATTCTAACCTAGTTCTAGAGTCAGCGCCGCGATCATGTAATAACGTGTTAAGCGTGAGATAAGTGCAGGAGCGTTTAAGGCTTGTGAGAGAGATAGAAGAGAGAGAACAAGATTAAGATTTTATACATAATGAGACAGACGAGAAGATGAGAACAAGTTCCGCGATCATGTAATAAATTCAGTGTTAAGGTTAGACCTTAATTACTACCACTACCGCTTCCCAGTGTCGGAGTGCCTGCCTTGTCCTCATCGTCTTCATCGTAAAAACCGCCTAGGCCGCTTAAGCGAGATAACAGCACCATATTCCCGTCAGCATCTTCGCCTTCAATGACGTCCGGCCCGCTGATGATTAGCGGTATACTACCACAGCACTTTACTTAAGTACTAACACTATGCGAGACCACACTACACTCTACTTGAGTACTAACACTATGCGTGGTCGCCCCTGAGTGTTACACTCTACTCAATAACAGTAACACTATGTGTGGCCCCTGAAAAATGTTAGAAGCTCTGGACTCTCAGAGGCCTCACTTCTGACATTGCTTGATGATTTTGGACGTTAGGAGTGGACATTTTTTTACAATTACAAGTTTTGCGATGGGGGGTTATGGCGGGTGGTATACTCAATGAAAGCATGACCCACATTTTTTCCAGGACGCTACCCGGCGACGGTGGGAGTGCATTAACCTCCAACGACGCACCAGCTGGGGTGGCCGCAGAGAAAGCAAGCATTTCACAGGCTCTCTACTCACCTACACGAGTCGTGTCTGTGGTTGAGAGACTCTTGGGTGTGGGTTGCTTTTCTTGTTGCCCTTGATTTCTTCTTTGATTCATAACGATTGACTGATTGATTGATTGATTGATTGATTAATTGATTTCTGTGGGTAACAAGAGCGGACATTTCTAGTACTTCATTAAATCAACTCAGGATAGTTGTACGCCACGCCAGATATTCATTCATTGCGTAGCCCCAGTTAGTTCTTCTAGCCGAATGGCGGGAAAAAACAGTTCCAACAGTGTGTCAAAAATTGACGGCCGTAGAAGTGTAAAGCTTAGTAAGGGGAAGGAATAAGAAAACAGCTTCGGAAGATAGTACAATAACCCAGACGACCTGAAGGGGGACTTCACAACTCATAATACCTCCGACCTTAGGTAGTTACACTTCCACGGCCGTCAATTTTTCACACACTGTTGGAACTGGTTTTGCCCGCCATTATAGGCTAGTTGTGTTCCACGACCTCCTCACACAAGATACTGATGCACAACTAGTACTAGCCTTAAGAGCAAAACGTAGCAGCCCAGGGTGAGTACCACGAAAAGAACGACCAGAATAACTAAAATGCCGGAAACCAATACCCAGCTCTGCCACGTCTTCAGAGAAAACATCACACCCCATGATCCACTGCTATCCTCTTGCGACGACGTAGAGGGAGCCGTATCCGGTGCGGGTGCGGCATCGGTGGTTGTATTAGTATGGTCATGTTCGTTTCTCAAGTGTATCCTGTCTAACGTCATGTCATGGAACCTCTGCCATAGCCCTGCGTGTCTACTTATGAGGCCTTTGAATGTGGGAGTGCCTCGTAGTCAAGTCTGAAACAAAGCTTACATCACAGAGCTGCAACGGGGACCGGCCGCCTCATGGTAAGAAGTATTCCACGACATCGCGTTCCGGATGAAGATAACTACGGATGTGTGTCCTCGCCATAATCATGAAGATCATAATCAAACAAGTCATTATTATGATCTTCATGATTATGGAACGGAAAAAAAGCTAAGCCTCGAACATTCATTCATCCATTCATTTACTTAGCACGAGCCTGAAAAGGTTTGAAACATGAACACTATTACGGTCGTTATTAAATATTAACTAGTTACTTTACTTATTAAGGTGAGGTTAGGTAATTAAGGTTATTAAGTTATTAAATAACTAGTTACTTGTCAAGTAAATTCAAAGAAATATTGCTGTGCTAGTGCTAGTGAGCACTAACACTAACTTGATGTTATAAGTATATATGCACTGGAGGAGCTTGCGGGGGAAGTGATTATACTAACTGGTGAGTTAACTTAGGTGAGAGAAAAGATACGCTCTCTGGAAGGTTCCTGGACGACAGTCGACAAAAAATGTCGGCTGAGGGACCAACTAGGGAGAGGGTTGGGGGCAACGGGCCCCGCGAGCCCCGTCGTGTGCGGTGCAAAAAATGCACTCACGCGCGACGCCGCCGGTCGATGCAATGGCACATCTCGGCGAAGGCGAACCACGGTTCGCGCCTCCACGGGAGGCTCGGGTGCGGTCGGGTGAGAGCGTTAATGCTACACCCACGGGGCGGAGTTCACATGCAGAGCGGAGCAGAGCGGAGCGGAGCGGAGCGGGCTGCCGGCGCACGGGCCAAAGCGCTCGTGCGTAGGCCGCGGGAGGGCCAACGCGCCCTCCGGCGGTGCGGTGGGCAGGCGCGTGGCGCCCAGTGGGGGGTGCTGGGGAGCTCGTAAAAATCGAGTTCCGCCGCGCGCGCGGCGCGCCATCCCCTCGCGGGGCAAAAATCGCCGCGAGGGTTTGGCGCTTGTGGCAGCACATTTTCGTAACCTCAAGCTGAAAGCTAGCTTGGGCAGGTCAAAAAACTTTTCTTTTTCCCAAAAATCCAGGGACTTTCTGTGCGCGTATAATCGCAATCTAGAAACTAGTGACTAGTAGTGCCCCCGCACTCTGGTTTTCAGCAAAACAAAAAACAAAATGACCTCCCTGAAAAGCGTCGGAGACCTCGTCATCCACACAGGCAAAAATCCTGTGGGGAGCGAGGACGTCGACGAGAAGGGCAAAGCCCTTCTGAAACTGATCGACGGATCACTGTTTCACCCCTCCATGGCGGAGGCCATGGAGGCGCTGCAAAAGCAGCTGGAGGAGAAGACGCAGTATGAGGATAAACTCATCTTCTGCGCAAACATCCAGGACTGGATTGCAGCACTCCGACAGATGGTCGGTGAACTTCCGGAAACGGAATTCATCGACACGGTCAAAAAAGACCTGGAGGACCCGCGCTTCGTGGGGGAAGGTGGAACCCTAACCGAACAGGGCACCACCTTGATGTGGTTCCACTTGTGGTTGGGCGCATACCACGAGGAACTAACGGCCGAACCCTGGGCCTCGAAGTCTCTGATTAAAAAAGAGACTTTTGAAGCCGGCGCGAAGCTCGCCGAAAAACGAAAGTTTCGGGAGGAAAACCCGCAGCTGAACCTGGCGGAAGTCCCGGCGCAGACCGCCAAAAAGGAGGTGATAGTCCGCTACCTGATCGAGCGCACCAACAAAGAGGTGCTCAACGACTGGGACGCGAAGCCGGCCAAGACGCCGTGGACGTCGGTCCGCAAGGCGCACGAGGAGGAGGACCGAAAGCTCCTCGAAGAAGAGGAGAAGCAGCGCAAGGCGGAGCTCGAAGCCAAAAAGAAAGAGGAGGAGGACTCCGTGGACTTCGCCGACAAAAGCGAAGAGTCCTCCGAGGAGCCGCCGGAGACGGCAGCTCTGTTCAAAACGTTCGCGAAGAAGACCGCAAAGGCCATCGCAACGGCTTTGAACAGCAGCGGAGAGGACAAAATCCTCTCCTATGACGACACGCGCCCGGCTAGCGAAGGAGAAAAATTCTTCGTCTACCGACGCGTAAACGGCGTCGAGAAGAAAACAGAGGTGAAAGTCGTCTGGCCTTCCGTCTTAACTCCGGGCGAGGAAGTCGCAGACGCACAGGAGCAGTATAAAAACTGCTTCTTCACGAACGGAGAAAAAGCCTCTAAGCAGGCGAACCACGTGCTCACCGCGTTATTAAAACACGTGGAAAAGCACGGCCTCCGCTCCGTTTTCGACGTGGACGAAAACAGCGTCCTGAACACGACGGCAGGCCAACGCCTCAACCAAAAGGCGCTGGCGCTGCTCTTCGGAGCATACGCGGCCGCAGGCATCTGGGGCGAAGCCCAGGTGGGAAAAAACCAACCCAAGGTCTCAAACTGCGCCATCGCAGGCTTTAACGGAGACAACCTGCAGCGCACAAACAGCGCGTTCCAGAACCTGGTCCGGAAACAGGTCGTCGCCAGCGTCCCGGCTGACTACTGGGACAGATGCAACCTGGACCAGTGCTGGGAGACGCTGCGCCGCGTGGAAAGCGCCATCAACGGCGCCACCGACCTGCAGCCCTTCGACTTCATGACCGAGTTCAACGAGAACTTCCCAGAAATCGCCATCAAAAAAATGATGGTGTTCTTGGGATTCATGAAGGAAGGCTCCCGCAGCCTCGACGCGCTCCAGCAGAAGATGAAGCGCTGGGAGACCGGGCTGGTGAACAGATACATGTTCAACCTGCTGGCCTGGTACAACCACTTCGGTCTCCACCTCATCGACGAGGCGCGCTACACGGACGAGGAAGACGGGGGAAAAATCAAACCGCCCGTCCAAAAAGCGTTCTTCAAGGAGAACATGGAGGAAATCAAAAATGAAATGTTCTCCATGCGAGACGCCGAGGCGAGCTTAGGCAAGCCGAGAAGCGAACGTGTGACAGTCACACTGCGCTCTCGTAGCCACAGCCGCCGCCGCAGCGAATCGCGAGAGCGATCGGCGAGCGAAGGCCCGCAAAACCCGTTCGGCAGCGACGCCGACAGCGGCGGGGACGACGACACGGGCACAACCATGCCGAGCGACACTTGGTTGGAGAGTTTGGATCTGGAAAAAACAGATTTCAACCCGGCCATGGACCCAGTCCACAACCGCCGCCTCGACAAACGTGTCGACGTGGTGCTAGCCGAGCGCCGAAACGCGAAGGGAGGAACACGCACCACATACTACGTGTACTTCCCTCAAACCGGCTTAGTGGAGCCGTCCGCATTGAAGTCCCTGAAAAATATGGGACTCATGCTTCCGCCGGCGGTATGCCACTGGTTCCACGCGCACAAAGCGCATGCGGTGCAGTCAGGCTGTCGCAACGACGCTCAACACCTGGAATGCACACACCACCACCTCATCGACCGCAACCGTCCTCCCCCAGACATCACTATCGCCAAGAGAACGTGGGCAGAAGTGATCCGCTCGCAAAAAGAGCTGGCCGAAGTCCTCTTCTCGGCCCGGTTGGCAGGGCGAAACATCAACCAGCAGCCAACCGGCACAGCGGCAAAACGAGCGGCAGCGAAGGACAAGGAAGCAATCCGCCACCCGAAAGACTTCGTAAAACCGAAAGTCCAGCCGATGAAGGCGATGAAGGCCAAAAACGGCCGAACACGCCGCCAACCGAAAGGACCCCAGCGAAGCGACGCAAACGCGATTCCGCTGGGACAACGGCATCGCAACGACAGTCGCGAAAAAGACAATCGTGGCCGCAACAAATCGAAGCGGTCGAACGAGCGCAAAAACAGCCGCTCGCGCGATCGACGCCGATAAGTCGATAGTGGTGGAGGGAAAAATCCTCCTGGGAAGAGACGTGAAGGAGCACGTTGGGAGCAAACGCTCCCTCGCGGTGTGGTGGAAGGAGCCACGCATAAGCTAGAACGCGACTAGCTGGAAGAAAAAGGCTATCGGCCTCGAGGACAACAAATCCTCGAAAAACAGAATGCAAAAGCATTCGCCATAAGTCCTCTGGTCAAATTACCAGGGGCACCGGACCATTATTCATTTAGTGGCGGAACAGTAAATTCATCCTTTTTGACAGAGTAAAAACCACTCTAGTTGAGAGGGAGGAAACAAATCAAACCACCAGTGACGACTGGTGGCCGAAAGGGAAAACGCGGTGGCGGCGGCGCAGTGTTCGAGGGAGCGACGAGTTACATCTCGTCAAGCTAAAGAGAGGGAAAACAGAGAGGGAAAGAGTTACGAGTAAGTAAAGAAGCTAGGCTGGGGAGACCACTTCATGAGATACGGCAAGAGGCCAAGATCCATGGTGGAGGTTCGCCTAAGCAGCCGCACGAACCAGCCTAGATAAAGAAGTAAGTAAGGACGAGAGAACAAACTAACTAAATAGAAAGAACGTTAGAGGAACAACAGCGAGAGATAATCAAAAAAGTAACATAGAATAAATGTCGAAACGGGCGGACGCACTGCGCAAAGCTGTCGATCTAAACGACGACGAGCTGCGCGCCATGGGAGAAGCCGACTCTACGACTAGAAACAAAAAGTCGCGAGTCGCCTTCTTCCTCGACTGGCTAGCGGCCAAGGGTGAAAAGCTACCCGTGAGGCCGGAGGCGGTGCAAAGATTCGCCGCCTTCCTAGTGTTCAATGAATACACCTCAGTCGCGCAGTACACATCCAGCGTCATTATATGGCTGGTAGAACCGCCACCCGCGGATGGCCCGCAGCGGCTTGTCGAAAGCCCCGCTATTCTCCGAAACATCGGTAAAAGCTTGCTCTTCCACCACTGCAGTCAAGAGGTCAGACTATAGGGCACTACCGAAGCCGTGCGACCAAAGCGAAACCTACGAGACCAAATGTCGCATCCCGTCCACCCGTAGGGAATCAGATGCTTACTATGACATAGGGCTTCAGGGGAACTGCCTGATACTCAGCAGTAGTGCCAAACCTTTATCGCCAACAGCCAAGACCCGAAGATCGAGGCACTGCCTGATGCTCAGCAGTAGTGCCCAACCTTTTGTCGCTATAAGAGGAAAAGCCAAGACCCGAAGGCCAAGGCACTGCCTGATACTCAGCAGAAGTGCCGCCCAACTCATACGAAAGCAGCAACATAGAGCAATAACGCTCACTGTCGCGCTATACGTATTACGCCAACAGCCATAACTCCAGGAAAGCCTTAACAGGGGGGAGCAGCCCACTAGAGGCGCTAAAACCCCAAGCAGCGCAGCGCCATCCGCTCCGCAACGAAAAGCACCACATCCACACCGCAGCCGCTCCGCACTACTAATAATTACGAGGGACACCAACAGACTAAAGCAGCGCCAGAACACCACCCGGACAAGACCCCCAGGCGCTAATCTTTAGTCTGCCCCCCCGGTAGAGCAGGGGATACCTACACGGCAGATGGGGACACCATTTGCCTCACCTTAAGTTTTCCAAAAACGCCAGACAGGAGACCCCGCGGCGCAAAGTGGGAGGATGTCCCAGCTGCAGCCATTGGGAGCCTGAAGAAGAAGACGACGAGGGCGAAGAGCTACAGCGGCACGAAAGCTACTACAACTACTGGGGCTACTGCGGGGGGTTAACTACTAAGGGAGGGAGGCTGTTTTACGGAGCAACGCCAACGGCTCCAACCTTCTATCGCCCAGGGGGTAGTCTGTGGCGACCCCACACCTAAACGCAGCTCACTAAGAGGAGCGCGAAGAGGGCGGGCTTCCGGGGGTACCGGAAGAGAAGGGGAAAAGGCAATTGAACGAACAATCCAAGACCACAACCCGAGGAAAGCAAAGCCTTTCCTACCGGGTACGAAGCTCGAGGCGCTAAAGGCAAAAGACCAAAAAATGGTCCTCCTTTGGGCGCTATCGGGATTGCGGGGCGACAGCATCGCGGCGGTGGACGACACGGACATCTCCAAAAAAGGAGACGTGTGGCGCATCCACATATCCGAAGACAAAATCCGCAAACAACGCGGTAGGATAATAGAAATCCACTGCAATTGCGACACCAACGCAAAAACAGCTGGTGCACGAAGTCGCTTTTGCCCGATGCACGGCGAAGGCGCTGTTATGAGATCTGATTTCCCATTAGGCAAGGCCAGGATAAGTAGCTTGGCGAAGGGAATTAGCGGCACGCTGCACAGCTGCAGGAGAGGACTCGCATTGGCAACGCGACGCGAGTGGGAGCAAGGGAAAATCTCCGTGAAGGAGGATGAATTCCTCACCCACATGGGCTGGGAACAGTCCAGCAAAATGTGGGACGAGTACACAGCCGACCACAAAACGTGGGAGGCTTCGGAATTCATCCCGCTGCACGGATTGCGCAGGCGGTGGCCCTCGGGGGGGGGTCCACCCCCGCGCGTCTTCGTGCAGCCCAAGGCGGTCCAAGAGGACACCTTGGTCAAGCGGACGATCAAGATCACCCCCAAGCAGAAGCTACAGAAGAAAGGGCGGATTCAACAGAATACCGTTACCAAAAAGGTGACGGCCCTAGCGCCAAAGAGCGCCAGTAGCAGCGGCTCAGGGGCACTCAAAGCAGTACCGGGTACAAAAAACGTACGCACCTGGCGGTTCTGAACCTCCAGTCGTCGGGAAAAGGATGGAAGGCGCACCAAGGAGGCGTCGAGAAAGGATGGCCCAAAGGGCTGGAGGTTCAAAGTGACCTTGTCCCCCAGCGGGGGGACAACGCCTGCTACTGCCGAGGGATTAGCCGCGCACCCGGGCCAAAGCGCCCCGGACCAAAGCGTCCGACGCGAAGAGCGAGCACCCGAAACCTCGCGGGTGCCGGTTGATTGACTCGTAGGGCGACGGTGCACGAACACCGGCCGAGCCGCGAGAGGGGTTACGACACCCGGACGTTGGTGTGCAACTCTCTCTGGGGAGGTAAAGGCCTCCCGCCACGCTCCGTGGCAAATTTATGGGCCGTAGGTGCAACGACCGGCGCCGGCAAAGACCTGGGTCTGCCGAGCCAGCCTACCGTGCTGCCACAGCACTAAAAAGTATAACTCACCAGTAGATTTAGGATCCCCGGGGGTTAAGTCTCCAGTTTGTATATGCACTGGAGGAGCTTGCGGGGGAAGTGATTATACTAACTGGTGAGTTAACTTAGGTGAGAGAAAAGATACGCTCTCTGGAAGGTTCCTGGACGACAGTCGACAAAAAATCCTCCCAGGGGCCAACCAAGCCTAGTCACAAAAAATGACGACTGCCACGCCACTACACGTCAGCCAAGCAGAAATGGAGCACGGCAACGACCGCCGCGAGCTCCATGACGCGGTCTGCAACTTCGTCAATCGGGTCCGAGCACAACTACACTTCGAGACCTACGGCCAAAAGCTACCACTCGAGTGGGAACAGCTGATAGCTGCCGAGAAGCTACAGCCGGCAGCGGTAGCCAAACGAAGAAAACAAGCCACCGCCTTGCTCAGACGTCTGAAGACGCAGACGGAGCAGGCAAATGCAGACCTGATAAACGCCACGGCGCCAGAGCACCTAAAAAGGGTGCTACAGACAACCAAAACAAGGAACGTCATCGCAATGAGAAAACTCATCGCATTGACGGGCCATCCGGACACGTCGCTACCGGACGACATCCTCCATGGATTTCAAACAATAGGGGAGTACAAGAGTACTGGCCTTTGGAAGGCAGACGTCAATGCCGCGGAGGCAAAGGACCTCAAAGAATTCTATAGCACCGCGGTAAAAATCCGGGATGCGCCTCCGAAGGGTTTCCCAGAGGAAGCCCTTCGGCAAGTCCTCAAAAACATTGAGGCAGACGTCCAGCTGGGCAGATACAAAGAGATCAACCCAGAGGACCTCAAAGTCATGCCGGCGTACGCCTTCCCAAAGGTCGAACCTGAGAAGGTTCGCGTGATAATCGACGAGCGGTGGAAAAACGACTTCTCAAAAATGTCGGAAAAGGTGAGGCTCCACGGGACGCGAACTGTCCTGGAGATTGTAAAAAGCTACATGGCGCCTGCAGGCGCCGAGGGCCTCACCCTCCACGCGCCGGTGACACAGTTCACCACGGATATCTGCGGCCAGGTGGCTAAAGAGGTCGCAGACTTCCGCGGAAAAACAAGCGCAAGCGAAGCCACAACCACCGACGAGCACCGCCAACTCGGCGAGCAGGTGAGGCTCCTCAACGGGGAGAGGATGAAGACCCGCCCGGCAGGTAGAAAGCCTTGCATCGCACTCCGAGACTGGAGCAAGGCCTACTACCAGGTAGGGGTAAAACACCCGGAGGAAAACCCGGCTGGAGTCTGGGACGACACCCAGGGGCGCTACCGCATGTTCCTCGCGGCGATACTGAACATGGGGAACAAGTTCAGCGTCAGCAGCTGGCGTAGAGTGGCGGAGCTGGTCATGAAAATAATGGCCACGCTCGGGCACACAGTAGTGCCAATCTACATCGACGACGCCATCATCCTCAGTCTCGAAGAGGGAGCGGATGAGGCAATAGAGGCATACGAAGCTCTCTGCGACTGCCTGGGGCTGGAGCTCGCGACAAAAGCGGCAGCACAGCAGGACTCTAGAAAGAGCCCTATTGTGCGCATACTGGGCCTCCACTACGACACAAGCCCAAAAACGGGAATCGATGTTGTGGTGCCAGACAACATGCTCCAGCAAGTCGCGGAAGTCGCAAACGAGCTCCGGCAGAAAGTAAACACAGGGCAGTTGGGCAAAAAGGTAGTCCAACGACTGCTCGGACTGGCAAACTTCATCACCGTGTCCGCGGCAAACAGAGCCGGAAACGAGATCACGAGATCTCTTTACGCAGGCATGGACAGAAGACGCCACCTTCGACAAGTTGGTGAAGCAGCGGTGGCAACGGAGAGCCCTCCTGCGCTCCACTGCGGCCATCGAGAAGATGGTCCACAAGGTAAACAGGCTCAAACTCAGGCTAGAACAAATCGTGAAGCCTCTGAGCTTCCTGTTCACGGACGCGTCAACAGATGGCGGGCCGAACGGCGAGCCAACGCTCGGATACGTCATGATCCACCACAGCGGGAAGACCCTCATCCAAATGCAGCCATTGACAGATGACCGATGGGCCACCGCCAGGATAGAGGTACTGGAGGCGGCCGCGGTGGGCCTCGCCGCAAAGCAACTACCGAGTTGGACCAGCAACTCCGACCTCGTAGTGCTGATCGACAATACGCCAGTACTCTACAACTTCGTCAAATGTAGTGGCAAATCCGCGGTGGTGGCAAACACCGCTGTAGACGTAGTCAATCACTGGTACGACAACAATGTCAAACCGTGGTTCGTCTACATAAAATCCGAATGGAACCTGGCTGACTACATGACCAGACACGGCAAGCACAAACTGTTCATCAACACCATCCCACGGCTGCAGACGGTTCAGCAGTCCACTGGTGCCCGACTATGGCTGGCTGAACTATGTGAACGCCTGCCGGCCCCTGCTGTCGCTGTCGCTCCGGGAGTTCGTCCCTCCCACGGGAGTGACAAGCGCGGTGGAGGGCGGCAGCCGCCCCGGCACACCACCGACGCGGGTGCTGGCCGGCGGGAGGTCCTGACGCAAACCTGTGCAAAGGCCGGCACACGTCCCCGTAACCCCTCGGCGGCGGATGCGAGTCTCAGACCGCCGACTCAAGTCCGCACCAAGAAGCCGGAGCCTGGTCGGGGTCTCCGGAGGAAGGTGCCGGTGAGGAAAGGATAAGGGCTCGGAGCGGTCCATTCACCGCTGGCACGTGTCAAACCGAGACCAGAGGTTGAGCGGGAGCTCAAGCCCCGGTAGTAGGCCGACAGCGCGGGCTGGAGGTTCAAAGTGACCTTGTCCCCCAGCGGGGGGACAACGCCTGCTACTGCCGAGGGATTAGCCGCGCACCCGGGCCAAAGCGCCCCGGACCAAAGCGCCCGACGCGAAGAGCGAGCACCCGAAACTTCGCGGGTGCCTGTTGATTGACTCGTAGGGCGACGGTGCACGAACACCGGCCGAGCCGCGAGAGGGGTTACGACACCCGGACGTTGGTGCGCAACCCTCTCTGGGGAGGTAAAGGCCTCCCGCCACGCTCCGTGGCAAACTTATGGGCCGTAGGTGCAACGACCGGCGCCGGCAAAGACCTGGGTCTGCCGAGCCAGCCTACCGTGCTGCCACAGCACTAAAAAGTATAACTCACCAGTAGATTTAGGATCCCCGGGGGTTAAGTCTCCAGTTTGTATAAGTACTTAATTCGAAAGACAAAGACTCTGTACTATTTCATGTGTTCCCATAGAGATAGACTCAGACCCCGTACCCGTTCCATGCGCAGATCGAGGTGTCGCCGTTAGAAGTACAGGTCGTATAATTGATATTTTTGTCTCTGGTGATCGTGATGATGTTCAAGAAATAGTAGTTGATCTCGTAGATACCTCTAGCTCTACCTCTACTAAGAGGTACCACTACATCAAAAATAGAAGTAGTTCTTGTTCCTGTTGAAGTTGATGTTGACCTCCTAGTAGAAGTACAACTTCTACAGTGAAAGACTACTACAGTGAGCTAGCCCCAGGAGATAAGCTTATGACGGCACCTTCGCGCTTTTCGACGTTGTAGTAACTACTAAATGTTGTTAAATATTTAATCATGTGCTTGCGTAAAACGTCGCTTTCGATCTTCATTTCCGGGTTCGTTTTCGGACTTCTTGTTAGAGCAATGCTGTACAAGAATTAATGAACGAATTTGTACAACTAGGCAGTTCGTGGACGTGGTGGTGGTCTACTAGTAAATTTAGAGCACGGTCAGACAAACTCTTCACTCAAGCTCACTTCAGTTTCAACATCAGTTCGGTAAAGTGAAGAAACAATAAGCAAGTAACTGATGAGAATAATTGAGATATTTAAGGAAGAGTAGCCTTCATCATCATCATGCAGATGCATCTCTGATCATTGCCATCATCTACCATAGGGGTGACCATTCATGGGGTATATTCAGTGATATATTTCTAATTAAGTCATTCGTTGGCGTGAGTACAGCGCTTCTTTCTAATTTGAGGACAACAGGTATTAACATCTTCGACGCGTCATATATTTCAGAAGGTTTGGCAGCTCGCACGGCATGGAGTGCATGGATCGCATGGAGTTGCATGGAGCTAAAGGGGCCGCTTCTTGCTTCCGTTATGGGTCTGCGCTCCATGCCCTCCATGCTACTCCATGCGCCATGCGTGCTAGTATAAACTGCGCTGAAATTATACCAACGTCTTCGGTTCATTAGATAATTAATTCATCCATGATATGTCCTCTACCATATGTACCCTAATTACGGTAAACTTGTGTTCATTCTTATGGTTATGTACAGTACCTACTCACACAAAATTTCAAAAAAAAGTTCGAATCCATAACTCGCCGGCTTTTGTTCGGGGAGTCACTTGTGGACTATTTGAGGGAGATTGACCTGGACTAGTTGAGGCAATTTTTCCTTTTTTTCCTGCTTTTCCATCTGTCTTCGTCTTCGAGTTCGGCGGCTTAGAAGATGATACTAGGGCTTCCTACTCTGTTCAAAAATCATCTCTTCTCTTATCTTAATACCTATGGCGGTTTTTTATTACTCTCTATTGATTTTACAATAGAACAGGCGATAAGGGTTCCCGACTTGGCTGGGCTGGGCACGCTGGGCACACTGGGTCGCTGGGCGACCCAAATGTGCCAGATCTGCCGAATTCTGCGCCCAGCGTGACGCTGGGCGTCTCCAATTGCGGGGCGCCCTTCGGGCGCCCGCTTGAGAACCCCACCAGCAGTGGGAAACATGAACAGACGTACATGATGATAGTTGTACGTCAGATGCGGCTGTTTATGACGATAGGCGACATATGTGGCCGAGCAGCGATATTATTTGACTGGTGATCATCGTGTGGAGCAGTGGCGCTTTGCAAAGCTGCCACCTGCACTTGTCATTAAGGTTTAACAAGTTGTGCTTGTGCTGTTTAAGAAGTTGTAAGTATATAGGTATCTATAATACGTACTTCTATGCTTGAACAAGCTGCGTCCAGCTCCAGCAGCAGCACTAGAGTGCTACTGAGACATTTAATAATAGTGGGTTTGTCATTCTTCAATGAAACACAAGCTTGAAAATTCTATGCAAAAAAAGCTTCAAAATCAACAAAATGCTTCACAAACTGGGTTACTGGGTTCAAACCCCGCCTTAACATTCGTGTTTCCACCGGTTTTAGGTCTTTTCGTCTTGATGGTACTAGCTTTATCGGACACGGACGATCGTCATGAAGCGGGATGTATTTGGATATTCATTCAGTCATTTTTTACCTAGCACGAGATAGTGTTTCGGGGAGAAGTTTGCACGGGGCAGGGGGTTGATCGAGACTCAAACCTTCAGACCTATACCGCGATCCTAGCTATGCGGGATTTTTAGTATTCTAGAACGATGCATCCCAGTCACTCCTGTTCTACAACTGTTGTTCCTATAAAAACCTCTAGATCTGGTCCACGAAAATAAACGGCGACATACTAACTTATTCATCATCTAAACCCTGAAAGCGAAAGGAGTGGATCGACAAAGTCTTTATCTGCTTCCATTGAAAGTGAAACGAGGTATCTAAATATAATTCTATTGAAAGTGAAAGTGCGACTGGGCTGTATCCATAATGCATCAACAGAAGCTTGTGAACTTGAAGTGCGCCGTTGTCCTTCCCCTTTTTCCATATCCAGGAAGGAAAAGGCATTACTCCCGGGAAGATCTTGCTGCGCTAAGTTTAGAGATAGAGGCTATCGTCATCGATTCAAACAAAGATTTGAGGTCTAGTAGAGATACTGATACGTAGAGTCATGTATCCTTCTTCTCTTCGCTAAAATATAATCATCATCATTTCTCTACTCTGCTTAAGCTTAATTTCTGTCCTGTTCATCTATCTAATCTACATAAGTATAAGAAGACGTTGTCAGTGCTGGCTCCTTCGAAAAAGCTCAAGTGTCTATTGAATCTAAACTTCTCTTAACTCTGACTGCTGCTCTGGTTCCTCTTTCCTGGAGGATGACGTTGCATTCTTCACGCGTCCATCTTCTTCTTCATCCGCGTTGCAAGTGTTAGAGGTCTATCCTCTTCAAACACAAGACTTATGACAAAGTTACAACTGTTTCTGGTTAACTATTTCTATTTGTTTCATCAGGTAAGATAAAAATTGTCCGTTTAATATTCGTTTTCGTGCTTAGTGTCCTGCTTTTCTTGCACTAATGTCTCCGCCAGAGGCCATACCTTCTGATATCCTACCTTTTATCACCTCGTGAGGTCTCACTGTCGGTGAAATCCCGTCAGTGCTTGGAGAAGATCAAGATTAGAAGAAGATTGGTGGAAATCGAAATGCATGAGACCACCTTCAACGAAGGCGAACAAATTTGTTGTGATGTTGTATTACAAGGGGAAAATACAACAAACTAACAAGACATTTCCATTAATCATGATCACTCAACATCATCATGGATACTTATATGTACTCTGACAAATTTGTTTTGCCGACGGCATAAACAACATCAGCCGCGTCACTTTCCTGGCCGCCCTCCGAAACCTCAAAACCATCCTTCCTCTCGCTATTTCTCCCTTGTTCTGAGGAAGATTTTCCCCCGACTGAAGCTGTGGGAAATCGCACTTCACCGTTGAAAGATGCAACAGGCGTCCCTGTTGGTCCTGGTCCAGTACCATCGGTGCTACCAGTTGATCCAGCTGCGCTGAGTGTTCCGACGACAGTGGTCATCACTGGTGTGCCAGCTGATGGAGCCGATGCAGCGCCTCCTCCTGTACTAGAGGAAGACGAAGCAGACTCATGGCCAGGCTCAGAGGATGCACTAATATCGCCTGCTGCCGCCTTTATTGCTGATATTGCTCCTCCGCCAACTGGTTCCGGCGACGCCGGGTCCGAAGGGTCACCACCGGAACCGCTATCCGCCAGATGAGTCTTATCACTATTAATTGCTTCCGTTATCCCGAATCGACGCCATACGAGAGACGAGACGAGCAGCCTCCGCATCACACGACGACCCACGACGCCGGATGAAGGCAGACGAGTCTTCTTTCTCCTCCTCATCTTCTTCCATGACTTCAACATTATAGTATCTGACAAAGATACTTCCAAATTCCATTCGCTAATTTCTGAACTATTCCCAAGAACGCATTTTTTTTTACACTGTGCACAAGGCTAAGGCTTTTTTCACCTTCATCAAAGGCCGAATCACTATAGGAACCATCTTCCTTGTTCTTGGCTGTGAAGCAGAGACCACTTTTAAGTATGGACACTCAACAGAGGGAAAGGATCGCTCGTAAAAGTCGTCACTTCCGCATCCGCTCGATCCCTGCAGCGTCATTCTACTCTTGTTGTACCCCTTTCTACTTTTAAGTACTTACTCTTGCTGTTGCTCTCATTCTCACAGTCACACCGAAACATCAGCCACCAGGGTTCACTCCTTAAAAGTTGCTCACTTGTTGTAGCATCGCTTGGACTTTTTCTCTCCTGATCCACCAACAATGATCCTGCACCCTTAATTACGCCTACGCACTTCAAAACTTCGACGAATCTCAGGAGGTCCCTTCCGCTACCCTACCTGCAAGCCTTGCCCGCATCACGGACAGGTGTTGCTGCTAATGGTACGCGAGTTCTAGGATAGGATGGATCGCGCTTTATCTCGCTTGGGTGATCTCATGTTTTCACCTTACCTCATAAGCATGAGGGTCATGCTTAAATGATCGGCAAACGCACTTGATTCAGCGGCAAAGTTGGGATACAAAATATTGGAAGTAGGATTTGTCAATCGCATGTTTGTCTCTCAGAAGATTGGTTTTTCTCATTCATGGGCCAATATATGGACGACACACACTCTTTGATGTAGTTTATTACTAGGTATAATATTAATAAGGAATACAAGTCGAAGATGCAAATCGGTTTGAGTTTCTGTACATACAAAGCTACGGTCTTCATAATCTAGTATGCGAATGCGAATGCACGTATTGATTGAAGAGACGAAGTTTTAGGTGTGTGTAATCATGTTCAGTTTGTGTTTGTTGTTGTTACGAGGTTCAAGAATTTCAACAAGAATGATACAAGTTAAATCTTTTCTTTGACGCTCCTCAGCTGCTGAGGCTCAGCATATGCATGACGATAAAATTGTTGAGTAATGCAGCATCATTACCGCCCGTAGGAACTGTGCTGGCTATGTTTGAAGATAAATTTCAATTTGTCTTTGTGCAATGAGAAGAACTGCAAATGTTATTCTTGAGAGTGAAAGTGAAAATTCTTCACAATTCTCCGTCATTGTCTTTTTTCTCTGCGGATGGAGGCTCTCCGAAAGGTTCCCCTGTGCCAGCATTTCCCTGTTGACCATTCGCCGATTGCGATGTGGATCCGATGATGAAAGAACCAAGGATAAGGGAGTACGTATTTCTTACAAAAATGCTTCTAGGTAGCTTCGAAGATACACAGCGGGGGTAGCTTCGAAGCGGGGGTAGCTCCGAGTCGGGGGTAGCTTCGAAGCGGGGGTAGCATCTAACTATGGGGGTTCCGCCTCTTGCTAAACAGAGAAAATATTGTTACTCGAGGAGGACTTCCTGGATGGCAAGATAAACTTGTCTTGGGGTCACTATCACTTGCATAAGTGTCCTGTAATTCACCTATAATTGTTCTTATGCATGTCCTCGCATTCACTAGTGTTTTTGAGCATCATAACATCATCTTCATCGAAACGTCTAGCACTAGAGGGCTCACCTTCCCCGTCCCATCGCCGATCCCCATGTCTACATCTATTGCTACCTGATCCTCCGATGTTCTCTTTACGCCTCCTCTTTGTTCTGCGTAAAAACTCCAGTTCGACGCTGCGCAGGTCATCATCCCCTGAGTCATCGGTGCAGGAGTCTCTATTTTAGAAGAGGACACTATTTGTTCTCGTCATTTCTGAGTGACAGCAGGACTAGATAGAAATATGTCATGACATGGTACCTGCTCTTATGTAGCTATTAGTGTCTACTGGTGAGCCGACCACACAGAAGAAGATGCCGATTCAAAAATACAACTTAGCAGCACCACACGTAACCATATTCGATATCAATGTGTGTACACCAATCAAAAAAGAAGAGAGTCACATATTTCTATTTGATCATAAGAATATGAGGAAAGATTCATGCCTTGCTGCAGCTCATCCTCTTCCGCATGTTCTCCACTTTCTGGAGGTTCCCTATAGAAGAAGTGATAGTTGTGGTTGCCGCCAAGGCCATCAACTACTTGCGTCCTCACAGGAATTTCTGAATTGGACGTGGCATTTCTGGATACAACTGCCTCATCGGGCGAACGAGGAGCGTCGATCTTCGCTCCGTTACTTGTAGTGCCACTTGTTGTTAGTGAAGGGCTCTACCGTGTAATTCATTGTGATATATTTCAAATTCAAAATTCCGTGAAGAAGAGTATGTCTCAGATTTCATCTACTACCTTAATCTCGCTAGAGAAAAAAGCATACTTAATACTAGGAGAATGAATGTTCTACTTCATCAGTTAGTACTACTACTTCGAATTCGATCCAATTTGCGAGTCAGCATAACATCGTCCTGTTTGCGCCGTTCGAGTGCGCGGGAGTATAATGAAGAGTAGTAAGAGCTGCTGGTGTAGTTCTACTTCGAGTTTGGGAAGTGGTCGTCGTTCCGTTCGCAACTACTGGTACGACTACGTCCTGCACTCCTGCTGACAGTCCCTGTAAAATCGCAACACTGTCCTCACAAAATTGCGCCTCCCACGTTCTGTCTTGGGAAAAGTCGACTTCTGAGGAGGCAAGTTCTGACGAGTCGATTTCTGACGAATCGAATTCTGAGGAGTCAAACTCGTCCTCCCCCTCCTCCTCCTAGATATTAGAACTACAAGCAAGATCAACATGTAGAAGTAGCTAGATGAACAGAAAATATTGAATAATAAATATGTATGCTAGTCTTACAGTAATAGTATACGATTCTTCATGATGTAATTTGAGAAGTATGTGAAGCGTGGATTACAACGAAGATCATGATGGGACTTCTGGTTTGTGTTTCACGACCTGTTTTTCAACATAACAGAACCTTCTGAAATGAGCGGCAGAAGATCGTGCATGATTGCGCTCCCCTCTCTGCTATCGAATCTGCTATCAAAGTCGCTATCGAGCCTGCTGTCAAAGTCGCTGTCGCTTCTGCTGTCGAATCTGCTATCGACTGTGCTGCCAAATCTGCTGTCGACTCTGCTATCGACTCTGCTGTCAAATCTGCTATCGACTCTGCTGTCGAAGTCGAAGTTAGAGGTCACCCCAATCCTGAAGATATTCCTCGGTCTACTGTGTTCCATTTGTTTGAACAGAAAAGTAATCTTGAAGAGTTGGTTTATTCACGCAGAAACAGAAAATAGAGTTGTACTTTTCATCACTACTTTACCGATAGAGATGGTACTTTTCAGGCAAGGATGCACTAGGCATGAGCAAAGACGAAAGAAGAAAGTCATGTCTTCTGAACACTTCTCAGGTCACGACTAGTCAGCTATAAATACTTATCATCTGTAATTGTAGAATATCGAGAATATCTAATATAGCATATGGATATGATCTTTAAAAATTGTACAGTATACATAGAAGCCTTAACTCTAGCTTCTCTTCGTTTTCCTCCACCTCCTCTACTAGAATGCCTGGTGTTTTAGAGGAGCTGAGCCCAGGTGGATGCCTTGTTCTCTGAAGATGGACGTGGACCGTCTCTCCTAGAAGGATGCTTTGTTCTCTGAAGATGGAGCATTAATAAATATTAGGGGATTGTTCTCCTTAACTTTTGCTTGCCTTAGGAGCCCTTCCGGGGTCTTCCCACGTAATCGGGCCGATTTCTTAGAGGAGCATCCAGCTCCGAATAAATCACTGTCACAAAGTGGTCAATCTTCACCCTTTCTCCTAGGTGAATCTATGGAATTCGCGATCTTATAATTTTTCTCCTTCTCACTCTCTCTTCACTCAATTTATCCAAATTTCTTTTCTCAGCTTTTCTACCCTTTTCTTCCTAACTCCATTGAGTTTCTTTGAGTAAGCGGAGAGAACAGTGCAAAAGACCGTACAGCTACACAACACCTAGATAAAAAAAATATAGCCCTAATCCGCATGAGCACAAGAACATATTAAATTTCTCGAAAAAAATATAGCCTTAATCTCGAGAAAGAAAAAAAAAGAGTATCGCCTTAATCTCTAGTCCTTTGTAGATTCGCCAATTCACGTCTCATCGCTTAGACCAGTACCGTGAACTTCATAGCCTGAGAGGCCGTTAAAATCTCGTCCTCTGCTGTAGTACTTTTTGTGATGCTTCCGTCACAAAAAAAAACCCTCCGTAAAAGACTTACGAAAGCTGAATCAGGATGCAACTACCGCCTGAGAACAATCAATCAGATTCTTAGGCACTACCATTGGACTTGTACTTTAACGGGACTCTCATCTACTCACATGGAGAAAACAGGTTATACAATACAATAACGAGATGGAGGACCGAGGGGTATCAAAGTACTTTAGATGTAGACTTCGAGGGGCTCCCGCCTCAGCCCTGCTATCTATTTTTTGCATGCCAAGATCGCCGAAAGGGTGACCCCAGTGATATCCGGTATGCCTATCGACGACGGTCCTTCTATTATGCACCGGATCGGCAGACTGACTCTATATCTTCTCAAACAAACAGAATCTTTCTGAGCCTTAAATTGAGGCTCTCTCCTCTGACAGTAGCGCCCTTAGTTTCTGGTTTTTTGCCAGGACACCTGGTTTCATGTGCGACGGCCTTGCCTTCCATTCTGCTCGTCGCCTTTCTTTTGCTGCTTTTCGCTCTGCTTTTTTCATTTCCGGAGGTTAGATAGGACACAATGATGCATGGATGATCACGACAAAGTCCAATTTGGAAAGTCGAAAGAATCTGCTATATATAAAGATGAATATATTCTGAAGTGGTTTTTCCTTTTCTACGGATGAAGCCCTAACTGAAAAAAAAAGCATGCTCAGACTGAGGTTAATATAGCATGCTCAAGAACTTGAACTTCTTGAGGTAACACTTATAAATAACACTTAAGTAGACCATATATCAGAATCTTAATCTTCCATCTCTGCTTTCTCTTCTGGGCTCAAGTCGTAGCACCCACATCGATCCAGTATACGGCACAAGCAAAAAAAACAACAGCAAAAGGCGATAATTAGAGCTACAACGACTATCCTTCATCCGTGCTACAACTTCTATGGTCCTGCATATTCGCCAAGGTCTTCTTTTTGGATCGGCATCATGATGTTAAGGACAGGAGCATGCTTCTCGAAGTACAGCATTCTTCTCGAGAAAGGACATCGGTAGTATGATTGAAGATCCACCTGCTTATTCATTCTTTGGGCGACGTCGGCGGCCCGATTAGTCGGGCCTTTAGGCCGTGTCACAACCTGTTAAAAAGAAGTATCATATTTCTTTTTGCTAGAAGTAGCCTTAAGACAAGGCTGATAACGAAGACGAGGAGGCCAATGTACGCTTTCACAGACTTCATTTTCATTAGCTCCGCAGGAGACCAGTCGAGATCATCACTACCTGTTTTTATGTTAAGGAAGTGTTTGTATGTGTAGGACGAAAGTGAGTGTGGGAGGAGCCACGGCTTAGGGTTTAGGTACTTCACCGGACCACCTGTTTATATCTGGGTCGTTAAGTGGAGGTTGTAAATCCATAGGACGAAAGTAAGCCTAAGCCAAAGAAGATCTACTATAGTAGCCGTGTGAAGATTATTTGGTGAAACTGTTATGTAAATGTGTCGGATCAAGATCAACATGGACGATCTCATCCTCATAAATGGGAGAAAGAACATCATCTACTTCCATTCATAAGTAACAACACCAAAATGACTTCTTGCATCTAATAAAAACATCATCCATGATAGAGAGAACCATAATGACTTGCATCTAATCATTCCAACATGAGAAAGGGGCCAACTTACATCAGATTATAAGTACAACACGACGGCCCTCTAGCCATGGATCCCCGTCTTATTAGAGCTGAGCATTCGAAAGAGAGCTATTCGAGATACTGAAATATCCGATCAAAGCTATACTAGCTACCTTCCTAACACGAGACGAGATACTCGCAAAAACCTGGACTTATTCAAGTGAGTTACTTGCTTACTTCAGTTTATCGAATAGGAGGTGATACTACAGGAAGGCGATGATTCTTCTAATAGCACGCGACTATACAAGATTGCTGAAGGTCCTCTTGTTCTACTGCTCGTAGTAGTCGTAGTAGCAGAAGTAGTAGTTAACAGTATCTATCTACCTATTTACCTACCTATCTTCGACAGACAAGCTCAGGGAAACTGCTCAAAGATTCCATCTTGTTCATTCATTCATTTACCTGTTCGAGAGGTGTTGTGCAGTTGTGACAGTGAGTGCATATTGTGAGCCCAAGCCCCGACTAGAAAAACAAACGAATGAAGGAAAAAAATATATATAAAATCATCAAGATCATCAACAAGAACCAATAGAGAAGTACAACTAGCTGCAAGCACTACGACTATTCTTTTTGAAATAACCAATATTCTTACTTCATTAACGATGGATGCTTTTTATCCCATAGAAGTAACCAAACTAACTCCTATTCCCGTTCCCATCCTAGTAATAACGAGTTAAGCGTGATATCAAAATAAAAAAAGTGCCCATACTAGTAATAAATGAATCAACTGTACTAAGTACTCAGATGTACAACTAAGATCTATACTGTAAGTACTGTAGTACGCACTTCTACTAGTAAAAATATATCTCCGAAAAAATGAATTGAGGTACTTACAACGAACTGTACTAAATTCCTATTCCTGAAGTAAGAGATGGATCATAATTTTTCATCTTCTTCGTCGTGTCCGGAGTGCTTCCTTGGTGATCTTGGTGTCCTTGATGATCTTGGTGTCCTCCATGAATCCAGACCACCCATCATCTGCTCTACAAGTTAGAGTAGAATGAGAATCTCAGTCCATTCGATAATAAACTGAAACAAATAAGCGAGTCAGTAACTGAAGATAGTAATCTTCTCAGATACTTGCAGATGTTGAAGAAGTCCGGAAATTGATCCTGGTAAGCATCTTTCTCTTTGTGTGTTCGCTTTCCCTTCAATAGTTCGGGACCAAGGTCATGCTGGAAAAGATGGCTTAGGTTAGGTTAGGCCCGTTGTGGTGCCATCCACAGGGTGACCCGTACCGTCAAGCGAATGTGTTCAAGCCTTAAAAGAAGCTTGCCGAAGAGGTCGCGGCTTGTTCAACATCGAGTACAGTATCATCTTCAGTTGTCTCAAGAGGACAATGACAAGACTCGCCTCTTTGTACTGGATTGGCATTCGACTTTGACGATGATCCTAAAAATCTTTGATAAAACGATGACCACAGCGTAGTAGAGGAGGTCACAAATCCTTCTACTTCATGTTTCACATCTTCTACTTCATGTTCATGTTCCGCTCGCCGACTACTACCACTACCACTAAAAGTACTGCCTCCACCACGACCTGTTGTGGTAGAAGACAGGAGATTTTTTCCATCAGCATTGTTTTCATGGTCCGCTTATTAGAGAAGGATGCTCAAGTAGAACTACATGAGAATCTGAATCACCAAAATATACTTGTGGAGGGACTTCTAGATTTTTTACTGATGAAGAGCATGATTGAAGGGGATCACCACGACCTCCAACATATGAATGAAGTAGTTGTAAGACTTATCCTCTGAAGTAGTAGTAGACGAACTAGTAGAGGTACTATCACCTAGATGAAGTAGTAAGGCTTATCCTCGACTACTACTTCATCTAGTTGATAGTACATATAATGAGATGTAGTTGATAGTATTCGTAACTAGATGAAGTAGCAGTAGAGGATAAGTCTTAACGTTTAGCCGCTCCCCGAAGTGAGTATCTCTTGCCCTTGCGACTTTCAACGATTAGTATCCAGCCGATTCGATTGCCGCCAGCAACCGCCACGACGAGCACGCGTCTCCTGAAGGTAGATAGGAAAGGCATTTTGTGTTTTGCTTAGCGCTAGTTTCTCACTATGCCCGGTTGACGTTGAGTGAGTTCCCCTTTGTTTCCTCCTTAGTTTCTTTCCCCGTTAAGAAACCAAAGGAGTTGACTGCACGAGGACTGATGCCCTTGAGTCCTCGTACGATCTGCAATGCCTTACTCAGGCGCACCAATCGGTACTCCGAGATGTATTTGAAGTGCTGTTGTGCTATTTTGAGCCTCCTTTGCTATTGCTCCTTTTACCAAGGTACTAGACTGTGTTCTTGTCTGTAAATAGTCGTCAGGTCCGAGGTGAAGTACAACATTTTTTTACGAGAACTTGTTTGAAGAATCAAGTAGAGACGAGGACACTAGTATTATACACACCGGACATGTTGTTTTTAGGTCTGAATTCCATTGGTACACAGATGATGACCATGGTGGCAGGAGCACGACCATTGCTTCGCATATTATCTAATGCATATCTCTATGTCATGTCTGGAGGTCTTGCCTCGTCTGTCGCGAGGTTGAGGCCTTTCAATCACCTTGTCCTTAACTGCAGATTTTTAAGGAGAGTAAGGAACGAATCGAGTCGTGATAAACTATCAAATATGACCTAAACCTAAAGTAGTTAAAGTTGTGTATAGATAAAAAGCATATATGGTAGTAGTACGAGGACCAGGAGCAGCGATCAGCTCAGTCTTGGATGTGAAACCGATGCTCTCAACGTCTTTCAGTCCTTGTACTACCGATATGAATCCTACTCAGGATGCCTTTCAGTCCTTGTACAACTAGTACCGATGTCAATCTTCCTACTCAGGATCATGCCTTTCAGTCGTCGTACTACCGAGCTTCAATGCCTTACTCAGGTAGACAGATGAGAGCCATACACCATGATTTACGTCAGGAACTGGACACCTCGATAGAGTCGATCCTCTCGGTGGAAATACAGTGCGTGCTGCACCACGATACAAACCCGAAAAATTTTTTGACTGTATGGTTCTGGTATTTGGTAACCTGAATTTGATCATAAGGGTTCTCTTCTTGTTTTCCCTGATGATCAAATTCAGGTTACCAAATACCGGAGCCATTCATGGACCTCACTTCTAAGAGGACAGTAAGTACTCAGAACGTTTTTCCTTTTCCGTTAACCCAAGTAAAACCGGACTGAATGAACGAATGAATGTGCCTAACAAGAGGCATTGCAAAGTCGTCTTAGTTCCCGGTCTAGATTGTAATACATTTCTTTCATCTGCAGCTTCACCTTACTTTCGTCGACAGCTTCATCATCCTGAGGCTCCGATCTGCCGCACCCTGATCTTCTGCGAAACGAATCTTTTCCTTTTGCCTTCTACTGCCTGCTCATCTTCTTCTTCATCTTCCGTTGGTCGCTCCTCGCTTGGGGCTGGCCTTCGCCTTGGTCGCCTTTTTTACTGAGATTAGAAGATGATGAGCCTTGTCTGAGGCCGAGAAAGAACTAGCAAATAGAAACTATGGCGGACTCACCTTGCACACCGTAAGCATGTACGGTCCTCCGGTGAAGAATCTTCATGCACGTATTTCTAATACTACGGCGGTGAATAATAACATTGCGCCAATCATGTAAAGGTGATATTATGTTTTGGATCCTGCACATGTAAGGTTAGGTTATGCACGTCGAGGACTACATCATGTAAGATTATTATCATTATTATTACGAGAAGGATAGACGAAGAAGTAAGTAGTTGCTGATCTTCACGTGACATTATACTTTCGCCTAGTTTCGCCTTAATGACTTTGTAGTTAACCTTAGATAGTCAAAAACCTACTCCACAGATGAGATGAAGAAACTTACTGTCCACATGATGAGGAGATTTCGCCTTAATAGTGGTGATGTCTCGCGATGTGAGAATCTTAGAGCGCACACCAATTTCCGCTGCATGGAGACAGACTTTATCTGAAGTAGTTGTTCTCGTAGTACAATACTCAGATCTAATTCCTGATGATAACTTAGTAAGCTTGAGAACAAGAAGACTGGGCTACAGACGTTCCTGCTGCCCTTCGTTTTGCCTCTCTGAAAGAGGAGAGGCATAACGAGCGAAGTAGCGACAGCACGGAAACACACACTTACGGATGGGAAGTTCATCTTAGAAGCGCTACGTGAGCTGGGTTAAAAACGTCTTAAGGCCTACCTCTAAATACTGTTGTAGCGGAGAGACACACCTCGTAGTCTGATGAAGTTCTTGTTGCATTGAGAATATAATGAAGTACTTCTATACCTACGTAGTAGAACAGCTCAAAGTCTACATTTTTTTTTGCATTGATAGGAGTATGTTTTTTCTTGGTTGGAGATTATTCTAATACTTGAAATATAATTGATAGATATTAATCGATTTTGATGTGGTCAGGAGAGGAGATTTCGCCTTAACGCCGACCTGTCCCACATGCAGAGCCAGCAGTTGCAACAGAATATGCGATACAAGAGCCACATGAAAAACCCGAAGACGAGAAGCACCAAAGAGATTCCAGATGAAGGAGGTACTAGTACAGTCATTCTATTTCTTGTGAGGTGGTAGTGTAATGTTTGTTGTATCTATAAATATGGAGCCAATAAAATCTCATATCTCAAGTGATAAATGATTTTGGCTTCATATTGCAGCAGGGAGTAGTGTTGGTTTTCTTCTTCTTCGTGGTTTACCCTTCATGATCTCCTGGAGACCAGCACAACTAAATAATGTTTATAAGGAGGAGCCACTCATGAGTCTGAGTCATTATATAGAAGTTTTGTAGAACAAATAAATCCCTTGTCCTCCATAACACGAAAGGTCCACGCCAGGATTTGCAGTTGATCAAATTTTCTGGGTTCCACGGGTTTGTCATGTACGTGTCCTCCTCTCAAATTAGAGGGAGATTTTTCTATGGAACAATGCATCTGACTAGCAGTTGTTGTTGATAAGGTGTGCTAGTGTACTACCGAATCGGAAGGTATACTGTATAGACTATATACTTCTCACTCCAGGGGTATAACACTTATCTTCAAGCCATAAGTACGACGCGGTAGTAGAGGTGGTAGCTGTGGTGGCAGACCCGGAGAAGAAACGGCTACCGAGACGAAGAGAAGATGAAAAAATGGGAGAAAACACTGAGACGAAGGGGTGCCTAGGGGTTGGAGTTGCCCCCTTGATGGTAGCCGGAACGTCGTTGCAGCTCTAAAAGTCAGCGGCTTTTGTATTTGCATGTGTGCTTTTGGTGTTTCTGTTCCCCGTTCGTTAGGCTGTATAGTAATAGTTTCTGTTGTTCCCTTGTTCGGAGAGCCCGCATAACAAACGGCAACACCAACAGAAACACCTAGTCCTAAGTTGTACCCGCAATTGTATTTCATTTCCATATTCTTGTAGAAGTAGCTGATCAACAACTGAAATCGATGTCACACATGAAAGTCACGGATTGGGCGTGAAATAACTGCCAGAATGGTTAAAGAATGAAGGAGAGAGAGATGAAAATGTTGAATCTTCTGCCATACCTTCTTCTCTGTAAACGAATACGAAGCGTCGCCAAGGACTTGGCCCACGTACTCGACGTCCTGGAGGTCATTTTCCTCGCCTTGAAACACAAACAAGAACGCAGAAGCAACGCTGGTAACAATGTTACGCACCCTAGCTCTATGAAAGGAAAAAGCGCACTCACAGCACTCAAGAAGGTGGAACTTTTAAGTCGGAAAGGAACTATTCGATAAACCTAAAGAAGCAAGTAACACAAGATACAGACGAGAATAACCGAGATACTGAAAAACAAAGAGTAGCCGCTAAAAGCCACGCCGTCCTTACTTCAGTCAGTAACTCGGTTATATCCAGTTTTCGACTTCTTTCTTGAGTGTGAGTGCGCTTTTTCCTTTCATAAGCGCAGTCACAGCACTCAAGTAGGATGGAGGTGGTGGGGTTTTTAAGTAGGAAAGTCCATATGATACAGGGACGCGCGCCCCCCCCTCTGTGGATGGCCCTGGGGTGGCGCTTGCGCGCTCTTTTCGATCTGTTTATCGCGGATTGTCAGGGAAGAGGTCGCCGGGTTCGAGGCCTGGCCCCTTTTGCTGGGTTGCCCTCATCAAATGCGCGGCGAGAGCCAGCAAGCTGAAGACCAAGGGCCACGAGGGTCGGGGCAAGTGGGGACGGTTGCCCGGCTGGGTTCTGTCGGGTACAGGCCAGGCGGCTAAGGGGGTCACGCCTTGCGCTCTTTGCCGCCTTCGGCGGCCTTTCTCCCCCGGCAAACAGCCGCGGAGGGGAGCCAGCAAACCGGGGGGCTGTAGGGGACACGCAGACAGCCGGAAGAGAGCGGGGGGGGACCCCTGGCTCCCTTTTGAGGCCTTCTACTCCCGAGAGACTAGGCCAAAAAAGGTCCGGGGCTCCCGGCCCCCCCTGCCGTCCGTGGGGGTGCCGTGGCCCTAGACCCTGGAACATACATGACTACTTTCTTGAGTGTGATAGTGAGTGCACTTTTTCCTTTCATAAGCTCCTGCAATAGAGCTAGTGCTTGCTTGGGTACCATGTTCACGTCTTTCTTTATCATCCTCCATTAGAGTCTCCGTCCTCTTTGAGTTCGATCCCAGATGCGCGCTTCCTCGCAGAAAAGGCGAGTGCCCGCTTCTCGACGGTTCTTCTTCATTATTTCCGCCTCCAATTATTTCCGTTGTTGAAGTTGATGCTGCTGCGGCCAATATTAGACTTTCTTAGAGACCAACGTGTAACTAAGGAGAGTGCAACTCTTGCAAAATAGGAAATATCAAACATATTTATAGTAAGTATCATTCTCTTGATGCATTGTTGATATTCTGTCCAAGTATCATGTCTTGTTCGAGAAAGAGAAGTAGAAGAACCTCCATTACCATTTTTACCATTTAGTAGTTGTAGCAGGAGCAGCTCGCTGGATTTCAATTTCTTGTAGTATCGCACTTTCTTGTTGCTTGTAGAAGAAGTAGTAGCAGTCTTGGGAGGTAGCCTTAACAATGTGACAACGGTTAAGAATGTGAACGCCCTCGACCACCACGTCGCGAGTGGGGTAAGCGCCCCCAGCACTAACAGAAGTTGTGTCATCAGGCCCAAGCGATTGTTTCGGATTTTGCCAACTATCCTCTTCTTCTGCTTTTGTGTGTTTTCCTAGTTAGGCTGGCTCCACCACTGCTATCATTCAACACCGTACCACATCACTAAATGTTGGTCCGCGGGTTCTCACACGAAGATGGACATGCACCATGAGCATTTGAGCATGAGGATCGATGAGCATTTTTTTTTACCTTGTAATCGGATTCTTTGTTGAAAAAATTATATTGTCAAGAATGTTGAGTAACTTTATTGATTCATTCATTCATTTACCTAACAAGAGGCCGTATGTTGTTTGAAGAATGTGTATTTCAATGAGTAGAAGATTTACATTTCCGAGCTATGACCTGCACAAGATAGTAGAGCAGAAAAATCTTCATTTGTTGACTCTAAAAAGTTGATGATGAATGTTGAACATTCATCAAAACCAAAGTAGTAGGATCAGTCAATGACAGTGTGTCTGAGATGAAAACTATGATGCCAATTGCCACGTATAGATAATCCGACGCCGTCCTTACTGGGTTTACGTGGCGATTGGCATCATAGTTTTCATCTCAGACACTCTCAGCGCGTGGGCTCCGAGGCCGTCCTTACTGGGTGGGGGATTCAGGGCAACAGGGGAAAAGAGTTACAGTTCTTCTCATAAATTGAAACATTGACCGTGATCGTTCTACTCTACTAGACAAATATGGGAATTCTGGATCTATGAAAAAGGCGTCGAGATCTATGAAAAGGGGGTCTTCATATTTTCATATGCAAAGCCAGTCATGATGCCAATTGCCACGTATTATAGATAATCTTTAGCGGGGGTTAGCGTTCGCAGCACAGCGAGAGAAAATGCAACCTCATCTTGCATGGTTACCGAGTGGGGTTTGTGAGGCTTCAAATCGTCGGGACGGTGTATTTTCCAAGGAGCACGCAGACCGTGCCGATTTTCAGAGTTTTCTTTTCCAAACCGAATCCTAGCACTGACTAGTCTTTTGTACTTTACCGATGGAGAGTGCGTACAAGGACCCCTGTAGTAGGTATCAATCCGATGCGCCTATGTTGACATCCGAGACGGTCAGAAAGTCTTATAGGAACGGCGAAGGGAGGTTGATGCGATCATGAATACTTCCGACCATGGCCCTGACTCCGGTCAATCGGAATGAGTGAGTGAATGAATGAATGTGCCTAGCGCGAGGTGGTGCAAGTTGTGTTTTATGTCGCAGCCCGACAAATTGTTTTATATAAATATCATGAACTGAAGAGTGTTGACCTGTTGTCAGTCTCCCTTTCTCGTTTTACTAGCCCCATTTATCCTAGTCTAGTCTACGTTGTTGTGGTGCATATTTAGGGTTTAGGGTTTAGTGCTTCTAGCCTCATTCATGGAGTTCGTTGTAACCTACAGATTAAGTTCCAAAACCTCCAAAACCGAAGCCAGCCATTCTTCCAAAACCTGTACCTGTTCCACCAGTCGTCCTACTTGTTGACATATTAGCGAAGGGAGCAACGACTGTTGGCTGTCGCGGGATTATGATTTGATCATTACCACTGAAACTGAAAGCTGCGTTAGTATTTGAAATGGGGGCTCTACCCCGACTGGAGGAAGCAGTGCCAGAAATTGCGGCATCTTCTTCACTGGACATCACAGCAGGTGAACCTCCACTACTTAGATGGAAGAGGTTGTTACCTGCTCTTGAAGTGCTCGAGCCGGATGGAACTGCGGATGCCGCAGATTGCTGAAATGCCCTAGTACCGCCTAACTGCGAGCTCGCATAGAGGTTCCTTTTTCCTTGAAATCCACTACCAAGAAACGTAGAAGAGCTTGTCTTCGAAAGTAATCCAAAGCTTGTTTTCTGTGCTGGTGTACAACTGCTGTTGCTCAGAAAGCCACTCGATCCTCCGCTTGCAGCGTCGCAAGTTATAGAGGAGAAAGTAGTACTAGTCGTCTGCTGGTGTCGTCCGTGCGATTTCCAGGCAGAAGACGGAGCGGGTTCTTGTACTCCAGTTTGCGGCCGCTGCGTCTGATTCGGGTTCGGGTAATTGATGTTTCCAAATCCAAAACTCGAAGAAGAAGTAAGTGGAAGACCTCCTGCGTTGCTCGTGGATGTGGAAGATTTCAAAATATGGTGTTGGTGATTTGTGCCTCTGCCACTACTAGCACTTCTCGTTCTTGCCGGTGCGTTCAAAGATGTTCCTTGTTTTGAAGACGCCGCGGCAGAGGCAGCAGCTTCTTCTAGAGCAACCTTTCGTATAACCTCATCGTCCCATTCAAAGAATTCACATGTAGAATAAGTTGCGCTCTCACTTGTTTGCACCAAACGCGAAGTCGAAGATGAGGAGGGAGCAGGAGCATTAGCATTCATATCCTTTTTGTGGCTACGACTTGTCGTTCGAGGATTGCGACAACTCCAGAAATAGCGTCCGAGATTTTGGTTGGCTTTAAACACCGGCTTCAACATCGCTGGTTTTCCACAAAAACACGATGGGGCGCGATTCGAGACGGTATAATTGCGTTTGCGAGGGTTAGAGAAGGACGAGATTGAGATAATTGCATGGTTAAATATGTGAGATAGAGATTATAATGTTTTTGAACCGAAGAAGACCAAGCCGTTACATCCTTTTTAACAAAAAAGTATTATTTTGAGACAGAGATTGATCATACTTGTACTAACTGTAAGTAGTCCTCGCTAGTTTTCGGTTACCCGCCAGTTACAATGCCATAAGAAAAGTAAACGACAAACGTCCATCACCCGAAATCGGATGCGCCGTCAAGCCTCTATCCACCGGCACCTCATGGCGGAAGAACTCCTGAAACCCTTCCCACATCACCAGTAACGAATTATGTGGCAGACGAATGCTGTACGAAGTCACTCTACACTTCACTGGTTTACAGGTAGATGATGTTGATGTTGAAGCACTTGAAGTTGTAGGTCTGGATCCTGATGTCCTCCTAGCTTCGGCTGTTGTTGTAGAACTGGTAGAAGTTGCGCTTGTGGTTGTGGCTGTGGTTGTGCGTGTCGTGGTTGTGGTTTCTTGTCCAACGTCGTTTCTTCCGCTCAAGAGTCTGCGTACATCTACCACAGTTTCTACGTAGTTCACTGGCTTCATCTTGAACTGCCTGCTAGCTCCTAGCGTGTATGCCGCAACCAATGCCCAAGGGCCGATGCTTTGTACCGGATCACTGTGGCCGCCGAGAAAGTCCTCCTTTTTGGTGGGGTATGAAGAGGGACCAACTAGACGAAGTACATTTGTAGTACATCGAAGTACAACTACTACCACAAGGAGGGTATTGATAACTTATTAGAAGACTGCTCTCCTGACTTATTAAAAGACTGATCGTCAATGATGTTCATCAGCCTGAAAGTAATGTTGAGAAGAAAGCCATCATGTATCCAATCAAGTTCTTGAACAGCATATTCGAAACACAACTTTCTGCATACGTAGTAGTTGCAGACGCGAATAACACAACTTTCTGCATACATAGTAGTTGCAGACGCAAAAATCAGGGTGCCACCTAGGCGCGTTCGGACCAGGCACGTACTGCAATAAGTGTTTTACGGTAGAAAGCTTAGCTCCCGAGACTGCTCGTAGAAACTTCCGCGTCCTGTGGGAATAGTTGGGATTCATGGGGAGAGGACCATCGCCATTACTAGCACGGGGAGGAGGAGGACCGTTCGGATTCATACCTCGTTGTTCTTCACTACTGCAGCTCCGAAGGGTTGGAAGGGTTGTTCTTGGTTGACGTTGAGGAGTATTTTCCGCAGCACTGCTAGTACAAGTCGCTACACTTCTCGCACTTGCACTAATATCCATTGTTTTTCTATTCTGTTCTGTTGCAGCAGCTATCGACAAAGAGGTCGAACGAAAAGCGCCGTCTGCTTTTGTTCTCAGGCGCCGAACTGTCGCACCGACAACGTTCCGAACGTGCGAGATCTTGTCCCCGAAATCAGTGCCGATCCACTTTTTAGGCAGATGCGCGAAAGAAAAACCAGTCTGCACTCGATGCGAGACGATTTCACGATCGTAGAGCCAACGCTTACTCTGTCTCCAATTCACTTCAAGAAAGCGCTTGAGAAGCTCGTCTGCAAACGCGGTTGCAAACACGTTCTCTTGCAGTGTGACGGGACAACCGTCCTCCAGCTCGGCTAATGAGATGCGCTGCGTTATGGTTCGTCCTGCCTTGATCAAGATTTTCTTATCATCGGCGGTTGTAGCAGACGCAGTAGCTGTCCGTGCAGAAGAGTCCCTCCTTTTCCTGGTGTTCCGCTTCTCATTACCTTTATTAATTGAACTCGATCTAGCAGGGCTAGACCTCGAGGATGAAGTAGTGGTTATATTCTGTTTCCCACGCGCTGGGGTCTTTACGCCGTAATCGGCAAGAGAGTGGAGCACCGTTTCGGCCATGTCATCTACTTCACGAACGCCTTCCTGAAGAGCTTCCTCTAGTAGGACCACAGTTCGGAAAATCTCTAGGGAATTGGAATTTTGTGGAGCATTTTTTTGCTCTACATCTACTGCAGTTGAAGCTTCCGCCTCTACATGTTCCTCGCGGCTGCTTGGTCTTCTCTCAGCGCTCCACGTGGCTGCTTCCTCTTGCATGATACCACAGGCGGTTGCAGGGACACTTTTTGACGAAGGTGATTGTCGTGGTAGCAGACTAGCTGCTGCACATGAAGCACTCTGTTGGATTTTCGCCCTTTTACCAAGTAGTCGACTGAGGACCGAGGAGGTTGACGAGGAAGAGGAGGTGGACGTGGATGATGTGAGAGCTCTCTTTGGTTCGTGTTTCGCTGAAGCAGATGTTTCAGAGGCTTCTGCTGAGCTTGCTCCATTCTTTTCCATCGGCTTTGCTTGACGAGCGCCATTGTTTAGAGAAGAAAAGAAGCGCAACAAATCGGCGTCTTCGTTTTTTTCGTCGGTGTGTGATGCAGGCGATAGCATGATGAGACTGGGATCTTCATCCTCGTCCAAGTTGTTCTGCCCATCGTCTTCGCCGCCCAGCTTATCTTCTCGCAGCTGCTCTTCGGCATGTTGACGACTTGAAAGTGCTGGATAATTGCTATCCAAAGTGGTCTCGTTCGTGTTACGCTTCTCCGAAGTTTGCCACGTCGGAAAAGCTGCATCGCCTTCTTCAAATCCTGTGTCTCCAACAAAAATCACGCTCTCATCCAAACACTGCGGTGGTTGTGAGCTTCTATTTTCTTCTAGACTCTGAGACTTCTGAGAATGTTGTTGTAGTTCCTGCGACGAATCGTCTATGATGATGACAGAAGAATCTCGATCATCTTCGTTGTTCGCGTCAGGGAAAGGTGACACCAAAAGCCGTCGCCGCTTGGTACCTTCCTCCTGCTGCTGCTGCTCCTGTTCCCGAGACATGATATCACGACTTCCCTGATAAAAGTTGTTTACTTATAGTCTTTGCCTTCGGCATTCACAACATTTACCTGCGGCTCCGCCTCTTCCTCGCTAACGTCACCGTGATCGCTCGAAGCACGTTTGCCGCAGGGACCGCATGGTGCGCAGAGTAACCACAAAACACCGGCTACGCTGCCGCCGATTCCAGTAACAGCGATTACCCAGATCAGAGGCTGAACTTGTTCACGTGCTAAAAGCGTAAGCGCACTGGCTTTAATACTTCCTCGACAGTTCTTCGACTTCGTCTTACCGTTCAGATCCATCGATGATGGTTCATCAACATTCATTTCCTCTTTATCGACTGACGGAGCGTGGCTTTTTATTGGTTTCGGAGTGCCATCCGACAGTTTTCCGTCAACCTTGTTGCCACTCCTTTTCTCTCGTTGCATCATGCGACTCGTCTTGTGCGGCGCCTTCGTTTCATCATCATCTGTGCCAGCGAACTTCTGATTGCCGTCTCCTTGATCTGATTCGCCTTCGTTCTCAAAGAGATCTCCACTGGAGTCGACAAAGGTTCTACTTCGGAGGCCCTTCTGCTTAGCAAGGTCATTTTTTGATGCAGCGTCAACGATTGCAGGATTAAGATTCAGCAATATTGAAGAACAAATGAAGCAAATTATAGTTGTGAGAAAAATTCGATGCAAGCGGGAAAACATTGTCACCACCTCTAAATTAATCCCTTCGTGGTCCCACCAGTATCGGTAAACGTAAAGCTATCGTTGTCTACTTTCTAAAAGATAGTAGTATTGAAGCAAACAGGAAAAATTAAGCCTTTTTCTTTGCTTGGACCTTACAGGTGTGCCTATACACCCTCGACTGTCTTTGCAAACCGATGATGGCTGGTTGTAATTTCGGGAAACATGATTGACGACGGCTCTGTTCGTCCATCACGTGATAAATTGTTGAATACTCGTCCGACAGATTTCAGAACAACAACAAGAACTGACACAGACAGTACTAAAATCAATCAGCGTAACATCGTAAGAAGCACAAACAAAGCGGAGCCGTCGGATTTGCGCCGAAAATTGACTTTGGATTCTAACAATCAGAGATTTACAAACAAGGCTTGTATATTGGGTCCTTGGGCTAGGATAGGGAGAAACATTTTTTCTTCGTGGGTGGGGATGGGAAACATCAAGGGGGTCTTGCCAGCACGGAGTTCTGCATTTATCATGGTCACGTAGCTCCTTTTTCTTGGAAAGAGCTACTGCAGCGTCATTGCAGGCTGACAAGGGTTTAGGGTTTAGAATCAGAAGTCCCTTCAATCATCATCTTCAGTTCGTTGGCGACGATTTCCTCCACCTCGAATCTTTTTAGATTTGTTAAAAAACGTAGCTGTTGCAGTAGTTTGTTCCCCTCCTCCTGCTCTGCTGCCGAACATTCGGGTAGCTTTACTACTCGCAGCTACACTTGCAGCAGACGCAGCTTGTCCATCCAAATCAAAGTCCTCTTTGCTGAAGACGCCACCCCTTCTTGCCGCGTCGCGCATTTCAGCGACGCCGTCTAGTTCAGTGCCACCATCGGTTGAAAGCGCAAGTGCGCTAGAGGACTTATGCGCAGCACCTCTAGCTGAGGTACTGTTTTCGAGAAGATCATCAGCCACAAATTTAGCTCTTTTTATTTCACGTTCTTTTTGCGCTGCTCTTTCATCCTCTTCTATCTGTCGTTTTGATTTCCTTTTGGCGAATACTGATTCTTTCTCCTCCACCACTTCCCATCCGTCTGGAATGCTAGGATCTTGCCATTCCATTTTCTCCGGTCGTTCCCAGGTTGTTTCGCCGGTTTGGGTATTGTAGTAATAGGTTGCAGGAGCAGCTTCATCGTCATCTTGTTCCTGTTCGAGTGCTTCTTTTTCTTCTTTCTTGACTTCGATAGCAACCCAGAGCATGGGCTTGTCCTCATTCAAGTCCCCAGCATCTAGTCCTTTTGGTCTGTCCCATTGACGTTTCTGTGTTTTCACGTTGAAGTAGTAGTTTTTCTCTTCCTCTGCGTCGTGACAAACGACCCAATCTTTCTTGATCTTTTCCTTCAACTCCTTCTGCTTTCTCGCTATTTGAGCCTGCAAAAAGCCAATGGGGTTGTTCGGACCACCTCCATCCTCATGATGCTGATCTGGATTTCCTCCTAGACCTATGAAATTAGGATTGTGCTTCTGCTTACCACCACCACCGCCGCCTTTCCCTTTGCCGTTCATACCCTTATTTCCTCCACCTCCTCCTCCAAAACCTCCAGCCTTATTCTTGCCTCCACTCGAGCTAGAGCTCGATCCACCTCCTATCACCGTCGCTTCATATCGCGCATTTATTTCCGCTTGCGTCAACGGCCCACCAGAACTACTTGCTGCTCCTCCAGTACTAGAACTACTGACAAATCCCATAGCATTGTCGGCAGCTCGTTCCATCTCAGCCAAGATTCTAGCAGCTTCCTTCTCCTCCTTCTGTTCCTCCTTGAGCCGCCGCTCACCCTCTTTGAGCATCTTCTTCTCATTCTCCAGATGGAATTTGGAGCCATTATGGACGGTGATGTTGCGCTTATGCCCAGAAATCCAGATTTTGCACACTTTGCAGTAGTGCTTTGCGGTGGAGACCCAGTACTCCGTCATTTTGCTTGATTGAGTATGTAGGAAAGAAGCTACTTGGAAGAAATTCCAACTGAATTTGTCAGCACTGCTCTAGACTCTTTTTTTTGTAGTTCAAGCGAGTTCCGATAAATCAAAACCTTCAGCACTATACATAGAATGCTGCTACTTAGTACAACAAGGAGTGAAAGAAAAGGACATTCACTTGTTTTTCGTCGTTCAGACTACGACGAACGGGTTATTTTCAGATCTTTAGAACAATAATCAAGAAATTTAGGTGGAGTTCGTTAGTTTGATAAGTCGTTACACCAGGCGTTAGACTTCTGCTTTATGATCGTCTTCTCGTCTGCTTCTGCATCACATCTTCTCGCCTGCTTTGGCCTCATATACAACGATTTCAATTCTTGTCAACATGCAATTCAGTTCCGTTTGACGTTTCTTTCCTGATCCAGAAGAACCTGCAGACGCTACACAGCGAGCGAGCACGAAAAGTAGCAGTTGGGTGATGCTCTGCTTAGTCTCCTGGCAAGATTTCTGATTCTGACTATGATAATATCGCATATCATGATGATTGGGCAATCTTACCCTTCAAGCTTGCGGATGTCAAAAAACTGTCGTTATCCATTCTGCACAGAGCTCCCGTGGCCACCACGGTCGTGAAGGCCGAAGGAGCATGGATCATTCTACAATCTTGTCATCGCGAATTTTTCATGCCGCGTGTGATAGTAAACAGGCACTATGCGTCAGCCGATAAAGACCTACAGCTGCAACATGCGTATCAAAAGAAAGAACTTGAACTCATGTACATTAATGTGTATCATCACAGATGAAGCTAGAAGTGCGTGCTCTCTGGGATCTCATTTGTTACGGTAGTACAATAAGGAATCTATATCAGCAACAGCACCCACAAAAGCACCCACAGCCCACAAGCAGCCACACCACAAGCAGCTACAAAGAATCCTCCTCACGTCGACTTTCAGAGCAGCTTGTCCAGCTGTCACTGTTCATGGCTTCGTTGCGCCTTTCCCGTTCGCGGTCACGATTCAGACTCGTCCTGTTCGTGGTTTTTGGATGAGACAAATGGAGATGGAGGAAATGTCTTCTTTGGGTCAAGTATGAAGCGTTCTTTCGATAACGGATAAGGTTTTGTTTCTACATGCAATTTTCTACTCAAAGAACTCCAGATTTTTCATGACGTCATCATACATTTGATCATTTATCATCCCATTACGAAGGAACGGGCGCCCTTCCACGAACCTCTTGTCGCTGCTCCGGTCCCTGTCGAAGATTTCCTCTTGCTCCTAAAAGCGGCGCCTGCGCTTCATCGTCGTTGCTCCCATCCTCGAAGATTTAGAAACGGATCGAGGCTGAGGAGCAGCTCGTAATATCCCTGGTGAGTGTAGTTGACAGCTACAACTGAAGATAAACCCATACATACAAGAGTATCATGATGTCGTTGATGTACCGCTACCGGAGACAAACCTTAACCTTCTTATTTGTATATTCCCTACCACAACTACTCATACTTCGACTTCCCTTCTTTCATCCCGCCATAAGACCTGGAACTATCACCGCTGCTGTCGTCGTCTTCAAAATATTGTCGCTGTCTCGCTGCGTCCCCTTCTTCCATTCGCCGTTGGCGCATATTGACAGGCGGCCCAATCTCTGGACCCCCGAACACCACAGAACCGTACCGGTCCCGTCGTAAGCAATTTGTTGGCTGGGGAGGGCCATCTGCTTGCTGTTGTTGTTCTGCTCCTGCAGAAGCAAAACGGACACCTCTATTGACATTGTTGTTTGAGGAATTCTCTCCTTCTGCCCGAATATAATTTCTAGAGGAGTCAACCACAACCTGCCTTTTGCCGCTAGTACCAGAACCTGAAGCACCTCCTGCAGCCTTCCTTTCCCTATCTTGTTTGTCCATCTCATCGAACCGAGCGTCTGCTTTCAGGCAGGCAAACTTGTCACCGCCTTCTGGATACGACCAATCCCATCTACACATATTCAGGATGTAAAACACAGCATCAAGTGGGAGGTCGCGGAAGCGAGTGGGTCTGGTCTTGTTGGTAGCAGTAGATGAAGACGACGATGAAGATGTCGCGAAGATGTTGTTGGTGTTTTGAGGTTCTTTGGAGAAACTGGTCTCTTTGTTGGGAGCAGATATTGATTTTCCATTTTCCACGACATCCCCAGACTTGCGCTTCAGAGAAGTCCACGCTGAATCAGCGCTTGCTGATCCGACATTTTCCTCTTTGTTTAGTGCATTTTTCATATCTCCTGACCCTGCAGATGCAAAAGACGTAGCTGGAACTCCAGATGCCACTGCATCATCAGAGATCCTCTGCTTCTTCAACTGTGGGGCTACCACACCATCACCATCAGCGTCGTCTGCAACATCCTTACAAGGATCACTGGCATGAATCAGAAGCAACTGCACTGCCATTCTACGAAAGCCTCTGGGAAATCGTTGATGAGTAACCTTCTCAGGATTCCAAAGTGTGTAGCGCACACCGTAGACTACGTTGCCAACGAACTCGCGATGGGGACGCCAGGCATTGCCAAAGCCCCAATATCCGTTCTGGCTGAAGGCCTCATCTGCTGTATGCGCTATGCCAGGTAAAACACGGACGTGCTCGTTCTCCATAGTGATGCCACGACTGCGCTGGTTGTTGTAGACGATACCTGTTGCAAGAGGTGAGTTGAGTGTGTAGACGAGATTGAGATCGTGTAATGGGGGTATTGGTGGAAAGGTGGAGGAAAAATTAACGTGTGAATGTGACCACATAGACTACTTTTCAGATGATGATGAAGAATCAGTAGACTTCTATGTATAAGTACTATCAGGCGTTCCCCCAACGCGTCCATTCCAAGCCCAATGTGGTCGAAATCGATTCATTCCTTGCGCCGCATCGATGTCTGGTGCTGGTCCACTGCTGTGAACGTAGATGCCTCTGGTTTCTCCGGGATACAACCTAAGATTAAAGGTTCAACCATTTCATTTTTGGATAGCTATGTTAAGGAAGAAAAGTACGTAGAAATGAAATGTTTCAACCCTTAATGAGAGGCTTCTTTTGCGGAAATTGTTTCAAGCCCAATTCGTCTCTCAACTGCTCTCGTGCTTCTCTTTGTTCTTGTCGTTTCTGTTCGCGGTCGTGCGCCTCTTGCTCTTTCAGTCTGCGCTCTTCCTCTAGTCTCTTAGTGCGGCGTTGTTCCCTACCTTTTTGTCGCATCTCTTCCCAATTTTTTTCGAGGGTCTCGAAATCGTCTTTGGCTTCATTGCCTTCTTCCTTCATCCAGATTTGCGAAGATGAGGATTTAGCACCAGCTTGAAGGTTCTGCCCTATCTGACTCGGACGATGCGATGAAGAAGACGCAGGAGAAGCTCCTTGTTCTTCTACGCCTACCCCTGCCGCTCTTGTACTTGTTCCTTCTCCTTCCACGACCCTCCCAGACCCAGTCCCACTCGACGCTGCGCACGAAGAACTACCGATGTTGTTGTTATCTTCGCTGTCATCGGCGTCGAGTTGAAAATCTTCAACAGCCTCCCGATCCCTTCCTCGTGTAAAGGGTATCGGAAGGGTCGGTGAAGGCGTGGATATGAAAGGGGGAAGGGGAACAATGGAAAAAGCAGATATGAAAGGGGGAAGGGGAACAATGGAAAAAGCAGATATGAAAGGGGGAAGGGGAACAATGGAAAAAGCAGATATGAAAGGGGGAAGGGGAACAATGGAAAAAGCAGATATGAAAGGGGGAAGGGGAACAATGGAAAAAGCAGTGGTTAACGAAGATCGTACTCGAAAAACTGAAATAAGCAAGTAACTGATCAGAATAAGCGAGATACTGATGAAAGGGAAGAGTAGCCTTGATGTTATAAGCTAGTGCCTTCCTTATTTCAGTCAGTAACTCGGTTATTTTGAGTTTTCGAATAGACACATGAAATTGAATTCAATATACAACTCGTAGGAGCAATTATTCCTTGATGGTGACGAGAGGAGTACTCTCGTGCATTTGTCTATGAATAAGGATGTTCATAATGTTCGCATCCAGTGTATGAGTTCTGCTCAGATAGCGGCGCCCTATTGCTCTAGTCTCCTGCATTCGCAGAAGCTCCTCATGCTCGACCAATTTGAACATCGCCGCAGATGGAGGGCCGTTCGTGTGGCCTACGGGGATTAGAGATGTTCAGGTGAGATGGGCTCAAGGTGCTTTTAAAGGAAAAAAACTTTTGGGATCGATCATGAACAATGTGGAAGTAGAAAGATGCTTACTTTTTACTAAGCAGTAAGCCTAAGCTCTACATAATCTTAATTTGCTACCAAGTACTAGTACAGGATGAAGCTACAGAATGGCGTTAACGTGATGTCATGTGTATGCCCCTGATAGTACTGTTCATAGCACCCGTAGAGTTTTTTTTTTTGCGTAGAGACAGAGTCTGAATGGTGTCATTTTTTTACAGAATTATCAATATATTTCAGTATTCATCATGACCACGCCTGTTCCATAAGTAACTCGTTTCTCCTTCCTCACCCCTCCTTCTTGGCGCAAAATCATCATCATCCGAATCGTCTTCCAATTCCACAGGTGGGCCACCCTGTCTGATGAAATTATTCAAGATATGATTCAGGACTCGTGCGCGGTTGTTCATAGTAGCGGCAACTGAGATCTTGGACGGTATAGGAAGCGTACTAGGGTCGTAGAGATCGACCAATAAGAAGCTATCGACACTGGGAGGATGCGTCCCGAGGTGCACGCGTTCCCATAGCCAAGGGCGTGAGTGTTAGAGGTTGTAGGAAGAGACGTAGGGAAGATGCAGGTGGCTTTATTGAACTTGAAGAGGGCAGCTTGATATCCAGATCCAGATGAGCCATAATCATGTTTATCGCGGAAAGAGGAATACAGGGACTTGGTTGTTGCAGTTGAGGCTAGAGCCGCAGATGAATTTCTACCTCCATCACCAAGAGCTACAGCACCTGCGAAAGAAAAAGGATCAGCAGAGGTTGATGGGCCAACTCCGAGTCGTGGTCTCGATGATGAACTTGAAGAGGATGCACGAGGAGCGGCTGAACTTGTGACAGCGCCATCACCACATGCCTGCTCTTCAGCAGGATTCACCTCTTTTGGCTTCGTCACGAAGATTTGAATCTTCCCAAGTGTCCCACGTACCCCAATTGATTTCACTTCTAGATATTCAATAGGCAAGTTTTTTGTCTGCGCGTCGTCGCTTCCACCACGACAAAAAAGGTCGAACATGATACCGCAGAACGTATGATCCTCATGGTCTGGCGTTACGCAGTCATACGTTTCGGTGGGAGGTTAGAGGTAAGAAATATGCTCGCTTCATGCAAAAAAAATGAATATCAGAATAAGAAGAAACTATGCTTGCTTCATGCAAAAAAATGAATATCAGAATAATTACTTTCTTCTATCCTACTTTTGTGAATTCTCCCATTGTGTTTTGCAAAGAGAAGGATAAGATATGGATCCATCTTATTCTTCTTCTTCAAAAGTGTACTTAATTTCTCTTCGGGCGATGTGGTATTAGCCTTAAGTCGTGTACGTCGCCTGCTTCAATCTCTTTGCCAACTGCCCTCCACCGCCAAACCCGGATAGTAGGAAGCCGTCGTCCTCCTCAGGGTCGCTGAACGGGTTGAAACTTGATAAATCCATTTTGATGGTCTTGGGTGGAAAAAAAGGAAGACTGTATGCGTGCTCTTGTACACGGAGTACGATTTTAGGCCGCCGTATTATTCAAGTAGATTGTAGATGAAGATCTGCTTATAATTTGTACAAATGATGATTGAAGAACGATAGATGAAGAATGAAAAGAAAATGTTTGAGACGAGGGTTGAATCAATGTTGTGTACTCAGCACTTGCTTTTTCCAAACCTTTTGCGCGGCAGAAATCTATTAATAAGAGTAGGACGACCTTTCTCACATCAGCGGTAATCCATATAATAATATGATTCAATTTTTCGTAGTTTCTCGTCGTTTTTGAAAATCTATCAATGAATAAGAGTAACTAGGAACAATATCCGTTGAAGTCGAATGACAATAAGAAATGGAAAACCAAACCCTAGACAACTCTTCGAAATCAAACAAGCTCGAAAACTGAAAGGGGACTGGGTGCAGACCGCGTCTTCAGAGCGCTATGAACCTGGTAACCGAAGTTTGTGCTTTCAACAGATTATAGTGCTGTAGGATGTACTATCTGATCTCTTAGATACAGGTACGAGAATAAACTCGTCTCGTCCGCAATTTCACCGTCTTATATATTCATATTGATTTTCGAGACGGGTTCATCCCTCAAAGAACAAGGCCACGCTATCTCATTGCACATGCTGTTGAGCGTCTAGATAGTCGCAGGCGGACGCCTAGGCGAACACAGACACACAAATGCACTTCTTCATACCCGTTTTCTCACTTATTTCTACGATATGAGGTTCTCGTCTCGTGTAAAGGCTTGGGATTAGTGTCGTGCGTGTAAACGTAAAGCTAAAGAGACTGTAATTAAGAGAATTCTGATGTCGAGGATTGGCGTTTCGCCTAGTTATAGTATTCGTTGTGCCGCCGGTTTTTGTTATAAGACTAACTAGGTTTTTGTATTTGGGGAGTACGATATCAGTTTCATACTAAGTGAAGAGACGGCTCGAACTTTTTAGGAAGAATTCATCAGGGACGTGTGAGCGAGGGCGGGCAAGTTCAAAGTGAGGTTTTCGGGATGATGCGTTTAAGTATGCATTCAAGCAAGTGAAATCAGCATCAGGAGACTGCTGCAGGAGAAAATATTCATTTTGTCGGTTCTATCACTGATGAAAGTGGTTCCACTTATTGACGTCGCTATCTCTATGACTCCACTCGAGGGAGCTCAGCGTCCCCTATTGCGATCACGCCCGCGATCACGCCTACGGCTGTCCCTATCATCGTCCCGTTTTCTAGACCTGCTGCGTTTCTTTCGGTCTCGTTTTCGGTCCCTCTCTCTCTCTTCGCCGTCGTCTTTACGCCTGTCACGACGACGTGACGAGCGTTGTTGCGGAGAACCTCCGTCGTCTTTTTTGCGAGGATTAGAGGTCTACAGAACAAAAACAAAGTATCCTGTTACAAGACTACAATTCACCAAGGGCATCAGCATCTTCGTAGTCGTACCACTGCCTGCCAATAGACTACAGAGAAGTTGTACAAAATTATGCTACAACTTCTACCCTTTTCTCTTTCACAATCACGTCTCATCAGAAAAACATGGATTTAGAAAAACTATCGAAATCGAGCAGTTCATCGAAAGTATCCATAATAGAACCTTCTTGCGCAGAGTTATTGACTTCGCTGACACTATTATTTCCAGAAGAGCCGCCAGCCGCTATAAACCCCTGTGCAGGAACAGGATTAGGTCTGTTATGCGCCTGAGGAGGTGGAGGAGGAGGTTGAGCAGCAGGTGGCCCTGTCCTCATGCCACCACTGAGACCAGCAACAAGTGATTGCAACAATTGCGTGTTATCCGTGTTGCTCTGGATCTGCATCATCTGAGCTAGCGTTTTCGCAGTTTCAGGGTCAACACCACCTGGTAGGCCAGCAGGCGCACCTCCATTCATTCCTGGCTGTTGTTGCATCTGATTCACCACCGGTTGCTGAGCTGGTGCTTTCGCGGGTCTGCCCATAGAAAGGAGAGGATTGTCTTTCAAAATGTCGAAGCCTCCTTGAGAGGGATCCTTCGTCTTCAAAGATTCCATATAAGCATCCAATGGATCTGGACTAGAAGACTGTTGTGCACCTTGCATTCCACCTCCCATCATGTTGTTCATCATAGCCATAGGATTGTTAACACCACCAGCAGCACCTCCCATAGTGATGTTGTTCATCATCCCTCCAGCATTAGGTCCCATACCAGGAGAACTTCCCGGTGCACTTTGCGGTGAACTACGTGCTCCCACTCCACCTCCTCCTAGAGGCACCATATTCGGATTATTGGGGTTGCTCATACCAGGAGCAGACTTATTTCCTCCTACACCACGGGATGATGTCCCTCCGCCACCACCAGCTGACGAGCCACTACTGGCCATGTTTGCGGCTGCTCCAGCTTGTTGGAGACTCGAAGCTGACGTTAGGACTTGGAAGTTGCCAGTTTCTTGAGCAGATTGAAGAGCGGCTTTACTCGCAGCTGAAAGCCCATGCAAAGGTCGTGTGAAATCGCCGATTTTGCCGGTTCCACCCGTAATGCCCCAACCACGCTTTTTTCTGCTGCGGTGGTCCATCAAAATTTCGCACTCAACCTTGTTACAAGTATGGAGTTTGAGAAAAGGATTGTCGAATTTTCATTCATCAGATTCTCACGGGATGGCATCCGATACAAATGACTATTCAGAAGATTGTTTTTTGCGACTGTGTTGTTGATCAATAGCTCATATCCTAGTACCACATCCAAATCACGAATAGGCTGTCCCACAACGTCCGAACCATGTGCATAGCAATCTTGCCCTTGCAAAGGGCCATCGATGATGACCATAAACCCATAGTTTTTTGTCGGGTCGAACCTGGAAGAAGTCATTGTTGTTGGGTAGCGTTGAAAAATCATATGGAATTCGATGCACGTTGGTTCCCTCTCTATGTTTCTGACGCAGCTGGAATATGGTTTCTCTATGTTTCTCATGCAGCTTTTGTTCCATTGCGCCGACCGCGATACTTACAGTTTTACACATGTCAGCAAACAACTTAAGCCCCCCCCCCGCAAACTCCTCACGCGCCTGTTGTTTGCCGAGCCCTCACGAGATGTTGCCACCACAACTCATCGATCTCCACAGACCTGAGCACGCCCACAACGGGCGACGCCTGGCCTCCGACTGATCGAGCGGCAAAGGCAAAGCTGATAAATCCACCCACGAGGGAGGGGAGTTGCCCGAAGGTGCCCACTGCCGCTGCCAGCCTGTCGAAGATTATGGCCAAGCAACCGGGTAACCATAGCCGTCGCAAAATCTGCCTCGCATCCCCCGGCGTGCCCTCCGCTTTGCTGATGGGCGTCCTTGCTTCTAATTCCACACCAGCGCACCGGGGAGGAGTAGCCACGACAGTTCCGAAGGAAGACTGTGACTCGATGGGCGCCGTGCGTCCGAGGTCAGTGACTGAAGAGGGGCACGCCAAAGCCTGAAATGGCGCCACCGAGCGCGTGCACTCTCTGCATACAACGAGAGCGGCGGCATGCATCCCCTCGCTTGGCCCTGTGCTTCTTTGTTTGTGCCACAAGTTGCACATTGTCACCGCTGTGGCGTTTTGCTCTTCAGGCGCCTCGAACGCGGTAGCAGCCTCCTACCTGGCCCCCGCATACTTTGGAGGGCTCAACAGGTCTCCAAGTGCTTTCGCAGGGGCTTCCATCTCTGCGATTTCAGCGCCAAGCCTTTCCGCTTTAGTATGATCGATGACCATGCCAATAGATACGAAGCAGCGCGGCCCCGCGCTTGGCTTATCCAGTGCACCCAGTGCGACATCCTTGGGCACGCTGTTAAGCTTCAACGATTCTGAGAACAAGGCCCACGAAACCGAAAGAGGGCCCAACCGGGTGGACCCCTCTGTCTGAACTATGTGGAGCATACAGGCGACAGGGACAGACACTCCAGATGCAAAGGCGAGGGCCGGGATCTGGGGGGCGGGCTTCTGTTGGACTGTGCAACAAATTTCCACGAGTGAAAAACGTGCCACATAATAGGGAAAGCCGGCCACGCCCGAAAGAGTAGGACCGCAGGGCGAATTATCTCTAATTTGGAAGCCCGAAGCCCCTAAGCGGTATAGCATACATAAGGAAAGCAAATAGAGTTATATTTTGGTTTGTTTTTCCTATGATAAAAGAGGTCAACCAGATCACGTCGCAAGGCTTGAAATAGACCTTTTTGCACTTGCGGGCGCATTCGTGCTCTTGTTTTGCAGCATTTGCAGCAAAACCAGACTTGAGTGAGAATTAAAAGGGTACCATTTGACATGGCACTTCGCGCGGCAGGTCGTCAAATACGGATCTTCGCAGACTGGATAGGCAACGCCACCTGGTGGAACTCTAGACCAAGAGGGGTGCGGTAGAGACGCCACACCTCCTGGAGGCATCGGGATTGGGCCAGAACTGTTGTTGCTGCCACCACCTCCACCACCTGGGTTTCCCATACCCATGCCCATGCTTCCCATTCCCATTCCCATCATTTGCTGTTGTTGCTGCATCTGCATCAGTGGTGGGACTTGGGCTTGGGGGACGATAGGCCGTGCCTCCACTTCGGCTGCCGTGAGGGTCTTGGACACGATGCCCGTAGCCCCGAGGGGGCGAGCACCGGATCCATAATTCATCTTTTTCGTAGTAGTTGTGTAATTTCCAATGTCGCTAGTTGTGATTGTTATTGAAGTTGAACGATGATGTTTCTCTAATTCTATTTTCAGTGACGATGGAATGAGATGATGACACTAGACCATGTTGATCTCCTAACTGGGAAAATACAACTGCCGTAAGAGTGTGCCGCTGTGCGTTATCCACGTTTGGTCATAGTCCACAAAGAAGACACATGGAACCTCTATGACTATGACGAAGAATGTGTAGTTTCTCTGAAGTCAATCCATCTGAAATGATCCAGCAACTTCGTACGGAACAGAACCACCTCAAGGCCTGAAAATTTTTGAACGCCAGAACATACTTTATTGAAAGAAGAATGTTAATAAATTGAAAGGATTGACATGTTCATCAGAAACCAAAAGACTGAAACGAAACATTTTCTCATGAAGATGTGGCATATGCGCATTTCACATCGTTCGCCACAGCAATATCCGACGCGTAGTAGTTAGTTGTCGTCATTATGATTCTTGTCGTTGTCCATGTATCATGAGTTTTTATAAGATCATGTTCATGCGAGTATAGAAATGGATTGACTTCTTCATCATCTTGTAGTACTACACGCAATAGACCGAAGATCATCAAAAACAACTTTCTGCTGCAGGTGGAGCGTTTGTCAGTGGTAATTCTTCGTATTGGAGGAAACGGAAGGACACGGGGAAAATTTGAGCCAATTGGGAGATCTGGCAGACTGACAGCACGTAATTGGAGGGAAGCATATTGGATTGGGGTGAGACAACTTTCTTTATCACACCTGCGAATGGAGATTGGAGAATCCGTGTCAGCCTCAACAGCCTCAACAGCCTCAGGAAGACGGCGGAGCGGAAAATCGGACGTTTCGAGCGCCAGCCTGTGTGTGATTTCAGTTTCAGAAGATGAGGATAATGAAGAAACTCACCTAAGTACTCTATTTCCATCTTCGAGAAGAAATAGTTCAGCTAGTGAGCCTTGATGTCTTTGTCATGTAAGACCGGAATTCTTATCCCCCCAAAGCACAACGTAGTAGATACGTAACCCAACGAAAAAACCGCCACTGTTCAAGCAGCCTATTTTGCTAAAATTTTACCGCCGCAAGATCCACGCTCGAGCCTTCGAGCAACTCCTCTTCCTCTCGCTTCTTCTTGAGGTTTTTTCTCCTAGACCACAGGCAGCCCAGCAGGATAAGTGCTGCACCGATAGGATACCTATGTTGAGTGAAAATTCATCAGGGATCAGCGGACGATATGGTAGAAGTCGTGGTCGTGGTGTAGTACTTATTGAATAATATTCTTGACGTTCCTCCAATGTGATCTTCAAGACTCATAAGAATTAGTAATAGTATGGCTACTTCTGTAGTCATCTTCATCACGGTAAATGGCACGTCCTAGTAGTATCAAAATCAATTTCTCTTACACATTCCTCCAGCGCGGTGACGAATGGTCATCCAACGTCGGTCCGGCCATGGGGTTTGCCCATGCTATTGGATTTCCTACTCGCTTTTCCGCAGATTGTGTATCATACTCCTCGTAATTCTTATCGCCGCCACTATTTTCTGAGCCTGAAGATCCGCTATCTCCTCCAGATGAAGACGCCTTATCTGAAGAAGACGAGTCTTTTGAACTCGATGAAGGCGCTTCCTTCTGTTGTTCATTCGGAGTTGTGCTCTCTCTTTGAGCTTGGTCGAAAGCTGAAGGATCTGCCGTTGCTGTTGCGAAGCTACGACGTCGTGGCGTTTGACTAAGAAGGAGTCTTGAGTTGCTAAAACTTGACGCAGGGACACCTAATCGCGAGGATATCGATGAAAGCTTATTGGCCTCTGTGGGTGAATTTCTCATGCCTGCAGATGACAGCATCGTTGAGCAACTTGATGAATGCGACAAAGGTTTTTCCCCAGCTAATGGCGAGCTACTGCTTGCAGAGCTTCCTGCCCCCAACGCTCGTGACGCAAACGCTCTGGCCATAACACCACTGGGTGATGTGTTTAGAGCCACACTTAAGCGTTGAGAGCGCCCACCCCTGAAGAGCTGCCTTGAGGCACTCAGACACGCAACAGAGGCTGCCATTTTTATGGTCGAGAAGTAGGACGAGAGCGAGAGGAGAAACAATGACCAGTCACAGATGAAAAGTAAATAAGTAGCAGCGTTACAACCAAACGCACGGTACTTGTTCTAGTGGCACAACAGGCTTGTAAGAGGGAACTATTACAACTACGTACAAGAGAGCCAACAAGCTTGCAAGAAGGAACTATTAATACAACTGCGTTCAAGAGGCTCTATCTTCCTAAATTTCTTGTCCCGCAGCCACTGTGATCGGACAGAGATTACATGATCGATTTCGATAGTTCCACTTCTTCCAGACTACATCTCTTCATCCACACGAGGAACAAGAGATCGCATGACTCGAGGTGATTATAAGTCAAAAATTCACATTATAGTACGTGGAATCGCCAACTGAAGATGTTCATTCTGTGACATGAAGGTAGAAGATGAACTGGTACCATTTGCGGTCGAACACAACCGATTTCGCACGTGTCCTCAACTAGGCTTATTGCACTATGGCATACTGGAGGATTGCTTATAATAGTGCAGATTTGCCTCTCAGCACAAGACGTTTCATCTTTCAAGCTTTTTGTTATTCAGAAGTCTGACCTTGCATAACCATGTTTAGGATTTGACTTTCATAGATTGTTTGAAAAATCAACCTGCGGCATACACCATGATAAGACATGATGCCACGACCTGCGGGTATCACTAGAAGAAGTAGGTTATATAATGTCAGACTACTGGCGGCTAGTACAACCACAACAAGACATTCGAGCAAAAATTATGGAGGTCATATAGCTCTATCATCCACGCCAAGGAGCACAGCATTCTTTACAAGCTTTACACAAGCTGCACCAGCTTCGAGTTGGACATCGCAGTTGAGGCTCGAAACAAAAGAAAACTCAAACGCGATTAAATCGGCGCTTCGTTACACCACACACCTCATCTAGCAATTTCGCACATTACTTCTACCCTGCCATGGGCGCTGATCCAACCGCTGATCCAACTACTACAGCGCTACTTCGTCCGCTCGAACCAGTAAACGTTCCTTCTTGCTGATTGTATTGAACCCCTTGTACAATCATCCTTGAATCTTGATCGTTGTAAGGTCCTTGGTGGTTCTCGTGGTTCTTTCGCGAACCACCTTCACGAGAACCTCCGCGTTCGCGTTCATCCTTCAGCAGCCGCCGAGTTGCATCGTCATACATGCCATCCCCTCTCTGGTGGGAACTAGACGAGCTCCTCGGAGCGGATTGAGTCTCATCGCTACTCAGTAATGAAGCTATCGGCTTCACGACCAGGTAGTCGACGAGGCTAATCGCAACTCAGACCATTTTTGATGATTATGGATGTTTCACCTTAACAAGATCAAATTATATTAGAAACGATTCGCTAATAGTGTACGTAAGTCGTAAGATGAAAGTCTATCAGCGAAAGAAATACGAAACGGACCTAAACGAAAAAAGAAATAAAGATAAATTCTGGCAGGCGAAGACACATGGACGAGTACAATTCGAAAATTGGGGCGCGAAAAAACGTTTTAGCCTCCATGATTGGTGATCAAAAGTGTGTATCTATATGGAGAAGCACTTGATCCTGCAAGTTCCGATGATTTTCTTCATGGATGGACGTGGTCGTCGCTCGACGTATACTAGTCATTAACCTATTTACAGATACAAGAGGCGTTTACCACACACCGACCAAAATGCATGCATTGTAACGAAGATGCAGAAGAATAATATACCAATGGCAATCAGGTAAAAAGCACTCGTAGTTTCATTCTCTCGTCTCGGCTAACCCCTGCTCTTCATGAACACATCTGCAACAAGAGAGATCAACGTCGAATACTTCAAATCAAGTTTTCTCGTTGATGTTTATCAAGTTGTGACGCAACTGAAACTCCAGGAGGTGAATAGGAAAGTAAAGTCTGTGTGTCAGCACTTGCAATCCAGGGTCAACGCCATGCGCTGAGGCTGACTAGGAAAATATGACCTTTGTCTTTGAGGATGAAACCTTGTTGAGGAAAATGATGCTGGGGTTGTAATTGGGAAAGAAAATCATGTGACTGAGGAGTACCAAAATGAAAATATAGCAAAGATCATTTATATTAGATTTATCCACGACACTCTGGAAGTAAAACTCTGGTTATGAGTGGCATTGTCATCATTAGATTTTGACCGTCCGATAAGTAGGACAATATTAAGCTTCTCTTCATGAACTCTGGAAGTGATTCAACAACAAGCCACCCGGTTGATCCCCCCTCATTGCTTCTTGTAGCACTTCAGGATTGTTCACTAAAGCGGTGTCTTGCAAGCCAATCTCGGGAAAAAGGGCATGCATCTCCTGTCGCATCAACTCATCCTCGTCCTGATCGTCGTCGACGTCTTGCTCTTGGGCAGCATCGACGTCTTGATCATCCTCGTCTTGGTCAGAATCTGAGTCATCGTCTTGATCAGGATCATCAAAATATTGCTGATGTTTTCCCAGAGCAGGAGAGTTGTCAACACTGGTCGGTGTCTCGCTAAAGTTGCTCATGGCAGAAAAGTCGGCAAAATTCTCATCCACTACTTCTTCTCCAGGTTCTCCAGGAGTCGAAGGAGTGGTAGGATTAGGAGTAGCAGCAAATTGGCGTTTCACGAGAATGCGTCGAAAAGGATTTATTTTGATGTTCCTGGTGGAAGGTGGAGTAGAGGGTGGTCCCTCATCTTGAGATGAGGCGCTTACAAGCTCGACAAAAGAATCGAAGCGAACCCGTCGACGACCTTTCTTACCTTGATTGTGTGCTCCATCTGCTCCATTTCCTCCTGCAGCTCCTGAGCCTTCTCCTGCTGAGTTCTGGCCGTTTCCACTTCTATTTCCGTCTCTGTCAATTGGTGTTGCTGTACCACTTTGCTCTGATGTCGTTGTAGGAGAAAGTGAGCATGTTTTAATCAGATTAGTTGGACCTTGGTTGAGAAAGGGCAACTCTAACGGAGAAGGTGCATCAGCATCTTCAAGAACTTTTTCGACCTCTCCTTCAGTTCCGAAGCCTGACTTCTCCCTCACCAATCGTTCATACTCCGCTTTTGCAGCTAGTATAGCAGCATCAGGCTTATCTAGACCACAAGCGGCTAATATCTTTTGTTCTATTTCTTCCTCTCGCTCATTTCGTTTTTCATCCTCCTCATCGTCATTGCGAAGGACAGCCTCCAACATCATCTCGTCGGTGATATCGTCAATAGTAGGGACAAACTTTCCATTGGAGTGTTCAGAGCTGTAGGAGTAGTTGTCTCCCGTCTGCGTTCTCAGCTTGTCAGCATTTGCGGGTAAGTTTTTCATCGAAGAAGAAGACGAGGAAGCGCAGGAGGATGTGATCATTTTCGATATGTACTCTTCTGAGGAGGTAGGAATTGAAGTAGATGCTCCACCAATGGTATTCTTTTTCTTCCCAACAAGTAGAGGTTCTTCATCTTCTTCCCGATCTCCCGATGTAGGACTGGGAGATCCTGGTGCTGTACTTGGTGTGCTTTGTTCCTCATTGACAGGGCGATGTTCCTCATTGACAGCTCCTTGCCCAAGAAGATGATGGGACTGCTGAGGTGATCCCTCCACAGTATCGTCATTTTCAGGAAGCAAACGCTCTTTCGTATTTGACTTAGAGGTAGAACAGCTAGTGGATGAACTAGTACTGCCGCTAGCGCCGGAACCTACTGTAATATTACCTCCACCAGCACCTCCTGTTGTACTAGTCGCAATTCTTGTGCCACTGCTGGTACCAGGAGTCACAGTTGTTGTCCCTGTGCCGTCAACCTGCACCTCTCCTCCATAGGATGTTGCATCAAGTGGAATATCGAAGTCATCATGGCCTAGTTCGTCCAAAGCCAATTCCTGCAAGAATTTCGCAATATCAACCTTCTCATCGGACGTCTTGGTCCACTGCCCTTCCTTCAGTTCTTTCTCCAGCATCTCAATCAACTCCCTTTCGCGGCGTTGATCGGCCAACCAGACACGTCTGGGAATAGCATCTTCCTCTAGGTTGATGGTGCTTTTCGGCTTTTGGACACCTGCTGGTTTGTTATTGCTCTCTGAACAAGGCTCGTCTTGGTCTTCATCTCCTGAGTCGTCGCTGTCGTCGTCTTTTACTTCGACGTTCTCAGGCTGTTCGTCCTTCTTTGTCTCGCTAGAAGAGGCTTCGTCTTTCGTGGTGGTGGTAGCAACGTCTTTTGAAGAAGTCGATGACGACTTAGTGGTTGAGGACGTTTCATCCTTGTCCAGCTTCTCCTTCAGATCCCCCTCTTTTGGGTCTTTCTTCACATCATCCTCTGGCTTTGCATGTAGTTTTTCGTAGTCTTCTTTCCACTTTTTATCAGCGTATTCGACTTCTGCGCGGCCCGCACCTGGCTTCAAGACGTAATTCTTGATCCGCACAGACTTTTTCACAGCTTCTTTCCACTCCTCCGTCTCCCACATCGCATGCTCCTCGGCTCTGCGCTGCTCTTCGTCATCGTCGTTCTTTTGCGCAATGGAGGTAGTGAGACTACTAGTTGTCTCTCTAGAAGGAGTAGAAGTAGAACTAGTATCCTTCGAAGGCCGCGCCTTCAGATTTTCTCGTTTCTCCTTTTCCAGATCCACATCCCGTTCATACTGCGCCACCAAAGGCGTTGCTCCTGAGAAGGAGGTTTTGCCCATAGCATTAGCACCACCTGTCACGTGTTCAGTCGCTTTCTCATCCAATGTCTTCTTTTGCTCATCGTCGCTATCACTGTCAGATTCATCGTCATCAGAGCGACGACTCAACATGCGCAATTTCTTCCTAGCTTTCGAATCTTTCACACGATCCAGAAAACGTCCTCGGACATCCCTGTACTGGCCATAGGAGTATTTGGAAATATCCTTGAGCAATTTCGCTCCAGACTCTGTTTCCTCAGGGAGGGGGACGAGATGGTGTACTACTTGCCTTGTAGTTGCTGGTTTCTTTTCGTCTTTATCTGTTGGTTCTTGTGCTTTTGCTTCTGGACAAGGTGCAGCAACGGTACCAACATTTGCCGGTTGTTTCTTTTCGGGTTCAGAGGAGGATGGAGTAGATTTTGGCTTGTCAGTCTCGTCTTTTTTAACCAACGGTGCTAGTACAGCAGGATTCTTTTTCTGACTGCTTTTTCTTATACCAGTAGCAGCCTCATCCTCACTAGAATCTTCATCCTCTTCCTCATCGTCCGAGAAATCCTCTTCCTCCTCTTCATCGTCCGAAAAGAAGTTCGCTGCATCGATACCCTCAAATGTCGACAGTTTCCCCAAAATATCCTGCAATCGATTTCCTAGTTGCTCTGCTTCAGCCTCGTCCAATCCCTTGTCGAATTTCTCAAATTCCTCTAGTCTCTTCTGCAAATCCGCATCTAATTGACTCGGGTCGACAGAAAGCCAGTCGAGCGGAGAGTCCTCCTGGAGGACTTTTTTAGGAGCTACTTCGCTTTTGGAAGGAGACGAAGAAGAAGGTGGGGATTTGTTAGAGGAGGTAGTTGATGAAGTTGCAGAGGACTTCGAGCTCGCGGTCGTTGGAGATGTTTTAGTTTTGTCCTCCTCACGCTCACTCTTCTGCTTCTGCGTCAACTTCTGCATCAAATTGTCCTGCTTTTCCAAGGCTTCCAAAAATCCCACTCTAAACCGCAACCATGACGTCTTACCAGAGTTACCAGCAGCTGCAAAGCCTAGAGTTTCTGCGTTCAATAAAAAACAGCATTGCAAAGCGAAGCACAGCAACGCTCCCATCTTTGCTGCAGCCTCCGTCTTCCCCAATGTGGATCGTTCTAGTTCTAAAAACGCTTGGGGCGTTCGCACGGACATCATGTTGTACTGCAGTTTCGCAAAATGCAAGCGGGTAAATCTTACCGGGTGAAGGACAACATCAGACGAGTCGGAGAAAAGCTGAAGCAGGAGATTGGGATCCACAAAACCATCTTCACGTTCACTCTTGCTTCTACTACTAGCTGGTGCTGCACTAGATGTAGTACTTGTAGAAGTTCTAGAACTAGCGGTAAAATCCTTGATAGCTGCCTTCAATTCGAAGGAGGCTGGGGGAGGCACGTGCGCCATGGCGTCGGCTACTAGAACGGGATGTCGCTTCAGCACCTCTGCAACTGCTCTCGGCAATACACAATGGAAAACATGCGTCGCCTGCTCCACTGCCTTCTTCGGGAATTGATCTATTTTCTGCTGCAAAACACGCTGGACAGCAGGCTTGGCTACTGTCCTGCCACTGTCCGCGTGTTTCTGGAGATAGCCGATGGCTTGATGTAGTTTTTCACTTCTCCTGTTGGTATTATTTGAACCTTTATTGGAAGAATCCTTGATGCGCTTGTCCTTGTCCTCCAACTCCACACACCTCTCATCCAAAAAGTGCACGCAGCCATCACGTACGAAGATTCTGTTGTCACTCCTTTCTGGTGTCAGCCACTTGGGGAGTGACAGGGCAGCTTCAATAGCCAAATAGCTGCCATCTTGATCCTCGAGGATGACGGAGCATGTCTCGAGATTACGTGTAACTCGTCGCATCAAATGAAACAAGAACCATTCATCCCGCGGCTCATCACCGGTACGAATCTTGACGTGCAAGTGAGGAATGATCGTCGTTGATGTCGAACAAGAACTAGAAGTTGTGCTACTGCTATCTTTGTCGGCTTTAGATGCACTACTCATGCTCTCCACCTTCTCCTCGCCAACAACCACGTCCATCGAAAATTGGTCTCTGCACCAAAGATAGTCCTGTAACTCCTGCTTCAAAATCTTGCCTGTGATCTTTTCACGCTGTTCTTCTAGAAAAGATGTCTTGGTAGACAAGGAGGTGGAGTCCGTCAACTCCTTCGAGAGCAGTAGCTCGTCGAAGTACAGGAACGCTTGACAAAAATCGTCGACATTGGTGTGAGCGCCAAAGACGGCCTCCCACTCTTTGCCATCTTGATAGTCCCGCACGTCCATGGTGTCAATCTACAACTTTGGCGGAATAAAACTTCTTGCACTATCATGCATGCAGCGGCTAGTTCTTAAGGTATAAGTAGTTGAAACAGTAGAGCATGGAAGGGGGTAAAAAATCCTGGATCACGTTAATTATTGGAAAGACAAACGTCGCATGCTAATTCACAAACTTGATGATCTGCCATAGCAACAACAGCTACATCATCCATGAGGACACGAGGTGTCGTTCGCACTACGAAGATGTCAGATCTTTACGAGGAGCACCACAGAAGATCCTTAGCCCCATTGCCACCCGCATCTTCTACCAGGCCTATGTGCTGGTGCAATAGGTCGGATTAAGAGATTTCTGGCTTGCGACACGCAAAGGCCATGGCTCCAGAACGTCTGGGCTTAGGAGACAGCGCATTGAACCACGAGAAAGGATCGTGCGGAACCTCTTGACTTCTTAGATCGATTGCGTTGGAAAGTTTAAAACAAGAGCTCAAAAAGATCCATGGAACAGCACCCACTAGGAACACAGCAGTATTTTCCGCTTGTGTGTCGCCCGCGAGCGCATTTGTGACGTTGATTGTCATATGTTGTTGAACGGATAACTACATCATTTCTTTGTTCAGATTTCTTTGTTCAGCGACGGCAACGTGTTCCTCCTATGCCACATGCTGTACATCATTCAGTCTTCTTTCTGTTCGATATGCAGTCTGAAGATCGAAACGGGTGCATCATGTTCATGTCCACCGTGGGAGCGCGTATTCTATATTCTCATCTATGCCATGATTATGTTGACGAACATGGCTTCTTTATCCATGAAGACTATGTTGATCCTAGCTTATTATAAACTACAACTAACCTGATTTTTTGTGCAAGAAGGTGAAATTGAAGCAGCAAAGGTGTTTATCCATCCAACAGGTCTATGCTCTCCACCAATTGCTTCACGCACTCGGCCAACTTGTTCATGCCCGTCTCCAAAAACTCTGCGAAAAGTTCTTGCCTTGTCTTGGCAGGGTTCTCTGTCCCTTCTGTTCCTGTTCCAACTCCATCTTCTAGAGATAGAAGAGGTAGAGGTTCCACATCCGATATAATCTTCAATGCTGTGAAGGGTTTCTGACCCATTACGTGGCATACTCTCGCTTCGGCCGCGCACTCCATTTCACAGATGATTACTCCGGCTTCTAGACCAACATCGTCCGAGGCAACGAAGGAATTTACAGTGCGGGGATTAGACCATACAACTAGTATTTTCAAACAAATAATTATGAGACCATAACCAAAATCAAGTTGTCTTTTTTTCAATAAGTGTTTCAATATTAGAGTTCGTTGCCTTAACACAAGCTCCGACTTTGACATCTTCATTTGTCCCACTCCCACCGCCTTCCTTTGCCTGCCCTTCAAACACCTTCTCCACCACCTTCCCAGGATCTAGCATAGGGTATTCACTGCTGATGTACTCCTGGAAATCGGGGATGATGATGCTGCGACCAACAATGAAGCATCGGTTTGGAATTACAAGATCGCCCTGGCGCAATGGGAAGCCAGGTTGCTGTACTCCACCACACGTACCGGCAGAAACGACGAGGTCGGGATTGTACACTTGAATAGCAGCGGCGGTGGCGACCTGACGAGATGGGTATTGTTGTTTTAGATGAACAACGATGTGGCCTTCTAAGTACTCAATTGTTGTTTTTTAACGCACTCCTTGATTAGAAGGCTACATCATCGCACCAGAAGATGGTTGATGCTAGCCGAATAAGAGGCCAGAGGTGCAGCTGCCTCATGCTAAGTAACAACAATCTATTTCAATTTTTAGCCATTATATTAATCTACACAAAGTAGATCTATGGGAACCGCTGCCGGTTCCGTTGAAACGCTTGGAACGCCGTAGAGTGGATCCACCTTAAACTCCGCAAGACACAGTTTCCTGTCATCGGAAGAAGTTTTTCCCACAAAACCGTAGAAAAATGGCGAAGCGTTTTTTTCGTCCGTGTCCGGTTGTAAGCCCAATTCGTCTACTTTGATCAACCCCGCCTCCTCTGGCATGGCGACCATGATCAGAATAGTCTTGATGTCCTTGGCCTTGGTGGCCAAGGACGACACGGGATTGGTTTGGTCATTGTAGTAGAAGGTGACATTTTTCTTGGTTGATAGGATATAATAATCTGGAAGATGATACTTGGTAAAGGTAATGATTGATACAATAACAACTTCTCTACGGATGACAAAATAATTTCTACTACTGTTTTCAACTTCATCACTGATAGATCAAGATCATCCACAAGAATCGCAGAAGTTTGTCGTGCTCCACTCCTTTCTCTCCGTCAGCATTGAGAGGACGATATCGAACTGAGCGCATCCAAAGGCAACAGACGAAGACGAAGTGGACAGATCCTCCTCCTTGACGTCCACTGATATCACCCGACAGTCTCCTTCCACCATAACATCTATGCGCCAGGAACAATACCACCATAGGCCCCGTTACAAGGTAGCAAGATGCTAGAAACACCGCCACCGGAGGTGTTTTGTTGTTTTTGTTGCAGGTCTTCTGCTTTTCACCTGCTGATAGCAAAAGGAAGGAAAAAGGTGTAACAACATCTGCACAAGTTCGCTTGTGTCCTGTAGGCACGAGAGCTGAATTCGATCGGATTCGTGCATAAGACCACCGGTCTTATTTGGCATACCGAGAGCTTCTTTAATCACCAACTACAAACTCCACTCCTGGTTAAACATGGGAGTTACGTTTTTTGACTTTCTTTAAGCGAAAGGCTGGTAAGTAGTAGTCCACTTGGCAGGTGCTTAAGGCCTCGACCACCATGCTAACACTTCTTGTCACTTACTCCTGACTTAGAGAACTTTCTTCAACCTACTCAAGTTCTAGTTAGGCAGGGGACCTAGAGTACCTCGACCACCGTAAGTTTAGAGCCCCCCCAGCGGTTGCGTTTCGCGTTTTAACTCCTACCCTAACTCGGATTAAACTCCTGGCACATGCTCGGGCTCGTTTCTGCTGTTAAGGGGGTCAGCTTTTGAGAGTGGGAAAAACTTTCTTGGGGGCATTTCTGGACGACTGAAAACGCAGAAAAAAAAAACGCGGCCGCGTGGCAAGTGTTTCGCTTTTATGCAAGTGCGGGAGCATGAGTGAAAACGTCCAAAATCTTGGGACATTCTTCCAAGCGAAAGGCTGCGAAACCCAAGCACCGTCGCGGCGGTGGTCTTTTGTTCGCTTATGGGTCCAGTTTTTCACCCTTTGGCCTCTTGTCTTTGTCTGGCTACTAAGCCCAACCACGCCCGGCCGCACGCCCCCGCTAGCTTCTGCTTCGCTAGCGGATGCGAACACAAGGCAAGAGAAGA